AATAACTTTTTGATTGACTCTCAAAACATTTCCTAGTAGAACTGGGGGAGGACGCACAGGAAACAGAACACTTTAATGTATTTGATAAGAACTGGCCTAAGAGGACGTGGTTAGAAATCATCCGCTTCGTCTCCATTTCAGCAGACATTTTACCAATTCAGCAGCCGCCTTCTGACTGTGGCTCCCAGCAGAAAAAACGTCTTTCATCCCACTTGTGATTTGTCCGTGCGGCGGGTAGAGAGCGGAAGAGAAGCTCCACATGAGGCTCCATAGCTAAATGTAACATTAAAAAAACACACACACACAAAGTTCCAAAAGGTAATCGCCATCGGCTTTCAAACGGTGTCTGGAAGCGTGGTTATCTAGGCCTTGGACATCATGAAAAAGCACAAAATGCTGCTTTCAGTGTCCGGCAGCAAGGTGTACCAATCGTGTTCAACACAAATTGTAACTGAAGAGGCACAAGAGAACTTTAACCATGGCCTGTCCACCTTTGGTCGCCTTCAGAAAAGGGACAGCTTAATTGTACAGACCAGTGGGAGGTACCGATGGGAGAAATTTGGCACAGGCCAAAGATGACAGAGGTAAGCAAAAGAGCCTCTCTGTAAGTTTGACAGCCAGCAAGGCGTGAATATCTCATTTAGGTCATGTTATGAAACATCATTTCTGATTATGCAACACACATACGTGGGCTCGGCGACACACAAAACACACGGCCATCTAGGAAATGAGAATAGTTCTCATCTGAGGATAATGGTCCATCACAACTCATGATGGTTTCCTCTAGAGGAGTAAATGGCCGTAAATGGGATGTTGATTCAATCATAGCATTGTCATGTATACCAGATGGCAAAAAGGCCTCGCACCTTGCCATGAAACCGAAGAAACAAACATCATCTAACAGGCCCCATTTCCTAAACAAACTCAGAGGATGTGCTTTCTGCATGAAAGCACAGCAGAGCTAGTTGGAAAAACTGGAGGGGTTGCATTACCAGCACATTCTCTCTCTCTAGCTATCTATCTATCTATATATATATAAAGAAAAGATGACCAGTGCCCCTTCCAAAGTGCCATTCATTCAATCAGGCAGCTCCACCTCCTCCCATCTAATAAGCACCATACACCCCTCCTCCATTTCAACCATCAATTTTCTCAACCAACAAATAAAACTTTAACAAGTTCCTTCCTTTTCCGAGAAAAAATAAAAGCCACATGCCACCTGTTCAACGATACACTCTAAAGTATTTAGAAGTTATCATCTAAGTGTGTGGTTTAACAAACATTTTGCTGACAGAAGTTTTCTCCCAGGCTCAAGTTTTGGGAGAGATTCATCTTTTTGTACAACCCAATGTTGTGACATAAGTGACGGAGTAATGTCTTAATCAGAAATACTCCAGATCCAAGTCTGTGAAGAACATATTGACCAACATTTCATTCATTCCAATGAATCTGTCCTTTAAAACTGCCAGAACCCCTTCAACCGCCTTCCAGCAGGAAGTTCAAGTCCAGCATCTTCCGCTGCCAAGATGAAGCCATCGGAGGGTGAACCTGTGGCTGTGATGAAGCGGAGAGGTGGGAGGACGGAGGCTGCCGTCGGCACAGCACGGGCGTGTCAGGTGACTCAGGCCGGCCAACAGGTCGGGGCGCCGTCTGCATTTTTCCAGGTGAGCCGGCGTTAGACAAAGACTGGGCGGCGTTCACAGGAGTTAGTCAGCACCTGTGACGCATCACCTCTCAGTCCTTTCCCAGGTAACAGGCCTGTTTACTGGCTCTGCTCCAGCAGGACGGGACAGATGGAAAAATGATGAGTTCTCCGGCCTGGTGGCTGTGGGTAGTGTTCCGTCTAAATATCAAGACGTGGAGCTTAATCCAACAGGCGGAATCTGCATTCTGGGCCTGGAGCCCCAGAGCTGAGCGGCCTGTACTTTCCCCCCAAAAGCAAAACCTTCTTGTTGTGGGTTAACGTTAAAGCTTCCACCAGTGGAAACTTTGACTGCCGCGGCAGAGTTCACGTAAAGCTAACAGAGTGAGCTATGTTTTTCCATTTATAGGCAGGGTTTGGCACTTTAAAAGCCCAACCCCGGGGGCCCCGCGCAGGACAGAGGGTCCCAGTGCCCGGCCCAGATCCACAGGCCGGTTTCACTAAGGAGGAATGAGTAAAATGTGGAGAATGGAGGGTGGGGGGGGGGGAAGAAACAGTGTGACGTCGAGCACACACCCTAGACAGGAAAGAGATGATTAAGAGAAGGAAGAATAAAAAAAAAAGGTTGGCGGAGCGGTCCGGGCGCTTTGGAGATTTTTCTGAACGGTTTCTGTGGCGCACACACGGTGTTTGTTAGAGTTGTATAAACACAGCTCGGGGAGCCGGTCCAACATCTGGAACAGTTGGGCTGTGATGACGCAACACGGGCCAAGCAGCAGACAGCAATCCGCTCCCAAACACACGACACGACAAGAGAACAGAACCCAGAATGTCTCCAGATCCACACACACACATACACACACAGAGCTTTGGTATGTGACCTATGGGGAGCTTTGTAAAAAAAAAGAATAAAAAGTTTTACAAGCAAAAAGGAAAAAAAAAAAAGAAAAAAAACAGCTCTCCCAGGCTTTTTGGGGATGACGCTCACCCCTCCCACGTCTCCCTTCGTCATCCTCTTCCTCCCTGTTCACCTTCCACTCAGCAGCCGGCACAAAAGAGCTCATCCCCGTGCGCCCCCCCCCCCCCTTACATCAGCGCCTCCTTCCGCCCTCTCGGGACGAGCAGGAAACTCCGAGTCAACTTTTAGGAGAGGAGGGCCGGCGCTGGGGCAGTGTGTCGGGCCACGATAAGAGCACGCACACGGCCAGCCGCTGCCTCTTCTGAACGAAGCACATTTCCCCGGAAGAGTTAAGGAGATTTCAGCCCGAGTTAAGACCCTAAACAGGCGGCGACGCTCTGCTCTCTGGGTTCCGTGTAAACTGGGCTTGATCCATAGCAAAAGACTCAAAGATGGAGGTTATCTAGGCACTAACGTACTTGTTTGCTTAATGCCCCCATCCTCTCATGATCACATTCTTAAAAATGTACCACTGTCGCGTCATCTGATAGACATAGTGGGGTGTTTTTATTTGCTTTGTTGATGCCCACAATGGCTTCAAATCCTGGCAATAAGCAGAGAAATCAGAGGCTGAACTGGGATGTTTCAAGCTCAGAGCTGCTGTTTATTCTGCGTTTGCACGTGCACGGTTAAGTTCAGGCTTTGTTGCAAAGGAAGTGTTTTTTTTTTTTTTCCTTGGCAGAGACAGGAAGTTACAGCAGCGGATGCAGACACAGCAGGCCCTGATGTTAAAAAAAAACGAATCTATTCGTTTTTAGACATGAATACAAGGTGTGTCCACAAGTTGCTGAGGGGATTAGCTAAAAATGGGAACGCTATTGTGAAATTTAACGGCTTTTGAGCTCTGGATTTTTTTTCCTTTTTCACTTTCCTGGCAGGATGACCCTCATGGTCAAACGTTATCACGTCCTAAACCTTCAGTTCCACTAGTCCTGGTCTCCAGAACAACCATCTGTTCACAAGTTCAACCGGTGTGGCAATAAAGCCCGAGCTGCTCCCTTAGGCTTGAAATATATTCATGGTAAAGGGAAGGCCTGGCCCGTTCACTGGAAAATGCATTTGCAAACGCACAGATCTGCATAATATACACAGGTGAACACATTCCCCCTCCATAAGCCCGGCTTATCTTCCTTTGACCTCGGGTTTGGAATCACACTCCTGGTGTGACTTCTTTTCTTTCTTTTTTTTCCACAGTGCCGAAAAAAATGGCACCAGTAGGATTGTGGAACCCCATCACAATTTCAAATGGAACGGCACATCATAATTCTCTATTTCAAAGTGGCTGTGCACCTTCAGAGAAAATTCTTGAGACTCTTTCTACCCCCCCCCTTCACCCCCACATTTCCTCACATCCTGTAAAGGCTTTTAAAGCAAACTGAAAATGGGTATAACCAGATGCTATCATCTATAAGGTTACCGATGATAGTGTGGAGATCAATCATCTCATCACAGAGAAGGAGAGAGAGAGAGAGAGAGAGAGAGGGAAATCTAACTGAAAGGTTTCTCCTTCCTTTGCTGAATAAACCTCGATAAGACAGAAATAAATACACCCTCACAGACATACATTTTCCAATCTTCTGCCTTTTTTTTGCCTCTCAGAGATGTCTTCGCTGAAGATCTGAGCAGACAAGGTATGGCAGTGTACACCATCATTCAACGTGAAGAGCTGGCTCCCGGCTAGAGGCAACACACACCCACACATCTCAAGAGCACAGGAGATGGAAAATGAACAGAAAAAAAAAAAAAAAAAATACAATGGCGAAGGTTGATAATGGACAAATGTGCTGCTGGCGTGCATTGCATACATACCAGGGCAGGAGAGAGCTGCTGCAGATCCCCACAGTGTGTAGTGAGACTTAATTGAGAAAAAAAAAAAGGGTGCTACGAAAACAATGAATGAACCATTCAGTCTGGAAAGCTGTCAATCAGGGCTGCACAGGTGTGATTACAGGTAGGAGAACGCTGATAAGTGTGGGGTGGGAAAGTGATCTGCAGTGGGGGCGTCACGTGCAGCGCACATGCAATGAATATGCACCGATTTGCACGTAATTGCACGTGCGTGCGTACGCGCGCGCCCCGGAGCAACGGATCGGACACGATCCTCGCAAACCTTTGTTTACGTTTGCAACGGGGCCGTTTTCCCAAAGATGGAGTTCTCGTGCTCTTTTGCCCCGTTAACGCTCCCGCGCGCGCGCGCCGATTTGCACCGTTAAGTTCGCAGGAACGGCTCCAGGAGGAGGATAAAAAAAAAGAGGTGAGAGAATGGATACGTCTCCCATCAAGTGGTCCAACTTCATCCCATAGCGTGTGTCTCAGACTTCCATTAAGCCCCGAAAGCCTGCAGCCCCAAGGTCGTCAAAGAAAGCACCGAGAGAGAAAAAAATAGTGGAAAAAACTTACCTCCTCCACAGTGAGGGGCATGCATATCCTGTATTCCTTCATTAACATCTTCTCTTCCCCCCACCTTCTCAGCGCGTCCTCGAAATGTATTCACAAATGTGTTAGAACCAGTTCAGTAAGAGTTCCCCTCCGACGGGATGTGAGTAGGACCCGGAGACGTGTGTCAGCACATGGGAGAGATGAGGAGGACCGAGTTATGCCGCGTAGCCCGAGTTGTGCCTGACTTCTTTCATCGGAACCAGCCAACGGTCGCTCTCAGCTGCGCGTACGACGGGAGAAATGAGCTCGCTATGGTTCTGGGTCGTCCCCTCCTATCGAAGTCGAGTCAAGCCGCCGTGTCTTAGCGCAAGCCAAAACCGGATATGGTGACATTTTAGGCTTTGAGAGTAAGAGCATCGCACACGTCAGCCATAAAACTGTCAAAAGAAAATCCTTATAGATAAAACGTTTTACATTGAAGAGACAGAGTCGTCCTCTTTATTTTTTATTTATCTCACAATCAATACCCCCCTTACAACTCTATATAAATCGAAGAACGGCTTGAATAATTCAAACTACAATATAGTTTCTGAATTGTAACACTATTCTATGCTAGTTGTTGGGACCAGAGCAGACAGCATTTAACTGTGGATTATATAAATAATAAACTCATAAATAATCATATTTGTAGGGTGCACTTTCTCTTCATTCAAACATTACAGTATTATACACTTAATTCCAATCATTCATTTTATGAGCCAAGGGTACATTTTAAAAAGCAGCCTCCCTGTGGAACATTCTGGAGAGACCACAGGGCCACACGCATTCATACACTAACTTCGTGAACAATTAAAAGTCACCAATTTGCCTTTATAGACAAAACACTCTAGCAAACATCTAATTCAGTGTCTAAATATGCAGGCCCTTAATTTGAATAGTTATACAGCGGAAGTGGGCAACCGTGGTTGTTCGTGGACTGTGTTGTCCGAGAAACCTCAGAAGAAGTGAAGCACCAAAATGCTGTTTAAACGGTTACATAAGGCGGTAGTTCTTCCAGAACCCCGTCACTCTTTTTAAACATTTCAGACTGTCCTCTGAGTTAACGAGGCGGGCGACGAGACAGTTTTTTTTCCCCCTCTCAACTCGACTTCTCGTAAAAACCGCTTCGAGGTATCGGAAAATACAAGCGGTTAACACTCGGCTCGGTCTCGTTTCCACAGTCTTCTTTGGTCGGCTGAGAAAAAGCGAAGCGGGGCTCGGTGGAAACGCCGAAATAGTTGCCCACAACACAGCCCTACCCTCGGCAGTCTGCCGCATCCAGCTCTGCTCGGGCTGTCCGGCGGGTTTTTTAGTTTGTGGTTTAGAAAGGTTTAGCTAGCTGGGTTCAGCTCCTCACGCGCGCACGCTGCAAACCGTGGCCGTTTGTTCCATAGCGCGTGGGGTTGTCAAAGTAAGAATACAAGACACGGAAAACAGGGCGACTGTTGGTCGTCCTGAACACATATGGAACTTCTCCAAAATACATATAGAACTAGTATCAAGGGTCCTCTGAGGTCCTTCTAACTTTTATGCATTTTCAATGTGGAACACGTTTGTGGAGTGATACACTGCATTTCTCTGGTTTGCATACTGAAACAAATGATTTGAATAGTTCACAGAGACGTAAAAAGCCCATTGATGACTCACATGTGGCCAGATGTGCACAATGTTGGTGTTGGCCTTTCTTATTGCCAATCATGTGAGAGGATTTGTTCAAACTGACATAGTAATGTTTACGAGGCTATTGATGTTCATTCCCCCATTATGTTCTTCCTCAGGTGCAGGTCTCCAAAAAAGCCCACCTAGTCTGCACAGTTAGTTATCCGCAGAGCAAACAGGACGCTGGGTCAGTGGCACTAACTCTGTTGTCCGTAAATGCTGCAGCACATGAATAAATATTTGCCTGCTCGACGGTAAGAGTGCAGCTGAATGACAAAACGGACAGCCCTGCTTCTGGTGGCACAAAACCGTTCTTCTAAAAACAAGATGGAGACACTTTGGTTGAGTTGAAATGTGGTTAGGCTGCTGGTTTTATTGAAAACATAACATCCTTTGGCAGCATGTTGCTTCAGAACAATGTCTTACTTGGAGGGCAAACCCTCTCTGAAAGCATTTAAATTCCAACTCTACTCTTTATAAACACACAAACCACTTCGGCTATACATCGAATATAGTTTTTTTTTTTACACACAGTAATGAGCTGAGATTTCTGATTAACATATGCTGAAACATACACTGTGAGAGCGATGTCTTTAATTAAAACCGCAACTCACACTTGTGAATAGGTGTGTCACGCTTAAAGAATAGCACAATACATTTCAAAAGCAGCAATGCTGGGACATTCCACTAACCTTTCAGTGTAGGTGTAGAAAGTTAAAATATTATGTCTATTAATCCTCATTTTACTGCTGTGAACATTGATCAAATACTGATGGCTAATCTGGTGTGGTTTGTTTGGGGAAAAAATGCATCTACCACACCCAGGATGCATGTAAATGCCTCAGTCTGATTAAATCCCTACAAAAGTGTTAAAGATCAGGCCTGTGCCTGCTACAGATATGGATCTATTTGCACCTTTGCAAGAAAATTAATAAACAGAAAAGTGCAAGTAGAAATGAACATAGTATCCCTGATCTGAATAAAGCTGTTTTTTATTCCCTTATCCTTCTTTATCTGCTTTGGTCCTTGGTGGTAGACATGGGGGTCTGTCCACATGCAGAGTGGCCTGCAGCAAGGTCACAAATGAACCAGAAAACTAATCAGACCAAGGGCAGAGCATAACTGGAAACGAAAAGAGGAAAAAAAAATACAGCGTGAAAAAAAAAATCAAGCACAAAGAAACAGCAGGACTGAGAAACCACAAGGGAGGAGATAACAATAAACTGGCAAATGACTGAGGGGACAGAGGAGCTATAAATACAGGAAAGGTTGATGAGTTACTGATGAGTTATTAACAGGAGAAGAGTGAGTTGAGATCAAGGGATTGGACCAAGACTTCTGAGGACATCTAGGGGTGATATAGTAGCTTAAAGTGAACCTGGGAATGAAGGAAAGCAGAGACACATCGGAGGATATGACATGAAAATGTATACAGAGTGAAATACTTAATGAAAGACTTGGAAAAAGCAAAAGTGGCAACTTCACAGGACACAAAAGACAAAGTCTCATGATTAAAACAAGAAAATAAATCCAACATGGACCAAAACTGAATAAACAAAAAGGAATAAAGAATAGAGACTATAAAAGGCTTTAATCACACCATCAAAAAAGAAAAGCAATGATGATAATCGACTAAAGTCGAAGTGATGAGGTGTCAGGGCAATGCAGTAGGTGTGGATTTGGGTGTTCTGTTGTTGGTTTGGTGTTGAATGGGTTGGAGATTTTGATTCAAAACTAACACCAGCCGCCATACGCAGAATTTAAGAATTTTGAATTATCCATCTCACTGAGCTCACAGGATCTTCACTAGTATGCCTTAAAGAAAACAGAGCTCTGTCTTGGGACTCTCATATCTACAACGGAGGGATCTTATGTGAAATCCAACAGAGTTTTCATTTATTGGAATCTGATGCATTACTAACATGTGGAACAGTTTTTTAGAATATCTGGCCTGTATTCAATTAATGACGGTGGTTTTTATTAGGTCCAAATCCCTGAGGTGAAAGGATCATCTCATGTGAGTGCTACGTCTGAACCAACTAACCATGACCTGAAAGTGACCCAACCATTTATAGGAGGTTTTTTTTGTTGACTGTAAAGGAGGTTAGATTTGGTTTAATCTGTGTTGCATCAATACAACCAAAGCAATCTGGATCACCAAAATATAGTCAGTCAACCTTTGCCCTTCCTAAAAGCTGCTTAAATAAGAGAAAATTTAGTAATTTTTTTTTTTCTATTTTATTATTATCATTAATGTTATTTTTATTTTATTTCATTTTTTTCCACATTTGGTCACTCTCTCTCACAGTGAACCTGAGTCATGTTCAGTTTATCCGTCCTCTTTGGCCAGTTGCAGAGCACCCACTGGATCAAACTGATTTTAGCTCAGGGCTTAGGGGCTTTCTGCCCCACGAGCAGGAAAATCACTGACCCACATTAGCTTTATTTACGGGGAGCATTTAGAGGCAATGAGTTGTGTGGAGACAGGAATCTTCAATCAAAACATGAGGAGGACATCTACTGGTTGACTTGGTCATCACAGTATTTGTTCAGATTTGTTGAGCATGTTCACAAAGTTCATCTCAGTTATCTTTATTTCTATATCATGCTTTAGGATCTAATTACATTTGTCAAAAACTCAATATTTGAAGCACAGCAGATGTCTCACTCTTGGGTGAGTCAGTGACAGTAGGCAAGAGATGGTTTACATCACACGCGCTATTAGTGCTGATTTAAAGAAACCAGTTTTTGGACGATGGAAGGTCAGTGGAGAAACATGCAGACCCTGCACACTGAACACGGAAAATGGGTGGCACCAAATGTATTAATCCCAGGTATAATCTTAGCTGTTTAGTCTAAAACCCCAGACAATAAAAAATAAATCATCTTTTTTAATCAACAGAAAATTATCATTAGTTTCTCTACTGTGAACTAGAATATATTTTACATTTCCAGCTGGCAACATTTTGAATATTGTCCTGTTGTACGTTTTGTGTAATGTGCATGTTTAAGAAATGAATTATGTTGTTTAAAGGCACATCTGCTGTGACTATGAAGCAAAACCACTTTGGTAAGATTAATTAAATAACGCCTGTCCGAAATGTTTCAAAGGGTCCTTCGTGGGCCCTTCAGGCATCTTGGACAGCCTTTTGTCTGCGTTCTGATTGGTCACCTCACATTGACGTCCCTTTGACAAGCAAAACAGTGCTAACCTGAGTGTTGCCGCAAGAAAAGAGACGCTCTGTACAATATTTCATTTTGTACTCTGCAACAATGTCTGAGGAGCGATCTGAGAGATCTGATGGGAAGATTGTGAAGATGGAGGTTGACTACAGTTCAACTGTAGACCAACGGCTCCCGGAATGTGAAAAAATGGCTAAGGTAAGCGCATTGGAGCAGGCCAGCGCTGGCTGAGTCATGGTGCACCGGGACCGCTGCTTTAGCATTCAAGCTAACACACAACGTTAATAGCTTTAGCATAGCCCGGAAAACGGTCTTTCCCCATATATAATCGGCATGTATTAGTCGTAAATGCTCATTTCTTTATTCCCCCCACAGTCCAAGCTCTTTTTATTTATTTGTATACGTTTTTTCCTTTGAACTTTATTCATTAGGTGATATCCTTTAGCATGTAGACGTAAGCATCAGTTAGCCAACTTTACCACCAGTTACTTAAATGTTCGGAATGTAAAGGGAAAATGTTTTTTCTCATTATTAAAAGTGTGTATGACACATTGTGTTTGTTTATTTCTCCATTGCAGGAGGGAAAGCTACAGGAAGCCATTGAGAGCTTGTTGTCATTAGAAAAGCAAACCAGAACGGTAAGTCATTTTCTCTGGCCTTGTATTCTCATTGAAAAAATCTGGACCTTTTACAGTTCTGAATTGGTTTAATGTTCCTCACTGCGTCTTGATTGAGGTACAACTGTTAATAACCATTGATTATCTTTTGAATTTATAATTTTAGGGCAAGAAAGTAATCAAATATTGTATTTGCAAATCTTTATATTTTGTTTACAATGGCTAATGGATTCTATTTTCATGAACATTTATATGTATCTCAGTCTGTGATATTTATTATCTTTCTCTCAGGCATCAGACATGGTGTCAACCTCCAGAATCCTTGTGGCTGTGGTCCAAATGTGTTATGAAGCCAAGGACTGGGATGCCCTGAATGAAAATATCATGCTGCTCACCAAAAGGAGGAGTCAGCTGAAACAGGTCAATATTTGAATGTTACTTTCTTTCTAAGTCGCTTTGGATAAACTTAAATAATTTTTTTCTTACCTTTTTTGCTTTTTAAAAAACTTTGTGCAGCAGACATGGTGCTGAATTTCACAACATCTGTGTTGTAAATATGTGCTGGATCCTCTATACAGTCATCTCAAAAGTACAGCACATCTGATAGACCTAGTTTTCAATATAACAGATTATGTTGTTTTTCCATGAAGATATGCAGTTTTTAAGGATTAAACTTCAATTGGAATATTTGTGTAATTTGTATCTTAAATGAATACCATAACAGCTATTTTAACTTCCAGATTTACTCTTATGTGGACTTAAATATTGTTTTGTTTTATCTGTCTTAGGCTGTTGCCAAAATGGTGCAAGAATGTTACAAGTATGTGGATGCTGTGACGGATCAGACCATCAAGCTCAGACTTATTGATACTCTGCGCACTGTCACTGCTGGAAAGGTCTGTAATGTATTAGTTATAACAGTGCTGCATGTTGGGATGTGCTTCTGGTTAAATTATTTGTGCTTTGATTCTGCATTCAGGGATTCACTTTTTATTCATCCAACAGGCAGAAAAAAATAGTTATTCTTTGCATGCAACCACAGAAGTGTTCCTCTTTTATCAGCTGTGTGAAACAAACACATTTACTCGGCTTTGACGTTTGGCAGCATCTGTTTCGATTGTTTTTTTTTTCCCCAAAAAAAGAAAACGTTCCCCTGCTCATCCAATCAGGACTGACTGTCATGATGGGGTGGTCAGGCTTTAGCTCGACTCATGAGCCCCTTTTTAATTAAGTAATTAATTGATTCACCATTTGTCCACCTCGCAGATCTATGTCGAAATTGAGCGTGCCCGGCTCACAAAGACCCTTGCAAATATGAAGGAGCAGAATGGAGATGTCAAAGAGGCTGCTTCCATTCTTCAGGAGCTGCAGGTCAGATTATGATTTTTCTTTCTATCCTGGAATGCATCGATTGTCAAACTGTTTCAATATTTCATTATTTGCTGCATGAAAAGTTCTAGACATGGATCTACTTTTTTCTGACCAGGTGGAGACATATGGCTCCATGGAGAAAAAGGAGAAGGTGGAGTTTATTTTGGAACAGATGAGGCTTTGCATTGCTGTTAAGGATTACATTCGCACCCAGATCATCAGCAAGAAGATAAACACCAAATTCTTTCAAGAGGAGGGCACAGAGGTAAAAGCATGAGAGGCTGGCCTGTATTTTCTCTCCTACAGAAGCTGTTGCATCACTCTTGGTATTAACTGAGTCTTCTTTTTTCTCTCTCTATGAGCAACTCAGGAGTCGAAGCTGAAGTATTACAACCTGATGATCCAGGTGGACCAGCATGAGGGCTCCTACCTGTCTATATGCAAACACTACAGGGCCATTTATGACACCCCCTGCATCCTGGAGGACAGCAGCAAGTGGCAGCAGGTGCAGTTTTACAGTAAAATAAATGTTACTTGGCAATCGTTTTTGATAGAGGGCAGATTTTGGCGGCATAATGCATTTAGCTCTGTTTTCATTTATTTTGTTTTTGTTGAATTTGGCACAAAGACTTAATGTTCTAATGGTTTCGTTGCAGGCCCTTAAGAGTGTGGTGCTGTATGTGATCCTCGCCCCTTATGACAATGAGCAGTCGGACCTTGTGCACAGAATCAGCGCTGACAAGAAATTGGAAGAAATCCCTAAATACAAGTAAGCTGCCCTTTGCGTCCCTCTTCTTTACTCTGAACAGGAATCCGATGTCACAGACACATCTCAGAAAGGCTGGGACAAAACCGATATTTCTTCGAAGAGATTGTAAATAACGGAGACCCCAAGGACACTAGGCCTTCTTGCCTGATAAAGAACTCTAGCTTGCAGTTATAAGTCTTCTTCGTCATATCATGTACTTTAAATTGTTGAAAGGGCTTAGCTGTAGTTAGGCCATCTAACTCTACCATGAAGCTTTGGCGTGAGCTGTGTGTTCTCGCATTGTATTGCTGAAATATAAGAGTCCTTCCCTTAAAAAAAAGCATGTTGTCTGGTGCGTCTTCGCACTTTCCAGCCCTAGATGGCACCTTTCCATATGTACCAGTTACCAGTTTTGATCAGCACTAATCCACCTCCATCTCAGTTAAACAGCAGGGCTTTGAATCCTTTCGGCCACTAAGTGCAGCATCCATGGTTTCCAAGGGAGGGAATTTAGAGTTTGATAAATCTATGGATGGCATGATGGCTGCTGTGTTCACTGACTGTTTTTTGTGGAAGTGTTCCTGAACCTTGGCAGTGATTTCTATATCACATTAATAACTGTTTTTGACACAGTACTGCCCGATTATCCCGGACACCTAATATTCATTTTTATCTGTTACTCGTGCACACAAGAGATGTGTCCAAAGTCTCAGAATCATTTATTGATATCCTGTACTGTAGGCGATGTAATATTCATAGCCCTTGTGATTTTATAATGAGGACCATTATTCTAAAACTGCGTCATGTCATATTTGTTCATCTTTACTTCTGAGGATACTCTCTGCATCTACTCTTGTCATTGGCCCTCTGTCACTTAACCTTAACATGTACCTCTGGCTTTTCCTTTTGACTAACTCTTGTTCTTCCAGCCTCTTGTTGCCTCTGATCTCCTGTTTCCATTTAAATCAAAATCAGCTCACATGTTTCACTTGCGGTACATGAGCCCACAAGCTAACAAAAGCAACCTCTGTACTTTGTGACATCAGGTGCATACTTTCTTTAGAGGATGTTGATCCCAGAGGATTTTCAGCCCCTTCTTCATGTCTTCACAGGGACCTTCTAAAGCAGTTCACCACCATGGAGTTGATGCGCTGGGCCTCACTGGTGGAGGACTATGGCAAGGAGCTGAGAGAGGGCTCACCTGACAGCCCCGCAACAGACGTCTTCTCATATTCAGAGGAAGGGGAGAAAAGGTGGAAGGACCTGAAAAACAGGGTGGTGGAGCATGTAAGTCCCACATCAATGAGAGCTTTGAACATTACCCGCTGTAGCTTGAAAGTCCCATTTCCTAACACTTAATGACTCAGTCTCAACTGTAGATGTAGTGCCCAGGTTTGATTATTGTTATGTTAATGAAGGTCTGTATTGTTCCCCAGAACATCAGAATAATGGCTAAGTATTACACCAGAATCACAATGAAGAGGATGGCGGGGCTGCTTGACCTCTCTATTGACGTAAGCAAATTGTATTTTAATGTATTAGCCAAAAGAAACTCGCATTAAGAGCACGAGACCTGGGTGTCACAGGAAACCACTAACAAGATGCCCGTTTGCTCAAATACTTTCCCAGGAATCAGAGGAGTTTCTCTCCAGTCTCGTGGTTAACAAGACCATCTACGCCAAGGTTGACCGGCTTGCTGGCATCATCAACTTCCAGAGGCCCAAAGACCCCAATGACCTGCTCAACGACTGGTCGCACAAACTCAACTCGCTCATGTCTCTGGTCAATAAGACCACTCACCTCATTGCCAAGGAGGAGATGATCCACAACTTGCAGTGACACAAGAGCACAAACCATCTTTTTATGATCCGATTCATATTCATTTTTGTTCTTTGTGGGATTTGGGGGTGGGGGGGCCCGGTTCTTTCGAATATATGTTATACTGGCTAAATGTCACTGCAGACTTATTGTATTTGGAAAGAAAAGGAAAAGTACGTCTTACTGTTTCTTTTGACAATAAACACATGAGAACCTCCTTTTGCATCTCTGCTTCATGCAACTACTAATTCAAGAATGTTCCCAGTTTCATGGAATATTAACCAGTTTAACGCTGATTTCTGCATGCAGACACAACTTAAAGCTCTTCATTGTTTTAAACAGTAAACTCAGTGTTGGTTAACAGTTTGATTGAGACCTCAATAGTCAACACGTTCCAATATGACAAGTGCTGAAAACCTGATCAAATTTGAGAGGTGGCTGACCTCCTAATTTTATGGACAAACAAAATGGCAATTTGCCAAGAAAATCTGTTCATACAGCAGAGATTACAGTCTATCAGTTTATATCAGGGATACCAAATGGAGGAAACAGACCTCTGTATTAGATTAAATTAAAAAATTGACCCGTGGTACTGTGGTGAATAAAATAGATATGATTATTAGTACTAGTGTAGAGAAGTCCACTTCAAATTCTGCCTGCTTATTTGGACGACACATGGTACACGTTTCATACAATTTCTACTACATTTCAGAGTAATCTAAAACTTTTTTAACGTATTTTTGTCTTCTAAAGTTTACTGTGTCGTGATGTGGGCATTTAATATGCAGTTTAAATCCTAAATAATGAACGGGACGTTTCACATAAGACTTTTAAGAACAGTGTGTGGGAATCTGCCAGCAACCTACACACCAAATAATATGGTTGCATTATATTTGCTCTACAAATAAAAGAATGACATTCATGTTTAAGAATGGGTGTTGGAATCCTGATCTCTTTTGTGTATTCAGCAAAGCTATTGTAAAAGGACTGGAAAGAAAACCAAACAGTGACTATAAATTGATCTGCAAAAGAGTACCAGATGACACATATTCACTGCTGGTTTAATGGATTTAGAAATTACCACAAAGTGAGGAAATTTCCCTTTCACATTCTCACAGGGTTTTTACATTGGAAATGTCATAATTATTCGTTGTCACAGTAAACATTAATCCCTGATGGGTGACATTTAATAATACGTGTCCCAAACCTAAATTCCACCCGATTTTAAATTTGTTTGGTGAGTCAACGTGTATGAAAATATTTTGGATTATTTTTGTTTACTTTGGGAATTTTTTTCCTACCAAGCAGAGCTTGTAGTGCAGTTAAACTGCTGTACTGGCTTTTTTTTTCTTTACATCAGTTAAGGGTGTAAATACAGTCTATTAACCTAAAATTTACTTGCAGGCAATTTATTCTCAAATGTTTTTTGACATGAAAAATCCCTGCCATCATAGGGCCACATTAAGACATGGGCTCACGCGCACGCACGCACGCACGCACGCAGCAGTCCTCTCAACCTTCAGATCAGTACATCCCACTATGCTTTGCGATGGTCTGACAAGTGGATCCAAGATGGCGTAGAAAGTAAAGCTAGGTAAGTGTTGACTTCCCATTTTCAGCCCTTTCAGTTGGCTTTTGCATCTCAGAGCCACCGGCACGAATCCCCTCCATAAATCCCGAGGACAACGACGAGTGCTTTGAGTTCGTGCGCGGATAACAACAAGATGTCATTTGTGTTATATGCGCCTAAACACCGTGGCAAAATTTCAGGCCCGAGCCCGTTTTGTTTCGGCGAACCCTGCTAGCTAGCCTGCTAACGTGAACAAACCAGCCAGCTATTCTTGTTGTGAGCTTGCCAGTTTGGTGCCAAGAAAGGCCGTGTTTTGGCTGGCCGGCTAACGGCTAGCTACGCACACTCCGTTTAGTAGCAGCCTTATTTAACCAGTGCAAACAAGAACGGTAAGTTAGCCAACACAGAGGGGACATTTTCAGGGCTTTGTAACGCTGCCGTCATCGCTCTGATTTGCAGCAGTCATGACAAGTTTGCAAGACAAACAACAGCCACAACTATCCACTGAAAGACGAAATATGTCACCCCAGATGTTTGTGCGTGTGGCTATGGACTATTCTATACTACTCAATGCTTACTAATTGAGCAAATCTAAATCGGGATATTTTATAATTCTTGTTTTATAAACATTGTCGCTAACGATGCTGTCAGCCCAAAATAACGTTATGTCAGAGTGTAAGAAGTCTGTCACTATCTTCAGCCGTGGAGTGATCATTCTTTCCACAGTATTTCACTTTACTGTGGACTAGTCTGTGGTCGCCCTAAAAAAGAGAAAGGTGTCCACCCACTGTATCCCGCCAAACTACTTGTTGTTGCCTCTATTAAGTAAGAGCTCTGGAAGCTGAAATATTAGAGAAAAAAAATGTGCACACGGTTGTAAATATTTACGTAACATCACTTTTTTTAAAGTATACCCTCTGTTGTGCTAAGATTTGCTCCTAGGTTTGCATGGTCTTGGGTTCTAGTTTCCTCTTCTCTGCAACCGAGCTTCACTTTTAAATCCAACTGCTTTGCTAGCTCTCATTTTGATTTCCACACATTGTACTGCTTGCTTTTTGCTAAATGCATATATCCCTTGAATGCAGTTGAGTCATCAGCACAACGTGTTAGCTGTTTTGTTGTGATGTGTACTCCCCAGTAAACATTTGAGGCACTACAGTAATCTGTTGTTTGCTACACAAAAAAAGATCAAGAATTTGAGCATAAAGTTACTGCATTGTAGCAGTGGAATCAATCAATAAATCAATCAATAAATAAAGAGACATACATTTCCTTTAATCTTAGACAGAGAAAATTCAGTCTATCCCAGCTGTAAAATTAAATGAACATAATTCAGTTTGAGTGACATGTGTTATTACATAACTTATTGGTCATGTTTACACAATGCATTTTTGACACCTTACTTTGGTAATACTGTACTCCTCTAGTTTGAATTTAGGGTCCCTGAAGGAGCCACAACAACACATGCCCTCAAATGCAGAAAATAAGTTGCGTGCTGTTGTTTACTCACTTAAACTTTCAATGATGTTGCATAGATAGACTTTGTAGTGAAAAGTTTGGAATTTCAGATGCACTATAGTTTTTACAGAATAGCTGGTGCTGCAGTTTTGGCCAGTTGTCGCATCATCAAGGGGCACGAAGATAGATTGTAATATGAGCTAATCATAAAAATCTGTATTATTCCTCTGCTGAGTGATGCATGATTTAGGGAAAGTCTAGTCATAATGATTTTTAACACTCTGTTTTAACTCTGTTAGAGAAATGTCCTCTTTCAACCCTTAAATAACTCTTTAACATAAATGGACATATTGTTTTAGACATTTTAGACCATTTCGAGAGTTTTACATATTTCAAAACCACCAACTTAGGTGATTGCATTGCACAAGAAAAGGTGTTTATAATATTTAAATGTCTAGCTAGCTAGCTAGCTAGCTAGCTATAAGCACAGTATGTTAGTTTTTAGACCCTCCAGCTAAATATAATCTAATGCTTGACTCATTTCTGTCAAAAACCTATGGCAGAGGGTCAGCCATATTATTGAACTTTTTGACACTTAAAATGGCCACAGGACCCAGTGCCATCTTCTTCTGGAAATATGTGCATCCTGTTGTTAACATCGACAAGACCTTAGATACTGATACATTCTGAAGATTGCAACAATGCACAGCTTGTGATAACAGCCTCCCCCTGTAGCTCAGAAGTTGTCGCTCCTGAAACTGCACGAACAACCTTGCAAATGATCTTAGGTTTTAATCCAGCCTCTCAGCTCACCAGGGAACCCCACCGATTACCCCACAGAACCCACAGAATACTTTGCTACCAGACACTCCAGGATGCCCTCAGGTGTTTTTTGTCAATGCCTTTTACTGGCTACTTTTTACAGACCTGTTTGATATAAAGCATGTATTCACAAATGTGTGGATTATCAATATGCACTTGCATTTGACTTTAGATTAAAAATCCTCTTTAACTCATGATCCTGACTTCGAAAAGCTGACTGAAACTAAAACTGACAAGGGAACTCAAGCTGCTGTTGCAGGCAGAGCTGCGTATTGCAGGTTATAGGGGAAAAGAACTGAGACACTTCTTCACATATGGCCATGCATATTAATATAGATATATATCCCTTTTCATGTAGTAGTTAAATACTATTACCTTTTGAGAATATATTGCACTAGGCCACATGCCATAGTTTAAATGTTATTCAGCCAGTCTTATCCAAAAGCTCAGTTCCAGGGTGTGGTGATGGAAAATTAGCATCAGCTAGTGTCTCTGCAATTGAATTAGGACTTTCTCTTTATTTTTTACTTTTTTGTGAGTCGTCTTTACACTTATTGAGCTTAATAATTCTATTGCCCAAGTTTTGTAATAAAGATGCTATATCTGGTATGTAGTGATATCCTGCAAAACCAGTTGAGAAACTGATACGGTGAGAAAAAAGTGGACCACAGAAAAGCTATAAGAAGACTTTTTTGCAAGTTCAAATATTTGAAGATAAGTTGTTCTCCAACAGGTCACGATGTACTCTCTGACCATCTGTGCTATTTAGTGGGGAAAAGGCCAGACTGCTTCATGTAATTGCAAACTTATGTTTAAATTCACTCACACACATTCACGCCATTGCTTTTTGTCAAGTTGCTCATTTATTATTGTTAGGTTGAAACAAAACTTATTTTAAACACAAGTAATTAGCTGTGCTAAAGCAAATAAAATGCATTTTTCCCTCCATTGTTTCCCACCTTTGCTCCCTAATGCTAATGCAGAGCAGAATAAGGGAGCATATTTCGTAGTCATGAAGGTTTGACTCATTGATAATCGCTGCTGCTTGGTGAGAAGGACAACAAACAAGGTGGAACAGTCCACTCTTTTGACTCAACATTATTCTGTACTCTGGATGAAATATCCAATCTTAGGCTTACATAATCTTCCTATCAGAGTGAAGAATTTACATATGGTTTTAAATCTTAATAATCAACATAATGCTTTTCAGTCACAAAGGTCCTACTTGCACCTATTTTTTAAGGGTTTAGCGGTTTTTAAGTGACATTTTTTGGCTGAGTTGATTTCTGGTTCTGTGGTTTTGCTCTTCCAGTCCACTTTGGAGTGAAATTATTTAGGAGAAATCTTGTTTTCATGTGCCAGTGGATGCACTAACCAATGAAATTGAAGTTCCAACTTCTTTTCTGAAAGACTACATAAGAAACCTTAATGGATGATGTCAGGCTTGATGCATGTTTTCAGAGCTATACATGTACAGGTCACACTTCATAACTGTGCTTAAACAATGACTGATTTCTGTGTTGCTATTAGCTGTAGCATTTTGAGTTCTCATGTAAAAGTTCTGTTGAAACTTCCCAGACAACCCCAGGCCATCTGCTCCTGCTCCCAATGCCATTCAGGCCTCCTCTGAGACTCACACCTCAATAGACCCCAGCTCCGCCGTGATAAACTGCAGTTAGTGACAGTAGACCTTTTTCTGCCCAGGAAATATGTCTATGTTAGGGGGACACTCCAGTTAGATCTTGGAAAAGGTGGACAACAAGTTCATGTACCACTGTGCCAAGTTCACTAAAGCAGCAGAGCAGAACAAGGATGCCATAAAGTCTGTCCGAAATGAGATAGCTGACTATCAACAGCTGCAGTCCAAGATGGAGCCAGGGTGCTTGACTGCTGACATGCTGAATACATTGCATCATTATGACTGGTCTTAAAGCAGTTGAAAGGTTTGCCGTGGCAAGTATGACCAGAAAAGTTTAATAAAGTTTCCCCAGCTGGGGTATAGCGGTGGTTTCCTGTGAATATCTGCTATTTTCAGTTTTGACAGTATCGCCTCTTGCCTGCTGATGTTAACTGTGAGTAGTTGACATCCGTTTGCTTCTCTGGCACTGTCTCCGCTCCTGTAGTGTACTTTAACACATCCAAATGCACATCAAGTTTCTGTTATCTGACAGCACAATGAGTCAGAAACACTGTTGTGACTGAAATGTCACCCACAGAGACTGCACAGAAACCAGCAGTCACCGACTCTGATAAAGTCACCTCTGACCCCATCTGTGTTTAGTTTTTGGAACAAATAAAATGTCTCTTGGAAACTAATTTCTTATCCATGAGACACACCAGACTGCTCGGCAGGGGACATGGGTGAACCAGGGAAAGTAGGTTTTAATTATGACCTGGATGTTCTCTCTGCACTGCTTAGATTTTGCCAATGCTTAACCAACACATTATTACATTTAATGCTAGTTGGTATATTTTTTATGGTAAATATTTTTAATTAAACTGGCAAAGTTGACAGAGGTAAAATCTGTTGTAAGCTTGTTTTGTTCAAACTTTGAGGAAAAAGTTCGTTGAAAGTTTGTAGTGGCTGTTGGCAGAGAAAAGTGATGAACAGAGGCAATAATAGCACCTCAAACACGGATAGTAAATCAGTGTCATTCATTCAATTAATGTTACGCACGAACAAACCGACTACAGACTCAAATTCTATCAGAGTAACATTTTTGGAACAACACAATCCCTCTAAAGTGTTTAAAGGCTGCAGGGTCCTTACTTTCATTATCCGTACTTAGGCCCCGAAGGTAAATGTCCAAGCAAATTTACCCACACATCCACATCTAATGTCCTACAGTTCTCCCAGAACATCGTATGGTGTTGTCGTGACAAAAAAGTGCAATAAATAGTCGAGTGAAGTGTTTGTACTGCATTAGATGCATTTTCCAGACCAGGGTTGGCACAAATGTGATCAAGGTGTAATTGTAGAGGGTACTTTCACAGGGGTTTCCCAAAACGGGAAAAATAAATTTGTGAAGAACAAAAAAATTCCTACACAACAAAATAGAAAGTGTGTACCTCTTGAGTGGGGTTCTCCAATTTGTGTGGTTTAGTTCAAGGTTTTCCAGGAGAAGATACAATAACAAGCTGTGTTGTTGTTAGGGGGGGAAAGGTCACCATGCTGTGTGACATTAGCGGTACACAGAGGATATACATTTAGTAAACTGTAATGTCAAACAGACATTGGAGCTCCAAACCCAGCACAAACACAACGCAGACATGCTATTTGCTCCTAAGCATATTGGTGATAAAGGTTTAATTAAAATGGGACAAACGCAGAGTCAATTTTGGAGAACTTCAAATTGAAGGGAATAATGCCTTATAACATTTTGGCTTCCTTCCTTTGAAACTAACATGTTGGTATTTTTAAAACATCTGTGAAATATGTGTGTGCATTTATTTTAAGGACACATTCGAGCACAATACTTGAGTGTAATTTGCAAGTCGGAGCATGTATTTACAAATCACATGTCTCAAAAATGGTCCAAAAATAGGATGAAATGCTCTCAGGCCGGAGCTCTGATTTATAGAGTTGCTTGTCATGACATGTTCGATGACGTTAGAAATTGTGTTAGACAATGTGAGCCTTTTTCTTTTGTGTCACTTTCCACCTTTTACCTCACGTTTTTGCGTGAGGATGCTCATCTGATTTTGGGGCTGCTTTTTCTCTCCCCTTGTGCTTGCAGACGTTTTGTCTCTAAGTCATGGCAGACAGGAGAGCGGAGAAGTCATGTGAAGAAGCCAGCAGATCGTTAGCCAGGCGGGAGTACGAGGCGGCAGTCACCCACAGCACAGATGCCCTGGCGGTCCTTGGGCCGCAAATCCCATCCTCCCCTGTCCCGCTGAGCCCCCCGTCAGCTGTTGCAGCCGGACCACTCCGTAGCCGTGCCCTGCTCTACCGAATTGCTGCATTCCTACAACTGGTGACGATACTAGCTGTTTCAAGCATTGTTTTCTCCCTTTAGTGGCATCGTAGCTGGTAGTCACTGTATGCCATTGATTTTATAAAGAACAAAAGTTGTTTTGGACATCAAATGTTATTACATGAAGATAGATGAGACTTTAACAAATTTAAATTGATAAACTAAAAACTGAAGTACTTATAGTAGCTCTAAAAAACAGCATGAAGGATTCTGTGATTACATGACTCTGATTATATGATATCACAAATATGTGATCATTTTTAAAGCAGCACTTCTCTCCTTCTGTTAACAGAAAAACTATGATGAAGCAGATGAAGACTGCAAACATGGTAAGTGGTAAAAGGATTGTCTTCCTTACCTTCCAACTACCTTCCATTTGTGCTCTTCCCAAAATGGTTGAATTGCCCATAACAAACCTTCCATGATTCTTTTTAAGTTGGGATTTACTCACCTTCATTTCACATTGTGTCATGTGAAAGTACAGAGTTGAGCTTTCTTTAAATGTGCAATGAAGATTGTCACAGAGGCTAAACTGCCTCATGGCTTAGACGGCATCACCGAGCTCTCCACTCAAAGCAACAGTTTAAAGAAAGTGTCTGAATTTTTTTATGCCCATATGGCACAACGGAGGTGTGAAAGAGGCTACTGAAGCCATTCAAGCCTGCTTTGAATTGTTTGAACACACATTTGTCTTGATGACACAGATGTCTAGACTCTAGGCCCATGCTGTGCAGCCTCTGAGATTTGTGCATTGTGTCTACTTTCATTGGTTTTATAGCTTCAAGTTCTAAGGTCAAATAAGTCTTCAAGAGGTGCAAGAAGAAAGCAGAACATAATTAGTTGCATTTACCCAAAAACGTTCACATCAAGAATCAAAGTTTGGCTTCGGATAAGTGTGCGGCACAGAATGAGATGTGTGAACATTGTCTGTATTTAGTTTTTTTAGAGAACATACTTGAGAACTTCGGATGAAATGAAATCAGTTCTGATTCTGTGTTGTTCATTCTGTTGCAGTTATTACAGAAGAAATGGCACGAGGGGACGGTTCACTACAGGCGAGTTTGCACTCTATGCTGTTGGACGGCAGCCTGCAAGAAGTGGCCAGCATCCTCTCTAAAGCCTTGTATGGAGAGCAAATGGTATGATTACGGTGCACCGTATACGAACAATGCTTTTCTGTTTGCGTGCAGGGAATGGCAAAATCCACATTTACTTTATGGCAAGTGCGTAAAATATGTTTTTAAAAAAATCACTTCATACATCACTTCATTGGCCATTTGATGAGACAATTAAGACTAAGAAAACCCACTAAAGGAACACACTCAATCCAAAAGGATGCATAGCTGACAATTGAAGCAGGTGGTCTAAGCGGAACTACAACTAATTGCATTGCAACCAAGGTTGGGGGAAAATGATAATTTTCTAGTGTGGTCATTATGATAATTAGATTTTTGAAATGTTTAGAAAAAATGTGTACTTGTTAATTGTAGCAAGAAACATAGAATATGCCATCCCCCTCAACCCTGATTAAAAAGCTCCTGTCAGAGAACTCTTATATTTGCTGTTGCATAAATATCACAAATGATGTGAGTTATTGATAGGGACTCAGCCCACAGAAGACAAATTACATAAACATATTTGTTTAAAATAAAGCCTACAAAAGTAAAAAAAATATAATATATGGTACTTCGTGAATTAAACGAGTGGAATTTATTGTGATTGGTACCTTTTGGTCAGGATTCATGGTCAGTTGGCTTTAACAGCACTCAAAGACAATTTTCTTGCTAAGATAAATTCATTTCTATTGTACAGATTTTTACTGTCCTTAATTAAAGTCAATTATGTTGTTGTAATACTAATCGAAAAACATGACTGCTATTAACAAATGCTGAAGTATTAATTACTGTTATGCTTTAATGAAGCTCCTTTTCCCTCCCTCACAGAATGGCATTGTTACAAAAGACTTGACCAGACTAAAAATGCTCTTCTCTGAAATCGAGGTAAGTGCCTGTGCTTGTTCCCTCAGGCTGCATATTGTTGTTTTGTGCTTTTTCTCTCCTATTTAGGTCCTCCCTTGTTTTCTTGGGTTTTATGAATAATTATATAGTGCCAAAAGTGTAACTTTTTTTTTAAGGCCAGATTTTAACATTAGCTTTATTATTTTGTGCTGGTATGCCCTATTTTCTTATTTTATGGAAATATTGTAGCACAAGTGCTTGTTTTGCAGCTAAAGTACTAGTTTACATAATAACAGTGATAATCTTATGTATCCATCTCCACCCACCCCTACCTGCCCCATCTCTTGCCAGGCTATAAATAGAGAAATGGCACCAGAATGCAGAGACGACCTGGACGAAGGTGAGCAAATCTGTACCAGGAGTTTGTTTTGTTTTGTTTTTGTTTTTTCAATGTTTATGTGCAGTAGTTTTATATGCTGTGAGTTTTTTTTCATTAAGACAATTGAGACTTCAATTGATAGTCTGAGAATGAAGCCAATATTATTGTATTTTTTAAGGTTCTTGGCAAAGTGCTTTATTGACAACTTGACTTGTGTATTGACAGAGGTCCAAGATGGCTGGCAGTTCCGACCTCCTCCCCGAGGAGTCACCAGCAGCGAGGAGTACACCCTCTGTAAAAGGTCGAATAAATCGTGTTATCATTTTAACATTTGGTTATGAGGAATTTAATCTTTTTTATGAACCACTCTGGATTATGGTACAGATTGTAATTATATGCTTATATTTATATTTTATTTTATGCAGTAAAACTTTAACCTCACTACAATCATGAGAGACCCCACATCTATAGGAAAGACACATTTGATCAAACGATAACGTTGGATTTGCTGAACAACAAGGAAGTGATTTGACTGCAGACTCATTTTGCACACAGACAAATTTGATTGGTTTTGCTTGACACGTAAAAGCTAGTTTAAACAAAAATTTCAACAAGCATTTAAAAGACCAAAATATATTACTGCACATTTAAAGCCACCTATAGGTAAGCATTTGTTATGTTTCAATTCTCATACATTCACGATATCTTTGTTTTTATTAATATACATTACATATCTGCATATTAACCCCATTATCGAATAAGCGGTTATGAAAATGGATGGATGGATGGATCTGCATATCAACCAGTGGTAGTGACAATGTAAAACAATAAGTTGAATAGCTGATTCACTGACTTTTGTTTTTCTTCCCTTTTTAGGTACTTGGAGCAGGGCCTGTGTCGGTACGGGGCCCAGTGTACATCTGCTCATTCACAGGAGGAACTGATGGAATGGCAGAAGCGCTATGCTTCACGACTCATTCGCCTCAAACAGCAGCAGGAGAGCAAACACTTCACAGAAAACTACATGGAAACTCTCATAGAGAAGTGGATGAACTCCCTCTCCCCAGAGAAAGTGGTGAGTAGCTCTGGGGTGCATGCAAGCACCAGAAAATCAATAGAAAACCTGCAAAATGAAGGTTCACTATCTTCCAAGTCATGTTTGTGATTTTGATTACCTCAGTGGAAAACATGAAGCTGAGACAGTTTGGGTCATAACACTAATTGAAAGCTCTGACAGCAGGTCAAAGAACTGCCAAACAGGGCACTGAAGTGGACACGTCTTATGCAGAGAATGAAATGAATGTTTCAGTCACCTGCTTCTCATAGAGGGGGGTACGCTTTTCTCATCTTTAGATTGTTCTAAGGGGTCAGCAGGGGAGGAGTTGTGAGCGATCTTTCAGCCAAGTCAGGTGATGGGGCAAGGCAAATCCAGGACAAATTTGATCATCTTTTATCCTCAATTTAATTTCTGATCTTGGATCAACTTTTTTTTTCACACTTTGTTGAACTATTACCATTTTGTAGTCATGTTTTTGATTTATGTGTTCATCATCCAGTACGCGAAGAGATAAAATACAGCTCTTGCACTTAACCTTTTCCACATTCTATTGTTTGTTTTAAGCAAAGTGTGCAGTCTGGAAAATGATGATGGAATAAATGCATCACATCATTTTACAGGCCATACACACACAGCAACATTTAAAGTCAGTCGTCTCCTAAAAGGTATTCTAAAGCGAAACCCACATACAATAGCAACAGTTCAGCATCTGCAGCTCGAACACACTGCGCTGTAGCAGAATTACACACAGTCAACATGACAACCACTCCATGAGTCCAACACTGTGTGACAGTTTCGACTCTGCGTGGTATCTTTCTGTTACCCCTTCCCTTCATCACCTCTCCAGCTGTTTTCTCTCGTCTGTCTGTAGCCCTCATCTCCTCTGCTCAGTCCTGAACGTCTCACCTCCCCGGCTCTCCTCTTAAAAAGGATTTGGTAGCACGCTGACTATAATCTGTGGATGTTGAGCTACAGTACATATTTCAACAAATTTATTTTATGTTTGCACAGACCAATTTGGTCACAACCTCAAATGCACATTGTATTTTGTCTAGTCATGAAGACATAACTCATTTTCTACATCTTGGCATTGACCTGGACGTTTTATGTTTAATGCTCTGTTAGGCTGAATTATTCTGTTTTTTTTCTAGTGAAATTTGCTAGAAAGACATTATTTTGGAAGGGTGCAAAATCCTCTAAAAAACTGCTGAGTGAGACGAATCCAAGCAGCAGAAACCTCTGAGCTAAAAAATGAAGCAGCAGCTTATCTTCTGCTACAGATTAGATAAGACAACATGGTTGCTGTTCAACAAGGTTAATTACAAAATGGATAATTAGCATATCAGTGTAGACATGCAGTACTGAAGCTTTAAATCAGCTGCTGCACCACTGTAGAAACATTTGTCACTGATGAGATGCTACATGCAGATATTTTACATGCTAATGGTGTGCAGCAGACACTTTGACACATACTTCCGCAAACTTTTGCTGTTTGTTTTTTCATGCACTGTTAAGTATTCTCACGCATTTCTTTCGCTTTGATTTCAACAGACCTGCAGAGACAGTCTCTGACTACGTGGGTAAATTTCCTCTGTTTGTTTTCCAGCTAAGTGACAGTTTAGAAGGAGTGAATGTCGAGACCAGCTCCAGCCTCTCTGTAACAGTCACCTCCAAGAAATCCGCCCACTCTTGGATCTTCTCCTTGTTGTGCAAGGTAAGATGTTGCATTACCTGTTGGGCAATTTGGCCAAATTTTCATTAATTGCTGGTCAGTTCTGCCTTTCCCTGAACCATCTCGTTTGTCCCCATCTTCCACTAGCCGGCTAGAAAACTGTACCGCATCGCTCTGCTCTATGATGCACATCGGCCACACTTCTTCATCACGGGCGTGTCAGCCGGGGATCGGCTCCAGGCCGTTCCCAAAGCATGCCAGGAGTGGACGCCAGGAGAGGAAACAGCAGGTTTGCAAAGCCACACATCAGGGCCGTTACTTTTGGAAAAAGTTTAACTTTTTTCAAAACATTTTTTAAAGACTGTCCATATCAGCAGGAAATACAGCTCTGACTGTTTAATGCACTGAGCTGGGCCGAGTTAGGCCTCAACTTCAGTATTTTTTTCATATTTAAAAATGCTTTTAGTTTGAGTAGTTTAGTGTTGGATTTTCTTTCCTCTGTTCTGATCTGCCAATGTTTTTGTCTGCATACTAAGCTGAAGGAGGGAGATGTTTGCTGTTTTCCCCTCTGGATGATAGCTGTTGACTTTTATCATTTGACTTTTCAATTTTTAATAAGAGAATACTCATTTACATATCGTCCTAATTTCACGTGTTCCAGCTTTTGTTTGACCAAAAAAACTGAAAGACTTGTAATAATATTTGTCTTGTTTGTATTCCATTGAAAGAACACACTTTCTTAGACTTGGAATTAAATGATTATCTTTAATGAAAGTTCAGACTGTCGCTCTTATTGTAGCAGTGCACGTGTATTATAATGCTCTTATCTGCGGTGTCTTGACAGTGGCAGCAGACAATGGCCTTGATCACTGTGTCTACAAGGTAGCAGTCGGCTTCAGCACAGAGATCTTCGGTACCTTCAGACAGACCATCGTTTTTGACTTTGGTTCTGAACCCGTGCTGATGCAGAGAATCATGGTGGATGCTGCCTCTATCGAAGGTAGAGTTACGTCAGTGCACATTAAATCCTAATAAAAATGAGAAGCTTTATATGAAACCTTCAAGAATTCACAGGAACTTATGCTTGGGCGTGTTCACGTTTAACTTTTTTTCTCCAGACCTAGAACATCTGATGGCAGCCAGGCAGCAGCTTTTGATGACCGCGAAACGCTGGGACTCTTCTTGTAAAACCCTTGTGGAATTTTGCCCCAACGAGACCATGGGTGAACTGGAGCGGAGCCTCCTTGCCCGATATCAGATACCTCTTTCAGCTGACCAGCTCTTCACTCAGTCAGTTCTGGACAAGACTCTGACCAAAGACAACTACCAGGCCCGACTGCATGACCTGCTCTACATTGAAGAGATTGCACAATATAAAGAAGTCAGCAAGTGAGTGGTTGAACAATCGAGCTTTGATATATAGCGTTTTAGAGCCATATATGCTAGAGGTGGCTCATTCATTTGAAGACGCTATTAACTTTTCCTTGAGTTCCTTGTGTTCCCCCCCTGGGTGCCACTATAATACGCTTATACCACAGGAACAGTGCAATGGAATATTTGAGTGTTTTTTAGATGCAGCTAACCATCCAGCCTTCTGACTCTCTGGAAAATCAGAAATGTGAGATATTGTAGCGCATCAACATTTTTCTGTAGAAGAAGGTTGCACTGTTGGGAGTTTTGGAGTTTAATACAAATACAATACATAAAACAATACAATAATGCTAATACAAATCGTTTACATCTGGGTTTCCTGATCTTGGTCCTCAAAGGACACTGCCCAGCATGTCTTCCAGGACCTGCATGTCTTTAGGACCAGGGTAAGGAAATACTGGTCTGCTTAAAGACGTGATGAAATGTCTCCCACCACAAGGTGTCACACTCCACTCTTAGAAACAGGGAGTGTTTTTATTTTTTTTTTTTACACAGCCTTACCAACAGTACTGTTAATGTGAGGTATCTTTGGCTTTGATCAGTGGAAACTCTTTTCTTATCACCTTTTGAGTGTGACACTGATATTTACCTAAAAGGAAAAGAAAGAGAGTTAGTGGAAGCTACACTCACGCGCTTCTGCGAGTTTAAAGGAGCATTCTGTTGCTCCACAGTCAGTCCAGTAAGTGCTGCAGCCCCTCCTTAAGCTCTTTTAATGTCTCTTAAATGGATTTTCTGTTATGACTCATATTCATTTATCTCAGTAGGAACTAAATATCATATCTTTCTGTTGTTCCTTTCAGTATGAGATGTTTATTCTAATCTTCAGGACTGACATTGTGCATATAAATATTTTCTCGGCACATGTTGCTTTTCTCAGGTGATTGAGTTTTAGGAGGTTGCTATAAAGTGTTAATTAATTCGGATCACTATTCATTAATAAGCCTCTTAATTTTCATAGTAACATAACAGTATCTGTTATTTTAGTGATTCTGAGTAACTTAATAACACTGTATCCAGCTTTCTTCAGCATGACATCTCTTTGTTCTCTTGTATAAAGTGGTAAGAGGCATTTGTTGATTATATGAATTGAGCTTTTTGTACTCTATCATTGTTTATTTGTTTTGTGATGGTTTTCTTCCTAGTGAGTCTAGCCAGAAAGCTGACGCAAAATCATGTTAGTACCTTAAGGGCTCCTTTGGCTGGAACACTGCCGGGTTTCACATAGATACAGAAAATATTAACGTACTTTCACATGTCAATTGTGAATCTGAATTCATATAAAATATTTCTTCCCATTTCATCATTTTAGATACTGCAGAGAGGCAATCTTAAACAGTTCTTCAACTGAACTGAGACTGACAGTGTCTTTGTCTGCCTTACGTTTGAATTAACTTCTAAGTTTAGCATTAGCATAACTAATGATTGCGTTTGTTCTCCAGGTTTAACATCAAGGTGAACTTGCAGCTTGTCACTAGCTTTATGCTGACTGGCCTTTCTGTTGGAGCCAAGTATGCTCAAAATGGACAGCTCTTTGCACGCTTCAAACTCACAGAAACACTGTCTGAGGTAACTCTACTCTCCAAATAATAAGAATGTTTTTTCTTTTGTGCTTGAAAGCCTTTCTTTCTAAACTCAGTTTGTCTTATGCCAGGACACACTTGCTGGACGGTTAGTGATGACAAAAGTCAATTCGGTGCTGGTGTTGCCGTTGGGCCGTGAGGGGCTCAGCAGCCAGCCGCCGCCTGGCGTCAAAGAGCGCGTTTATGAGGCTGTGATTGAGGAGAAGACCAAGGAGTACATCTTCTTAAGGATCTGCAAGGACTGCTGTGAGGAGCTGGGGCTACTGCCAGACAGAGAATTACAGGTTTGTGCAGCTCAACAAGCGGTTAATGCATCCTTTCTGCTGTCACCTTCAGCAGAAATAAACCCAGAGGTGTAAGAAGGATTTATTTATTCTTTCGAACAGCCTGAGAGATTTTTATGCCTCATTCTGATCAGGTTTTATAACCAAAACTTTTTTTGTTATTATTGTTTTTTTAATCTTGTCCTGTTCAGCATTATGGCAGCAGAACTGAAATCTGAGTACCGTGCTATGCTGAACAAAATTGCTTTATTTATTCATTTTTGTTACCAAATGTATATGTGTCCAATAATGCCGAACCTGACAAAGGGACAGAGAAGAAAGAAGAGCAGTGGAAAGGAGAGAGATCCTTTTGATAGAAAAAAAGGGAAACTAAAAAATAAAGAAACAAGACCATACAACCAGCTGCTATGTCTGTAAAAAGGACACTCAAATTCCTTAAAAGTCTTCAACACTGTAATTAAGACTCACAACAGAGTATTTGTGGATTGTAGATTTATATAGATTGTTTAGTAGATAAAGAACCTGTTTTTGTGTTGCCTCTTTCAGGTGGAGCTCCAGTTTCAGCTCAATAGACTGCCACTATGTGAGATGCACTATGCCCTGGATCGCATTAAAGATAACACCATCCTATTCCCTGATATTGGTCTAGTCCCAACCATCCCCTGGAGCCCCAACAGGTATGCATTGAGCCACGTACTACTTTCTGACCTATGGATATTCATTTTTAATTAACAGCGACCACATTGAACTATGTCAGTCTGTGTGTAACAACAGTAGTAACAGCTTGCATGTGTACACTCTCACATTCTTTACAGACTGAACAGGGTTTTGGTAGAGATGTGTTCCTGTTTTGTGGGAGATAGACCTGTTTCATCTGAAATTAAGTCCCTTAATCCACTGCTGGAGTTGCTGGTTCTGGTGAACCATTGCATGCATAATTAAACTGGCTTCTTTATTTGGTGGCCCCTGTAGTCATTTTTGCCCAAATTAATTAATTCAATCCAAACCTTATTGACGAGCAACAAACCAGCATCAAACTCTGTATGTGGCATCAGACTTATATCCTTGTTTAAACTGAGGGGGAATGTTTCAAGAAAAACAACAGAAATAGTTTTATATAAATTATATTTAGATCTTTTTTTTTTTAAAGAAAGCAGTGTTGGGAGTTCTCAAAGAAAGAATATTATGTATTATTGCACTGGATCAATGAGATATAATATCAAATTTATTAAAATACAATTAATTAAACTGACCATAAAAATGAGCATTACACAAAAGTTGCTTTCCTACCAATTTGCAGCGTTAGATTGACAATTGCCATCACAGAGGGTACACCACCTCAATTTGAGAGTTTAGTGAACATCCCTCACCTTGCTGACTCTGGCCATTTAGAAATACTTTAATCTCCCTCCAGCTCTACATATCTCTCTCAGAAGTTTGACAGTCGGGGGAAGAGAGGTGGTAATCTTTATTGACAAGAGCCAGAGTCAAATATAATCCCTTGTGTTTTCCTTGGCAGCTGCTTTATCTGAGCTCTAGAAAAGCATGCGAGTCAACTTGTTTTAATTGGAATTTCGATAAGTGAAGGTTTCATTAAACCAAAAAGAGAACTTGTATCTAATTTAAACCAAACGCTTTTGTAAGGTGGTTGATTAACTCTATTAGTAGCATATAACAGTTTTTGTTGGGGCTTTGAACTGAATAAAAGTTGCATTAAACCTTATTAAGGCAATGTATCTAAATATACTTTTAAAAGAATATATTGTACTTTTTTTATTATGAAGTTTATTATGAAGTTGCAGGAACTAGGGACAAAATAAAGCAATTTTTTCCCCAACTTGTAATCGTTAAAATGATCCATTTAAGAAGGAATGTGACAAGTCATATTTACAACAACAAGCATACCAATAAAGGCCAGCCTTTAATACAGTCAGATAACCAAATCCATTGAAGTGTTTGGTTGGAAGTACGCAATATTATGCATTCACTTCTAATTTTATCCATTGGAGTAATTTGATTTAATCGGTTAAACAAATATGCAAATTATTTCTTCACCTTAATAAGCTAATTTTTTATTCTTCTTGGTAAACGCACATAGATTTATATACAGACACACACTGAGAAATCTCCTGAGCACCCAACAACGGCTCAGCTGGAGTTCAATCAGTTGGTGTTGGTTGGTTTACAGCAGATGCAGTTAATGAGGATTGTGATGCATAGAGACAGATTTACACTCTCTTTCACACACAAAATAAGTCACTCGTTTGGATATATGTGCTTCTGATTACACACCAAGGACCTTTATAGTACATATTTGTCAAAGGAAATCAGTAATGGCAGTCCACCACCTTGCAAACTGGGAATTAATTACCAAACATTCATTTGTGCATATTAGTCTGTAACAAATGGAGCCCTTTTAAAGATGGCAGTCAAGGAATGCTTCTCAGCACTGGCCTTTAAAGCCAGCACTTATCACTCCCTGTGCAGAAAGTAACGACCTGATCAAAAATTAGTTTTAACTCGGCTAACCTGAACCTGTAATAGTTGGAACATGTTGCTGTCACATGACTGACCAGCAGGCACCGCACCACGTGTCGCTTATTGTGAGTCACATCTGTGTGTGCACAATCCAGTAACCACAGGAAGACGGAGCCTCTCAGCCTCTCCACAATGATGTGTACATTAAGATTCACTCTGTTCCAACGTATGTGACATATGAGATTGCATTTATCTACTGAATAGATAGATTAGATTTATCTTCTGAGTGAGACGAGGTCCCTTCTTCAGTGATCATTTCTGTTTGCTCCTCTCCTCAGTTCACTTTTGCCCAATCATGTAATTGGTCATTTTAAGCCATGTTTTCACACTTTCCTCTTATTATGTGCAAGACTTGTAGCTTTCAAGTTGTATTTGTGTTTATTAAACTTGATAAGTTCAACAAATTGTCTTCCATCCAACAACATTTTCATCTTCACTCTGCCCTCAGGCAGTGGGATGAGCAGCTGGATCCCCGTCTGAATGCCAAGCAGAAAGAGGCCATTCTTGCCATCACCACACCAGTTTCTATCCAGCTGCCCCCGATCCTTATCATTGGGCCCTATGGTACCGGAAAGACCTTCACCCTGGCGCAGGCGGTCAAGCACATCCTTCGCCAGGATAACAGCAGGTCTGTTGACAGGAAGTTTTCTTGTTTTTCATTCCAATAGGTGCTGAGTAACTTTTGGTTACTGTTGTTGTTTGTTAAAAGATGGATTGAAGCAAATCCTTGCCATTATAAGAAGGGCAAAAGCTGGTTAATCCTTAGAAATCTTTGTTGAAGGATTTTATTTGTAGGAAATAACGCCTGAAGATGAATGCACAGTTTTGTTTGTTGCAGCATTTTTATTTACATTTTAATTGTTTCTGCTGAATACTGCCTCTGCCCATACCTAGGGATAATTGATATTTACTAGAATAGGTCAATACATACTACTTACATATCAGACATATTATATTAAAAAATTACTAGAATGGGGATATATATATTTTTTAGCAGATATGTTATCATTGCTTATGTTTTTACATCAACATGGCATTACAGAAATCTGCCTTGTCAAACCGTGTCAGCTTCCCTTACAAGAAAAACTTGGTGCATCTGATAATAATTGAGGTCAGTTAAATGCACTACAAAGGTGTCAGGGTTGCTGTGCTGTCAGTGACCTTGGTTGTAGCTTTAGGGCAGTGGCCACCATGGGTTTGACATTTAAAGGTAAGAAGACTCAGCAATTTGTGTGTGTGTGTGTGTGTGTGTGTGTGTATTTGGGCTCTGCTAAAGCTGTTGTGAATGTTTTGTACTGTGCACGTTCCATCTCTCATTGGGAACATGTGCTGGTCATTGGATGAATTTGTGTCTTTTGTGCTTGATGCACATGGTTAGTTTGATTACAGTTCATTTCCTCAGCTGGAATCTGAATTTCAAGTGAATGCATTAAATCGAATTATGTCACTTCAGTGGGCCGCGCATTGTCGCATAACAATAAAGCACTGCAAGATTTTTTTCTCTCTAACTGGCATTTTCTGTCATTACTTGGCTTCCACAGTGTGCAGTTTCCCATGGAATATTCTACATTTTCTTTTGTTAGATCATCACCACATAGATTTCCCCTGGTCTGCATGAAAAATGAGTTCAATATCATGAACGTAACCCCCCTAAGAGAAGTTAACATTATTTTCTCTGTACAAAAGATTTCCTGTTAGATTTGAAAACGTACTGCTTGGTGATTTTTGGAAAAAATATCGGTAAATTCAACTTTTCTTTTGTTTGTTTTCAGCTGCATGTCCCTCTGAAATCTCTGTATTTAAAGGCTCTACTTTTTGTTTTTATCAATTATTATTTTACAATTAAATTTTTATTTTATTTTAATTACTGTCTTGAAGCAACTTGGGAATGACTAAATGGCACGTTTTTTCTACTTTGCAAATCATTCAGACCACTGTTTTTAACCAATGACCAATGTAGAAATCGAAAGTACGATTGTTTTTTAGTTTGTCGAAAAATATTTGACATATATAGTGTTTTTTCAATTATTGACTCTTCCTTTTACTCATAGGTTTTATAGATGTTTTACTGAGTACAATTCAGTTTAATTTTAAAACAGGTGTTACAGGTGTGTTTGCTTCAAGTCATTTATTTATATTTATACTTGTGAATAGTTGAGTTCTCAGTCAGTCAGTTAGCAGCAGTCATGTATTATGTTTAATTTCTATCATGGTTTGTTCTTCTTGTCTACAGGGTCCTGATCTGCACTCACTCCAACAGCGCGGCTGACCTTTACATTAAGGACTACCTTCATCCGTATGTTGAAGCAGGCAATTCACATGCCAGACCTCTCAGGTACGGTCACCATCTCATCTAAGGAGCTCATTTTGTGTGACACAACCAAAAGCTCGCTTTACTCCAGATGCTCTGTAATTTCTTGCATTGTATTCGTGTAAAGGAGTCTAAAATAATGTCTTGCTTTTGATAGTAGTGTCCACATTATCAGAGATAAACACCTGTTTCATTTGTAGAATTATTGGGACTTTGATGTTTTTATAGTTCAAACTACTAAAACTATTTGAATTGGAAATAAACTCTAGCAATTTATATGCATTTTCTTAGAAAAATTGTGTCAGGTTTTTACATTTACAGTCTTCAATGCGCTGAACCTCAGAGCTTGAGCACAGTTTTGACAGATGAAGAACGTTCTTTTTTTTCTTTTTCTTTTTTTGTGTCAAATTCAGTGTCCTCGGATTGTGAAATGTGTGTAGTGATGTTCAATAATATCTGAATCTGGCCAAGATAATATTGCATGTTTTAGGGTATACAAAGAATGCCTGCATCAATATAAGATAATGAAGGCATAATATGTATAGTAGACACATATTAAGGATGAGAAAGGCTTTTCTTCCTTCCTATTAGCTGTTTAATACAAACATTCACATGGTTTCATACTCTTGAGTGTCTGGGCTTTCTGTCAGCATAAAGCATCCCAACCAGATAGCATTTTTCTGACACCCATCAATACGTCTGCTGACTGCTATTATTGGAAAGCCGGCAGCTGCACTGATGCACGTCAACAACACAGAGACTGTTGAGCAAGTGGGCTGTTCTTACACAACAGTAACAAGCAAACAATTATTGACTTTGGGGATGTGATCACAAGAATTCCCTTAGAATCGCCTCAAGGTAAAACAGTCGCATTCGCGTAGATACTGACGACATTGTTACATTACTTCAGTGACTTATAATCATATTTGATATCCCCCAGAAGTCACCAAAGACAGAGGGGGGGCGATGTCTGCCACGAAAAGCCCAGGCTCAGTGTCAGCTATGTTTCTGTCTTTGTCATCATAGTTGAGCCAAAGGGAGCACAGGCCACCAAATAACTTCTTTTGTTTTAGTGGTCGGTCAGTTGCAAAACTGTTCTGTCCCCAATTCCTCAAAATTATCTGAAGCAAAGACCTTATGTCTCGTTTGAGTGGACATGTCACAGAACAGTAGTTAGAAGGCTCAAAGTATATCTGTACTTTCATTCATGCTTTCTGTGCTGTTTCCATGGAGTTTGCTTCAGTTCTTTTGAGGGATCAGAGAGTAACACACTAACATCTATTCCTCCCTAGTAAGGATCCTGAAAATAAGCCTGAAATAAATACAGAATGAAGAAAAAAAAGTGACAACAATCACTCAACTTTTAAATTTCTCGGCTTGCTCTAGTCCTTGCCCAGCCCTTGCCTTTTTTCATATCTTTTTGCTTTCTGTCCTCATTCCAGGGTATACTTCAGGAACCGTTGGGTTAAGACGGTTCACCCGGTGGTGCAGCAGTACTGTCTCATCTCCAGCACACAGGTCAATTTCCAGATGCCCACAAGGGAGGACATCCTCAGGCACCGCGTGATAGTGGTCACCCTCAGCACCTCCCAGTACCTCTGTCAGCTTGAGTTGGAGCCCGGTGAGTCCTGAAAACACAGTACTTTAAATGGAAGCAGCAGTTAGTATACATCATGCAATATTAATGGGTCTAAACATTGAAGAGAAAAATATGGCCACTTGTTGCCTTCTGAACACTTCATACGACTTCAGGTAACGGATCCTATCAGAGGACATTTTCTGCTTCTTACAAACAGCTCTGGCAGAAGCCCACCGCTTAGAGAGGGGTGGAGCTCATTTAAGTTGTGTCAAAGACATGGAAAACAATTCAGTTTGTTGGTGAAGGCAGGCAGGTAATAACCAGCACTAATGTGTCAGTAGAGGGGGTTTGTCTGTTGCTTGGAAACACCACCTGCCTGCTTCTAATGTACTTTTTCATTATTAGCCCACCCCTTGTTTCATCTCTCCTTCTCTCCTGGTGTTTGATGGTGATGAAAATCACCAGGAAATGAGGCAATTGCCGGCCAGAAAATGTTCTTGGTAAAAATAACAAATCTCTCACCCCTGCTGAACAGGGCATTCTCAATATGGCTCACATTGGTGTCATTACTTTTTTCATTAGGTTTTTTTGTTATTCAGTGAGATTGTTGGCATCATTTTTGTACTGCGATCCAGTCAGGTTCAAACTAATCCTAAACCTACACCCTCTCTTGATATGAGAGTGACTGAAGTGGTTGCAATTGGCTAAAATGACAACCACCTCCTCTCAACTGTGCCACTAAAAGTTATTTTATTTTATATTTTTTTTGTGGTTTCCTCAAAAAAGCAAACTGAATCTCAATAGCTGATTAAAATTTTTTTTTGAATTTCCTATTTGTGCGGTTAGTAAACATAAAATTTAACTTTTTTGCATACTTGATGCAGCCTATTCCACACTGTGCAAAAATATATTTTTTCTTTATTGCTCTTTTTCCAAACGTAAAAATGAGTGCAGGGAAATACACACATTATCAAATTTGAAAGTAACCCCCCCCAGTTCTCACCATCATCATTAGCGTCAGCAGCATCATGATGAACTGATCTACCAGATTATATTTTTTTCTATCAAATATGTTTCCAGACTTGCAAAACTGTCTACTTTCAAAACCTCTGCCATCTGTAGACATTCCATTAATGGTTAGAAAATAAAGGCTTTAGGAGTCTATACTTTTGTGTTTCTTTTCTAAAAGGAAGGTCTTTGCTGTATAATTTAGAAATGCTAAGGTTCCACAAGGTTAGGCACTAGCTTTAAAATTGTTATATGTTTTGATTTAAAAAGGAACAAATAATCCAGTACCCATCGACATGGCATGTACCGGCTCTTATAACTTTCAGGAGCGACTCACATGTTTGACGCCGGGCTAAAGGTTAAAGAAGGCGATAAACAGACTTTCAGTGATATCTGAAAGGGCTCGTATTATGCATCAGGAACATCAGTCCATTTTAGAAATAGGTTTTCCACTCATTATAGTCAATATATTCTTTGAAAGAATAGCAATACCCCAAAAAAGTACACCAAGCAAGCTTTTCCGTGCATACTTTGTGACATAGTTTCATGCACAGACCCTTTCAGAGCTTCTCACAGACTAAAACGATAAGAAGACCCTCAAAGCAAAAGTGTGTATGTGATTAGAAGAAGAAGATTTTTTTTTTTTTTGCAAAGAAATGTCTGTCAGGTTGAACCTGCGATCTCCTCTCCGCCCCCCCTCACATACCATTGTTGTGTCCAGGCTCAAGCAGCATTGTTAGCTTAGTGAGCAATGGCACATACAGAAATGTAATATGAACCCTTGGATTAGAGATAAGGCAGGCAGTCGCATCCCAGGTGAACCATTAGGTTCTGTGTTCCTTTATGTTTGCCTCTCTGCCAACTTTTCAGTTTTAATAAAGACAAATCATCTCCCCCTCTTGCCTCTCAGCTTGTCTCTGCTTCCCTGGCTGGTGAAACATTGTCGTTTGCAATGAAGCACGTCATCTGGGAGCTTTGTTAGGCCGTTGTGTGTCGTGTGAGCTGAAATGAGCAGTTGTTTGGATGTAGAATGTACAACAGTTAACATGTCTTTATGAAAAAATACTACTCTCCTCTGTAATTTAGATTTTTGGTTTCATTGTTCAACAGTTATATTCCATGTAGCAACTGGAGTATGCTGCACTCCATTCTTAAGGACATCCAGATATTTCTAGCGTAGACTTGTTTGATTTTATTACTGCGGAACTCTAGTGACAGTAACAGATTAACCCAATAGAAACAAAAAGACTTCTCTATCAACGTGTGTAAAATCTTATCAGTGCAATGGGGGGGGGTCAGTGCCATCCTATAAAAAGCTTTCACAATGAAGAGGGAGCTGTGTTGTAATGCTTTACAGATGGAAAAGTTGCCTGGAAAATCCGTTTGCAGGTATTTGTTCAAAGGAACGTACTAAGGAGTAAATGTTACCACAAATCAAACCGCTCCTCCTCTCCTCATGCCAGACATGTTTTCGTTGTTTGTTTACTTTTTGACAGCCTCCCACTTTATTTCATTATTTCCAGCTGTCACATCTCATGTCTGCAGATACTTTCCTGTGGAACTGGTTCAGCATAGAGACTGTTTGTTGGTTGGTATTCAGCCTCTTTTTTTTTTTTTTTAACTCTCGCCTGTGCTCCACCACTCATTTGCCATGCCGTTTTATCCCCTCCACACATGCTGCCGAGCACTGTTTGAGCGTTTGAAATCGGGCCGAGGTTACCGCTCAGTCTCTTTCAAATTTTTCACAAAATCCTGCGTCTGGTTTGGAGGACTTGTTAAACAAGAGAGATAAGAACATTTTACCAAATCAGCCCAGTTATTTGTGAGATTTCTTTGTTCTGGGAAATTGATTGCTCAGAGGTTTTATTAGAACAGAGGCACATGATGTAAATGCAAACATTTTAGTGAGGGCCAGCATTTTACCCTCTGGTCATGCCTGTATTCATTTGTGTTGTAGTTAAGAGCCTAAAGTTACACTGGAGGAAAACAACTGAATGGTTTGTTCTTGTGCTTTCCCCTGAGACAGAAGAAACTGGAAACTTTACTATAAAGGAAAAATTAGAGGTTGAACCCCCAGCTTTCACTGTAATTCAACTTGTTGATATTACAGATTTAAAAAAATGATAATTGTCTCCTAAATGTTTCCACTCCTCAGGTGACATTGGCTGTGAAACAGGTACAGGTTGCAGTGCCGTTTAGTAGAAAAGGAATGATAAAAGATGCGTTCTTCTTTTTGCAGGGTTGTTCTCTCATATCCTTTTGGATGAGGCGGCTCAGGCCATGGAGTGTGAAACCATCATGCCTTTTGCTCTGGCTAGCAAGGCTACCCGCATTGTGCTGGCTGGAGACCATATGCAGGTAAAAAGGGTTAACAGTAGTAAAAAACCCAAATAGGTTTTGTGGCTACTTCAATTGTAAGAGTGCGTCAGCAACCAATAACATAAATATAGACCTGGGCCAGTCAAGCTTTCCGAGCCAACGAAAGGAGTTAAAGCCTCATTTCCTTGTCTTCTGCGTTCGAGACTGCGCTCAAGGATTACCAGAAAAAAGTGGATTAAGAGGTGGCAAAAGTCTGCCAAGCAGTAATTGCTTTATAAACTTGATCTATTGCTGCCGTTTCATTGAACAAAGAAAAAAAACACTTTATTCACAATGTTTTCCTTAGTGTGAATCTTTTTCTCCCTTACAACCATGTGCTTTGCTTCATCTGTTTTTTTTCCTTAGTAACAGTTCACTCCTTTTACGGGTAAAGCAAAGATGTTTCTCTTTACATTTATTCTATGATTCTACTCAGTCAGTTTACACATGCCTTTTCCCCTATTGTAAATTATTTTTGAATGAGCTGGTGTGCCCCAATTTATGAGTGACTAAAGCATTAAGTGTTACGTCTCATCCAGGTCCATTTAAATTTACCAAAATACTTATTTTCTAATTAATTTTTTGAGTGTGTTTTAATGGACAGACTTGTGAACTAAACTCACTTTGTCTTATTCCTGTCTTTCCCTTTTCAATTTTCAGCTCAGTCCATTTGTGTACAGCGAGTTTGCTCGAGAGCGTAACCTGCACGTGTCACTGCTGGACCGGCTGTATGAGCACTACCCCCCAGAGTTCCCCTGTCGCATCCTACTTTGCGAGAACTACCGCTCCCACGAAGCTATCATCAAGTAGGTCTGAGCCCTCTGCATAGATGGGTGTGTAGACAATACCAGTGTACGCAGGAAAACTGGAGGAAGTCAGGGATTATAGTCTATTTAAATAACCACACTTGAAGGCAAAATCTCTCCCTGGAGACATTGGTAGAATGTCCCATAACTTATGAATTTATTAATTAGTTTTATTTTATTCTTTTTAATGATGAACCCCCACATATTGACATATTTTTCTCTACCCCCCGAAGCTACACATCAGAATTATTTTATGATGGGAAGCTGATGGCAAGTGGGAAGCAGCCCTCTCATAAGGACTTCTACCCGCTGACATTCTTCACAGCCAGGGGAGAAGATGTGCAGGAGAAGAACAGCACTGCCTATTACAACAATGCTGAGGTACCATTTAGAGCACATCCGCTGTATCTTGAAATTGTTTTAGACAGATTTTGGAGTTATGCATCTTGAATTTTTTTTTTAAATATGTTTTTGTTGACTTTTTACTTATTTACACCTGGAGTTTACTTTGCTTATATGCAAGTTACTACATTTAGTACTTAAGCAAAACTAACTTTGAACTTGATATTTAGGTTGCAGGCCGATTATAGTGGAAATTATTTTGATTTAGACTACATGACAACGTTAGAAATTAAAACGAAGCAACTAGGGAAACGTCCTTGTGCTTTTTATCAGTTGAGTTGACTTAATCTGGCCTCACATTATGTAGCAGTTATTCTTTCTTTGGAGGTAGTTTGTGCTCCGTGTTGAATAGATTTAGTTTCTGTTCTCTTCCTGTGAGTTTTGTTTCCTTTTGAGGAACAGCTACTTAGTCCCTTTGGAATGCTAGTCACATTCTACCTAAGCTTCATAGGTTACTGTATCTGCTTGAAAAGGATGCTTAAAAAGTTTTTTTTTTTTTTTATGAGGTGACATTTAAAAAGTAGGCAGATATATTTAACATTTTCTTGGAAGCACAGCTGTGTCATAGTGTGGCCCTGGCCCTTTGCAAGCTCTGTCCAATTAAACCAGTGATACTTCTGGATGTTTGTTCCCAACCAGTGCTAAACAAACCTGCTCTGTCTTTCTATGTGTACGTGGCATTCCAAAACTACACCATTATAGTGCAGGGAAAAAACAGTTTTTTAACATTTTTATGAGCTTTCCTCGAGTGTCTTTGGCAGGTGGCAATATTTCCATCTTATTTAGGCAATGGCTCCCTCATTGGAAGTGGAATCTAAGTGCTAATTTGATATCAAGGCAGTTGGACTTCGAACCACTTTTATTCCCTCTGTTTTTCAAGGTTTTGACAGTGATGGTCAACACGAAGCTCACAGGTTTTCATAAAGCTCCTACTTAAAGCCTTTTGATGAGCAGCCTTTGAAGTCTCACCACTGTACAAGTCACAAAGCTGGCTTTGTTCTTCAAATGTGTTGTCCCCCACTGATACCTTTTTAACCTGCAGAAAACATCTCAGACTTCCCACTGTCAGTTTCTGGACAGCTGTTCGAAGGGATTATAGAAATATACAGCCACTTCATCTCGTTTGTTTTTTTCAATTAATTTTTTTATTTTTTATGTTACGCTTCTACCCAGACAGACAGCCACTGAAAGAAGAAATTTATTGGTTCAATTCAAAGGCCGCAGCTGTCCTTAAGACTAACCTCGAAATTGATCTGTGAAAGCTCTAAAAAGGCTATAAAGAAGAGAAAATAAGGGTTTGGGTTTCTTGACGTTTCGTAAATAACAGGATAACTTCAAACCAGATCAGCATCCTAAATCACATGCGACTCAGAATTTACCAGCTTCTTCTATAAAGGTATTAGATGTTTTGGCTCCTTTGTTTTACCGGTAGGCCTAAACCTTCCACTGACTAGTGACTTCTCCTGGCTTACTGTGATTGTTTATGAATGTGTTGTGCAAGTCTTTTAATCATGCAGCCAGCACCACCTTTTGCACATTAATGCTCTGAGATCTACTCATTTTTTTCTACGTCACAAACCTTACATCATCCTTTCAAAAATCTCTGTTTTCTTTCTGAGGTTTCAGATTCCTCTAAAGCACATTGTCTTTACAAGAGGCACATTTTCTTTAGCTGGGGGAAAACACAAAACATTTGTTATAGTTCTTCCTGTTTTAAAAAAAAATATGTTCTCCCTTTTTATTATTCATAATCAGTCTAAAATTTTCCATTTTGTAATTGCGACATCAAGCCGATATTGAAGTCTCATAAGATCTTGGATTCAAGATCTCTAACCTTGTGGATTCCTCGTGCATATCCCCAGGTTTTTGAAATTGTGGAGCGGGTGGAGGAGTTGCGCAAGAAGTGGCCAGTTGCCTGGGGTAAGCTGGACGAGGGAAGCATCGGGGTGGTGTCACCCTATGCTGACCAGGTGTTTCGCATTCGAGCCGAACTCCGAAAGAAAAGAATGCCTGAGGTCAGCGTGGAAAGAGTGCTCAATGTCCAAGGTGAGCAAACATTGCTGTACACTTGACAGTAAGGGCAGCATTAATAAATCTCTGAATGTGTAAATGCAGCTTTCCTATAGTCGCTCATTATTCCTCTTTGAAGCCTGTCCGTTAGATTCTGTGCTCAAAAGTTTACAGTACAGGTTTCCTGCCTGAGTTTCTGTTCGGCCTCATGCTGCTTTCACTTGTGCTGCATCCAGCTGTTTTTCACAGGTCATTAGCTCCCTCATTAATCATACATGAAACATGGCCAAGTGCACACAGACAGGAAAGCAGTATTCTTGTTAGTTTAGGATTTAAATTTGAAACTCGTATGGTGTTCCCCCCTTCTGTCAACAGCTTCTGCAATCATACAAATATTTATTTGCTACAAAGCCTTTTTGGCTTGTTTTAGTGAATTAGTTTGTCTCAGGAATTAGCCCCAATGTTTCTGAAGCCATATATGCATCACTCCAGCTTTTTTTAAGCCCATGGGAGTGAAAATCTCTATTCAATGCTTTTGAGAGTTAGCTCCTCAGAGTGTTTTTTGTTTCTCGCATCTGCAGAAGATGCAAATTTTGTGGCAGTTAAAAAGAAAGAAAAAAAAAAAGGTTTGGATATATGTAAAATTCTGCATTTGACCCTGCAGGTAAACAGTTCCGGGTGCTGTTCCTCAGCACAGTACGCACACGGCACACCTGCAAGCACAAACAAACCGCCATCAAGCGCAAAGAGCAGCTGGTTGAGGACTCAACAGAGGACCTTGACTATGGTTTCCTGTCCAACTACAAGCTCCTTAACACGGCCATCACCAGAGCGCAGTCCTTGGTTGCAGTTGTGGGAGACCCCATAGCGCTGTGCTCTGTTGGGCGCTGCAGGTAACATTCAGCCGCGACCTTTTAATACTGTGACATTGTAATTTTACTCTAAATAAGAAATTACTTTTAAATAAATCCAATCTACTAGTGATTTTTTTTCTATGTAGTTTTTTTTCAGCTAATTCCCAGCTTGACTTGTTACTCCTCTATCAAAGATGTTTACACGATAACTCATTTTATGGGGGAATCCGCATAGCTGATTTTAAGATTGTATCTAATTTATTACAGGTGTCTTCAGCTTTGGCAGAGTTGCTCACTATAATGAAATATAATATTTTTTTCATAAAACCAAACGCTGCCAGTAGTTGATTCCTTCCTCTGTTCAAATCAATTTAGCTCATACTCACCGTCTCCATAGTGACTGCATGATTTGGCTGTGCTAGTTGACACATGTCAGGGATTTCACTGTCAGGCTGCAAATGTCAGCCTGACAACAGACCAGTGAAATTGATGTGCTCGAGATGCATGCATTGTTTGTCCAACGCTCAATATCCAGGAGTAAAAGGCCTGGGTCAGTGACGTAGCTGACTCAGGAATTCAAACAGAGTCAATAAAAAGTAGCTGGGTAAGGGTATGCCTAAAGATGAAAGACAGAGTCACTGATGTTTGAGACGTCTACTTCTCTCTCACTTTTTTGATGCCGCATTGAAATCATCTTTGCATCTCTACTTTAGATAGCATTGGTCTTCTTATATTTTGCATCCACCTTATTCATTAATGCACTGAGAGCAGGAAAAAATTATAAAAAAGAGGAAAGATTATTTTATTCATTTGTTTCCTTCTTTTTCACAATTCTAGAAAATTCTGGGAGCACTTTATTTCCATCTGCCATGAAAACTCGAGCCTACATGGCATCACCTTTGAGCAGATCAAGGCTCAGCTAGAAGCCCTGGAGCTGAAGAAGACGTACGTCCTCAACCCGCTGGCCCCAGAGTTCATCCCCCGCGCCCTCAGGCCGCTGCAAGGACACCAGCCATCTTCACAAGTCCTTCACGCCCTCCATCATCCACATCCTCAACATGTACAGCCAGCTTCCAGCAAGCAGGGCACACAGCAGCAGCCGCAGCAGTCACCCCCCAAGGTAGGATGTCGGTCAGGAGAAACAACCCTGCAAAAAGAAAACCATTCAATTTTAAAAGCATAAAATATCATAATCACAGCCGTCATGGTAGCATAGCATAATACAAAAAAGTAGCTCAGCGGCTAAGATAGAAGACATTATTTGAGTTTCTACAATTATGTCCTTTGTTTTGTGTAATGTAAATGTTTTTAAACATTATACTTTGAAATCTTTTAGTAAATATTTGCCTGCTATACTGTATTAAGTGGCTTGGGGTCACAGGAATATTAATAGGGACATGGGATCCACCAGGTTAGAGGACAGTTGAATTTTGATTTTCAGTAAGGAAGCAAAGAAGAAGATTAGATTTCGGGAAATAGTAAACAAAATATTTAAGAAGTGTTTCTGGTGTTAAAAAACTAAAATCTGAGAAATCTTGAACAGGTTTGAAACGATCACAAATCTAAGAACATGACTGTTTAATTTTCACCACAGGAAATGATTAACTGATGAGTAATTTCAGCCCTATATTAAAATGAGAACAAAAAAATACAAAAAGGCAATTAGCATTACCGGGTTTGCAGAAAGATCTCTTGTTAAATTGTTTATTTCAGTTTGAATTGTCTTTTCGTGTGTGTCTATCCTCCCTGCCTGCCCTGAGGTAAAGGTTAACGAAATCAGCACAGCTGCCAACCTGCTGCCGTCACCCACTGGGTCTAATGAGCTGAAGCTCCGCAGTATCAGTCAGCTTTTGAGATAAACACGCACTTCCTCTCCTCTCTCTCCAGTCATACCAGGCAGCTACACAGCACACACAGACATGGAGCCGTGGCAAAAGAAACTGTACAGCCTATGGTGTTAGTTCAGAGACATTTTTTTTAAAGTTTATCTCTTGTCTTTCACCAAATTTCTCCAAACTAGGTTAGGAGTTGAATGTGGTGATTCACTCATTAATTTCTTGTACATTTATCAATATTCAGCTTTATGAGATACATTTGCAAAGAAAAGTCCACTAGATAATGTATAAGTTGCCTAAGATTCTGACGTATTTTGAGTTGGTCAGTGTGAAAAAATTATTGGATTCATTATGAGTTTACTATATAAACAAATCTTAGTATAACAGTTAAAGGAAGCTTAAATATTTTCACATAATTTTCCTGTATTTTTTAAACTACTGTTAGGATTTACAGCACATTTGGGTTAAAACCTTATTTTTGTTTAGCATCCATTTGAGATGACATACGCTTCATGTGGCTTCAAATGACTTAAAATGATTTCTAATGCAGATGGTGTTTTGGTGCACACATGTGGAGCTGACTTCAGTCAACATATGTTTTGTTATTGATTTTCTTCTGTCTTCATCAAATATTCTTGTGCAAATGGCTTCTCATCTAATTTATTATTGTATTTCCTTTTTTGAATGAAAACGCGTTGTTTCTCACCAAACAATGGTATAACACATTATCATTTACAGTGATTAAAAGAAAATCTTAGAAAAATCCTCTTTTCTTTTCAATATTGCTGTAATAAGTGGTTTTGCTAAATGGAGAGAAAATTGCCAACAACCGTCTCCTATTTATTGCCATCCGTATAGAGTTGCGTAGTATGTGTTATCCAGCAAACAATCATCAATTCTCTGTGGACCCCCCTGACCTTTCATAGAAATATTTTTTAATGTCATATACAGCATAGATTTGTCAACGATGCATTTTCTTTAGATTAGATATTGTCCATCTTATCTTCTGCGCTTAACCAGCTGCCAGGCAAAGCTCCATGTGTGTCTACATGTGAGACCCCATCAGTTTTCAAAAGGTGTCACACCATGCATCTTTCATGCTCCATTGAACCACATTTTTCTCATTGAGTGGGTTTATGTTCTTGCACTTTGCCAACACTGAAACTGGCAATGCAAAGTAAAATCCATCAGAAGTGGAGCAAAAGTAAATCTTCCTATTTGACGGTTCTGCTGTTTATCTTTTTCTCACCTGAAGGCTGAGGACTTGACACCTCCATATTTTAGGAATTAGTTGGTCTTAATTCTGTGAAGAAAATGAGAGGGAATGGTTGCCACATCTGTCAATGAAAAAGTCTTGGTTGGACTTGTGTTACTTGTTTAGCTAAATTAGTCATTTATCAAAGTTGCCTTTTTCTACTCTTAATGTTAATGACTAATGTTTTTTTTTCCCCCTTACAGGGTAAACATGCAAACCACACAGAGCACCTCCCACCAGAAGGCTATGGTGAGTTTTCCCAAGTGCCCATGTTACCTGCTGCTATGAAACTGATCAGACATCAAAGTAGAGCCTGAAATTGACCCCGACTTTATTACTGAGACAGAATATTAGCATGCTGTCACATTACAGTTAAGTTATTGTGCCCAACCCACTCCCTCCATTTTATTTTTTATTTTTTTAATTTTCAGTCCAACCTAATCCTGCTGTGTTGATGGGAAACCCTATTCGAGCATTCACACCTCCTTTGCCTGGCACAGCAGCCGGCATGGGCAAGTCACCCAGCCCTGTGCAGAGGATCGATCCTCATACAGGAGCCAGTATTCTCTATGTTCCAGCTGTATATGGTGGAAACATGGTCATGCCCGTGCCCCTGCCGGTAAGTTTCCTGCCTTCTGCGATAATTTGGCAGATATGTAAATGGCCTTAATTGACCTCTTAAAGCATTTCTACATTATAAACCATATTTATTCACATAGTCTACGCATTGGATTTACAGTCTACACAGAGCTCATGATCCCTTCACACACATTTACACACTAACAGATGCATTGGTAGGCAAGGTGGGATTCAGTTTTCATGTGGCCTGAGAGAGGATGCGAGTTACCAGCTTTACAGTGGGTATATAACAGCTCTTCAGCTTCCCTTGTTCTGTTTGCTATAAGCTGATATTTTAGGCCAATTTATACACATGTGCATACATATTTATTTGAGCTCTGTATTCTTCACAGGAAACATAACGTTTTACTGTTAAACCTGCATATTACATTAATCATCCCTTTAATTTACTCAAAGATTAGTTATATTTGCGAACAGGTCCCAATGTCCTAGATAACAGTGGCTTTTATCTATGTGCAGTACATGACAGAAAAACATGGATTGATCGGTTTTTATTTATCTGTTTTTCCAAGCTAACCTGGCCAGGTTACCAGAACCGCTTTGCAGTGGATCCCCGCATCATGAGCCACCCAGCAGCCATGGCCTACAATTTCAATCTGCTGCAGGCTCAGAATCGAGGCTCCCCCATCCCTTACAGTGGGGTGGCACACCCCTCTTCTCTAGGAATGAGCCAGCCCAGCCCTGACAAGGAGCTACAGACTGACCCCATCAGAAATGGTGTGCTTTGATCATGTTATTCTTTACTAAAGTTTTAGCTACCGTCGCAAAAGGTTGTAAACAAAATAGAGAATGGCGAGTCATTGAAGGATCTGTTCTTCTTTTTGACTTTTTAGGTAAAGTAGAAGGTTGTCCAAAATCTGAGCAGAGTCGTCTTCAAACCCCAGAGAGAAAAAACACAGATCTTAAGGAAAAACAGGCAAGTTTTTCCACATTACTTAGAATTTATGTCTTTTATGATGAGTCGAAAGACTACAAGCGTCTTTGTTAATAACCAAGTTGGCCAACTAACTTATTTTGTGTTCTTTCAGGGAGATTTAGACACAGGCCAAAGTCGAAATCTAGATTCACAGACAGATGGGATAGTTGGATTTCCCAATGCTTTGCTCCATCGAAAAGACCCTACAGCTGCTCAGAGACCCCTCAACTACCACCTTGCACCACCCAGTCCAGCTTTTCCTGCACATCCTGCCAGCGGAAGAAACTTCCCCCAACAATATCCTGTCTCTAGGCTTCCTTATAGAGTAGGCCAGCCTCAGCACCCAGGAATGGCCCAACATAATCCGCAGCTCAGTCCTGCCTATACTGGTGGAAGTCACAGCGCTTCTTTCTTCAGTGGCCCCATCGCCACTCACAGACCTGTACACTCACCCTCTGTGGATGGGCCAGAGGCTGGAGGGGTGGAGGAGATGAGTGGCTCCATCAGGACTCCCATGGGCCACCAAGGGGGCCACCACTCAGGCATGCCACAGCATAACAGGGCTAGCAACTTTGGAGAGGATGGACAGGATGGAACCCTGGGAGACAGTTTTGGTGAGTTTTACAGCTTTTAAATGTAGACGTGGAGCAGCGATGTAAATCATTTTCCAAATTTAAGATAGGGAGGTTTCAATTTCCCTTTTATAAGATTTGAATGAAATACATTGCTATCAGTTCTTTGAGGCATCATTGTTGCAGTAATCAAACATGGATCAGATTTTCTCTTTGCCCACTCCTAAAAGTTAACTTTGATGTTTGTGCCTTTCAGTCTGTAATGGCATTTGGTTTGTCATGTAGTGGAATAGAGCTTTGATTGTTCATCACACAACTTGAGCAATAATTTCCTTTCCATTTGAGTCATTAACTTTCAATCATTAGGATGGTAGATTGGATTAAAGTTTGATTAAAAAGCCAAGTCAATAACGAGAGTGAAGGAAGAGCCCCTTTATTTTTTGTAGTTTTGTTTTTAATTATCCCTGAGGAGGAGGGATGATCTTTGTATGACTAATAATAAGTGTCTAGTTGGGAGAAGAATTAACTTATTGATTAAACATTTTAGCTTTTAATTTGATTTTACAGTATCAGTAGATTTTTGGGTGAAGGCATATTGAATTTTCAAGGCTAGCATTTTGTAATATTCCTGGAAAATAGAAGGTTGATTTAGCATGCCTCGATTAGCAATTAACGTTTTGGGGTCACAAGTTGTTTAGTCAAATGTTTGCACAGGAAAAAGTTTACGTCCGCTTTTTATATGCTTAATGGGATACTTTAAAATGTGCTTCAAGGATGCTGAAACACAGTGACAGCTGTTTTGCTTGTGTTGCTCTGTTGTGTATTTCCATTCACGGGGAGGTGCATCTTGTACTACAGCACTGACTAATCACTCACTTGCCCTTTCAGACCTGCAGAGTCCCATGGCTCTAGAGGCCCTGAGCCAGCAACAGCAGCAGGCAGCCAGGCTGGGCCAGTGGGGGGAGGCGGCAGGCCCTTTCCTTCCGGGCAGCATCGCCTTCCCCCTGCCTCAGCAGCTCGCCCACCTCACCCAACCCGGCATGCCTCGCTTCCCTCATCAACTGCTTCGGGCAGCCAGTTGGGGGCTCGGTGCCAATTTGGATGACGAAGCTGTTCCTCCTCACTCTACTGGGCCATCTTTCAACAGGTTTGACCGCTGCTTCGATGGTTTCTTCCACCGTCTTCGTTAAACCTTTGAAACAAAATAATTTAGTTTTCTACGTGTGAGGGTTTTTTTTGGTATCAAGTCACTAACAGTTCAAAAACTTGGCATTTTGTTTTAGGCTTTTGTTTATATTAGAAAATATGTAACTTATTTAGTCTTTCAGATTGGCACTACACAAACTAAGCTGGCCCCCTTTTATCTAACCTTTGAATTGCTTTTACGCCAGTAATTCCTAAAAGATAGGTTTCAAGTTACCAATTATCCACAGTCCAAATTTTAAGTGTACGCATTCATGTTCATTTCAGGTACCCAGGTCACATGAGAGAGATACCCCCACAGGATCAGCCTGAACCAAGAGAAGCCCCAGAAATGCAACCCCCACCTCAGTCCCGCCTCCTCCAGTACCGACAGTCCCAGTCCCGTGGCTCAGGTGACCCTTCATCATCATTAACTACCATCTCCAATCATGCTGGCCCTTTTCAAACTGGACTGTACCCCCACGAGTCTGGTCGCAATGTCCTCAACGACAACCTCGTCAGCAATCAAGCTCTGCCGCAACAGAATCCCGGGAACGCTCTGTACAATACCTGTAGCTACCAACACCCACCACCAGGACACTCTGGCAGCCCTCCTCCCTCCCAGGTCAAATACCTTCTGCAAGAAGCTCAGTGGTCCCATGGTGGAGCTCCATCTGCATCACAGCAAAACCACCTTTTAGGCAACCAGGGGCACAACCTCCCCTATGCACTGCCCATTATGGCTCACCCCAGCAGGCAGGAGCAAGTCCAACTGATGCAACTTCACCAGCAGCAGCAGCAGCAGCATCAACAGCAGCAACAACACCAACAACACCAACAGAATCAAGGTCCAGACCAGGACTCCTACCACCCACTGTCCCCGAGAGCATCAGCAGCAACAGCCCTTCACAACGTAGATGAGGTGAGCAGCTTTCCCTTCTGTCGGTGTGAGGTTCGGTAAAGGTGAGGTAGCAGGGATTTGTACATGGTGTGGATACTTGTTAAGGTTATTCCCTCTGAATATGTCTGATCAGTTCTCGCTACATTTAATGCTTCAGTTAAGCCCACACGCCTGCAGTAACCTTTTGAAAGAAACCCTGGTAATGTTTCGGCCCATTGTGTTGCTTCTCCCCATATGAAACTTAATTTATTGCACCATTAAAAATCCAAACTGTTCAGTGAAGGGCAGAAAGAACAAGAATGGCAGCTGATACCTTAGATAACCCTGAATGAAAGTAATCAAAGGACCAATACTGTTGCAAAGTACCCAGCTGCTTCCACGCTTTGAAAAAAGCCAAACCAATGACCAAAAATAATTTAGTTCACTTGGAGAAGAGGAAGTAGTGAATTAAGTGTATAATCCACTCGAGGCTTATAAATTAAATGCAAATAAACCCTCGAAGAGCATATAGTTGTAAAAATCTTAGTTTGAAATTTTGCCATTTGTTTTTTTCTATTTTGAATGAACTGAATTGCTGTAACAAAACCTTTGTTGACTCATTAAAGCTTGGGTCACACAAATGCGTAACATCTGTACCTTTTCCGTGATCCATCTAGTATGAACCCAGGGGTCCAGGTCGGCCTCTCTATCAGCGCCGCATCTCCTCAAGCTACCCAGACGAAGCATCTCCAGCCAGCACACACAATGCCCTGTCCCAGCAGCCCCAGCCCTGTCCCTCAGAAGCCCAGGACCATGCACAGCTTCCACATCATCAGCACCCCCACGCACCCTACAATTACCCCTCACAAGACCACCTCTGGCCCAGCAACGGTGGAGGTCCCGGTCCGTTCCAGAACATTCCATGTAACGGAGCCGGCACACTCGCTCACCCTCGGGACCTTCTGGGTATGTGTCGCCTTGCCCTTGTTTTTTTTTTTTTTTTTTTTTTTTACTACTCCTAATCGCATCCGTGTCTAATTTTTACCATCTCGTTCCCGCTGGGACACTTTTCAGCTTCCAAGGTCCACCGTCAGACAGATGAGCAGGTAAAGGCTGAGCCCACTGCAGCACAGCAGCCGCATCCACACACCATCAGCTCGCTTCAGCACCAGTTTCCTCCCCTCATGTCGAGTAAAAAGCAGCAGCAGCAGCAGCCGCCGCCGCCACCACAAGCTCCTCCCACAGAACCCAACCAAGGGGCTCCAAATTTAAGCAAACCACCCACCATGTCCTATGCCAGCGCCCTCCGCGCTCCACCCAAACCCCGAGCCGTTCGACCCGAACAGGTCAAAAAGAACAGCGACCCCCTCTCCCTCCTACAAGAGCTGAATATAGGAAGTTCAAATGGTAGCAATGGATACTATTCCTACTTTAAATGAGTGTCCCTTCTCCTTCATTATAAGTAATGAAAAATGAAAAGAAAAAAACTTAAACAAAAAAAGTAAAAAGTTTCTTAAATAAAATTAAAAAAATAGTGCGAAGTGCATTTACAAATTGTTTTTATCAGTAGATTTGTTTTCTGCATTTGTTTCATTTAACTTTTTATCGTTAACTGTCTTTTTTTCCTCCAGTTTCACATATCTGTGAAGAAAGTAGGTATATATAATGAATGCATTACTGGTATATATACATACTCATTATGTATATATGAATATATACTTCTATTATCTACACTTGTATATGTACGTAATGCTAAAAAAGAAAAAACCTAAGAAAATTAAAAAAAAAAAAAATGAAAAAAACAATTTAAATTATAATTTTTTTTTTTTTCCCCCCAAAAATATTTTTTTTTTTTTATAAAAAAAAAAAAAAAAAAAACAGACAAAAAAATGTACGTTGACGTTTTTATTGTCTTTGTTCCTACTTTTTATTCCTCCGTTTTCTGTTGTCGTTGCTTTCTGTTTTCATACTACTGTTGTCGTGACAAAAGATTAAGCTAAGTGGTCAATTGACAGAAACTACATGGAACAGTGTATAGAAGTAGATAAATTTCCTCTAATCTGTACAGATAAAGAAAATAAAAGACTGAATTGTATGCCTAAGACATCATGCTAGTATTTGCATTATGAATTCTTTTTTTTTTTTTTTTTTATGTTTGTTTTCAGCTTCTCTTCCTCATTCTTAGTCATCCTAACCTGGTAATCGTCTTCAGTGATTTGATGGTAAATGTGATTATTTATAGAAAATTAACAATAAATTGATTGCGTATTTTACTTTTCACCAAGATCTTACTCGGAAGGACTGTGCAGAGACCTCAAAATGGCAACAACCATGGCGTTTATTATATTCCCCCCCCCCCTCTCCCAATTCAGCGTTTTAGATCAAAGAACTCCGCTTCCTATGATCACCTTTTATTTTCATTTTAGTCCGTTCCCGCTTTAAAGGTGTCATTTATTTGTAGACTGGAAACTTCCAGCTCGTCTCAGACAGCTGCAGTCGGGAACGTTGTTTCGTTAACTGCAGGGAAGGAGAGAGAGATCCGCGTCTCATCGTTGTGGAAATGAGTTTGATCCTCCGTACGTGTTTGTTTGAAATATTTGCTGTGCCCCGATGGCTTGTGTAAGTGATGAAGAGGGTGGCGAGGGCGAGGTGGTCGGACGCCTTTATAACGCAGAGGGGCCCTCTCTGGTCTGACGAGGAGTTAAACAGCCTCCCATTAGAAAGCATGTGGACAGAAAAACGTGTGAAGCTATTCCAAACGTCACGAGCCTCCGAAATCGAACAGCGCAGTGCCCGTTTGACACCTAAACCACAGCTCTGTTTTAATATTAGTCCCAGTATTTTTTTTTATACATAAAAACTCAGTAGCTAAAAGGAAGAATATCAAAAAAACATTTTACGATATTACAGCAAATGGAAGGATTTTTTAAACTCCCACAGACAGACAGAAGTAACGGTAAATGAAATCTTAATTTTCCGTCTATTCTTGTTGGTTTTTCAATTACACACATTTTAGAGCCACGTTATAGCCATTTTTTTTTGTTTACCTTAGTTCTCTGCCACAGATGGACAAATCTAAAAGAAGTTCTGACTTTTCTTTAGATGATATTTGTTTCTATTTGCCTACTTTCCTTTTTTTTTTCTTTTGTCCAACTGTCAGACTTGAGAGAACTGAGAAATCTGTCTTTATGAGCAAAGTTATAATTATTCAGATTTATGAGATATCTTTATTTTATTATTTTGTTTTAATCTCCTAAACTTTGGCTGTAATTTTAGGGAAAATCTGATTGTTGTGGAATGCGGCCAGAACATCTGCAAAATGGAATTGGCAAAGAACGTAAATAACAGGTTGAATTGGCTTTTTAAAAAAAAGCCTCAAGCTGTTCGGTTTTATGGAGACCTCAGTCTGGATCAAATGCAGTGTCTGATTTCTTTACGAACAGGATTCTTAGACAAAACAAGAGCCATTTTTGCCCACCTGATATGGTTTTTTCCTCATAAAACTGAAGATTAGAGAGTTTAAACCTCAGTTTTATTTTCAGATTTTATGAAAAAACAACAAAAAGGTAATTCGGTTGAAAGTTTAACAGAGAAAAGGACATCTAACCTTAATGGGAATCAGAGGAGGTGTGTTCAAAGATGCCTAAGTGTTGCTGTGTTTGGAAGGTTGAGGGAAGTTGTTCTTTTGTAACTCATTGCTAAAATCGGTTTGGTTTGCTTTGCTTTCGCGACAGTCCCCTCCGTTGCCTCTGGCTTCCTGACAGAAAGTTGCTTAATCCCGGTTGAATTTGGAGGAGGCCTCACGGCTGCGTACACAGGGATTCCGGTTATGTTCCCCGCCGACTCGGCCTGTTTTAAGCGGTTCTTTAACTCTTGGAACATCACTGCCCTTTCTGCAAATTGATAAAGCTATGGTTTAAAAAAGAAAACAGAAAAAAAAACTCCCGTTGCTTCATGGTCTCAAACAACCAGTTTCCCCCCCCCCCCCCCGTTTGAAACATCCCACAGTTGATCTCTTAGACGCGTTTTTGAACTGTCGGTGGAGAGCTTCATCAAAAGGTGTGGTCTTATTTTCCAAGGTCCAGATTTTTTGACTTAACAGAGAAACATGTACCTGTAAATATGCATTTTCTATGTATTTACAAACAAGAGTTTTGGGAGCGCCTCAATTTTGTAGAAGATGTTCAAAGAAGAGGTATGCCCTTTTTAATTATGCAAATTCACAGAAAAAAAAAAAGATCATTCTAGAAATGGACAACAACCTGATCGGTAGTTGCAACATCTTGTAACTTTTTAGATTTTTTTTTTCTTTCTTTCTTAAAGACAGCGACAGACTGACTTAGCAGAGGAGGATTTGTTACAAGACAACTTATTTCACTGTATGATACATATTTGTAAGGACATGTTGCTGGATTTTCCCACCACGGCTGTACAACAATCAACATGGTTTTATTTTTAAATGTGATGTCTGTTTTTTTTTTTCTTTTCATGCATGTTCACATGACCTGGCTGGTTTTTAATCCCTGTTTTTATCTGTTTCTATTGATTTACGAATGCAAAGAAAAGGAAAAAAAAAATGCTTTTGCTCAACCGACAAAGTCTAATTTTGGTATATTATTTGATGTGTACAATAACTTGTTACGTTATCAACAAACCTGTTATGCTACTTTTGCTCATGTGTCGATCAACAACTGAATGGTCACGTTGTGTCCCCCCCCACCTTTTTTCTGCAGTTTCTTAGCTGGGCAAAAAACGGGTTGCTCCCTGATGATGGATGTCGGGGGTGGGGTTAATTTTAACAAAGCAGTCGCTGGCTAATCTCTGAAGTTGTGCAATACTAATACTCTGCCGCTTCTTTAGCTACAGTTTTATTTATTTTTTAGCAGAAGAGATTGAGCCAAAGACATTTTAAAGGGATTTTATTCACATTTTTTTCTTGTTTCTTTTCATTTTTTTTTTTTCTTTTACCCAAAACCCTTAATTATTTTAAGTATACTCTCTTTGTTGGGATAATAGGTTTTCCCGGTCCCAGCATTTCAGCCTATTATCATGACGTGATATATGAGATTTTTCTGGAAACCCTCTGTTTTGCCTTATAGTAAAAACAAGAAAACAACTCGGGCGTGGCACACAGAAAGGGAGCAACCTTTTGCCCGGACAGCAGAGAGCACTGTGGTCAGCTTTCTGTAAACGCCATCGTTTTCTCCTCCTCTGTTCTTCGGTGAATCCAGGGCACACCCGTTCTCCCTGCCCCCTACTCCCATTGGTTCCTTCCTTGTGGGTACAAAATAACCAATAGATTGGCTTTGCCCTTCTTCCTTTTTGGTTGGTGGTGGTTATAATAAAGGATTTAGTCTGTGTTTTAAAGGTTTATTTTCTTTTTTAATTTGTTTCTCTATTAAAGTGTTTTTATTGAAACTGCTCGAGCTAAAGTTTTTTTTTTTAAATTACAATCGTTTCCTGGGTCTGTCGGACACTCGGTCAAAAAACATTATTTAAGATCTTGCTGTATTCAGATATAATGCTTAAAACAAAGAGCCTCAGCATGAGAAGTTATGTTCTGGGGAGGATTCATCCCTGCTCATGATCTTTTAACACTGATTTTCACTCATTTGGTATTAAATATTCGACAGCCAGCCTTAAATGTAGATAATTTCCAATTAAAAGAGAAACATTTGAAATTCAAATTGTTTTATGGGAACACACATGCTGGTTCAACCCTTGAATTAGGTGCCTTTTTTATTATTGAACTACTTTAACTGTTGCTTAACATTGCTTTAAAAGGCTCGCTGAAAGCACAATGAGTGCATGAATTAGTAGTAGCTAAAAACCTTTGAAAATGTTTTTGATTGTGAGTGATGGGTGAATGAAACCAAGGCCAGACGTTTCTTTGACTGAAAATAACTTGTATTCGGCTTTGCCTCTGACAGAATCTGGGCATGCTGTGGTTTGACACGACACCATGGCATTCATGAGAATTACACCCAAGTAAAAACACAATTTATTATACATTTCGCACGGCACAGCTTTTTGTAGTTTTTCAAAGTCGTTACATCAGATTGACTCCTAGGCCACATTTATAATTTGTGCTTCATCAAACCAACCTGAACCTACATGGTGTGTATTAGCAGAGCTTCGTGGATGCAGCTTTTAAATTTAACTGTAATCCCAAAGATTTCCATCTTTAAAACTGCAACTGTTTACATCAAGACGGTCATTATGGGTTTGAAATGTTAGTCACAGTGGCTCAGGTTGCGTGAAAATGAAGAGATTTGGAAGCGCACCGGCTGAAAATCGACCATTTCCAGCCTGGTTTGTGAGCTTTAATCCAGTGCTTTTTTTTGGCTTCATAATGCAATGCAACATCCTCAATGGGAAGGCCTTCAATAAATCATAGACCTGTTCAGTTTGTTATACATCGGGACAAACTTTATTCACAACCTTCGACTGGTAGTGTAGACAAATGAGATTGAACCTGTGATTATTCCCTTTTAACAAAAGCATAGAAAATACTAAAGACTGCTAGTTATATACAAACCAATCATACATAATGCTATATATAAAATCAGTTCAACCTCATGTCAGGTTGTTACTGTTCCAAATTTAAACCGAAAACGTTTGTTTGAGACAAAACGTGCACGATGATGACACGTGGATGGCCAAGTAAGACCCCGGCAATATTCAAAAGGTCTTATCGGTTCAAAGGAAGGGGTAAGTTTTAAAAATTAAAAGGAGGTCAAATATAATGCATTCAAGTGTTTTAGGCTATAAATCAGATTAGAGCTGTGATTATTTGGTTGTGCATACAGGACAAGGCAAACAAAGTAAACCCACACAAAAGGCTCATTCAGTTGCTGTTGGGAAGGTAATGGAGCCACAAACGCTATTTCCCCTTTTTGTTACCTTTATTCTCAGATAAACTTGCTCTCAAAAGGGATCTAACATTCGTAGTCAAAACAAGAAGATTCTTAAATTTTCTTTTCCCAGCGGTCACTCGGCTTGATCCTGCTCGGCGTCCATGCACGTCTCCCAGGGATTCCTGGGCATCTGGGGCATGGAGAGGATGAGGAGCGCGAACCCGCAGAGAAAGAGGAGGACAAAGCCGGTGCAGGCACAAGCGAACGACCAGGAGTAGTAGTACTGCATCCAAATGGTGTCCTCGCTCTCGATCATCCGTTTGACCGACTGGCGCATCACCTCCAGCGAGATGAAAGCACAAAGACCTGGGAAAAAAAAATAAGACAACATCAAAACTTAAGGTCACATTAAGGGGAAAAACGTCCTGAAATGTTGAAAGGGCAGAGAAAGGAGAAATGGACACTTTTGAGTGAACGTACCTGCAAATGCAAAAAACATGCCGGCAGGTTTGAGGAGGTAGTCTCTTCCTTTGCTTTTTCCAGTACACGATCCAAGCAAACACAGGGTCCCGAGGATGATGAAGGCAAGACTGAAGATGGAGATGGCCGCTGCTGAAATGTTGTACTCTGTAAAAAATAAATAAAATAAAAATAAAAAAATAAAGAAGGATGCCTTTAAACCTGACCAAAAGTAAGGCACACATAGTTTCCTGGTATTTCCACCACATTTTTATTTTCAGGCACATTTAATAAAGGTCAAAATGTTTGCAAACATGAAGCTAATATTTTATTTTTTGCTTTATAACTATACTTATGTGTGGAAACAATAATTCAATGGAAAAAATTGAGAAAGTCATTAACTTGTCATATCGGTCTTTACCTAAGATATGTTAATGGTAGAGGAAAGTATAGATTGCTCAACAATGGCAGTCACACTGATATTCATAAAAGATATCACTGATTTTGGGGTTTTTTTAGATTATGAATTTACAGACAGTATCAGTTTGACTGGAACAGCAGCTGGTTTGTTTTGGGAGCAGAGAGGTGGATCTGATCCGAGGCCTTTGATCTGCCGCCTGTGAGCCGTGCCCATGGGAGAGGCCCTTTGGGTGTCGGAGCCTTCATCTTTTGCTGGCAGGGGGGAGGAAGAGCATCACCCTGAACACCGCGTTCCCTGATAGGCTGCGAGTCTGCGGACTTAAATCATGTCTGAAACACTCCTGATTCCCTGCACCAAATTATGATTCATACAAAAGTTGTCCCACTGTACAACTGAAAGATTCCACAGTCCGTAGATAGAATCAAGTCAGTCCAAATGCAGAACTTTTTCCATAAAAGGCTTTTTCTAGCCAAACTGTGTCCATGATTTAAAGTCATGGATTTAACGATATAATGTGAATTTATTTACTTTTTTCCAATTAGCTAATTTTGTGAATTGATTTAATTGATTGATGTCTATGTATTTGCATTTAGCATCATAATCCATCCTGACATGGCTCCCACCTCAAATCACCCAAAGAAATCTCCCTATTGGCCTGGATTGGTAGTGTGCACTCATGGCTGTTCCTCTGTAAGAACAATTCAAGACATTTTATGCATTATGATGCAAGACCCTATAAGCCTTATTACACAGTCTAACAGATCTAAAAAGTAAAAGAACATTTTTAAAGCGCCTTTGGTCTTTTTGTCCGTACAGTTTTCTGTGCCTCATGACTCAGTTGAAAGTCACATGACAAAGAGCCCGAGTATTGATGTAAATTCGACATTTCTTTCCTTTCTTTCTGATCTTTTCACGAAATACTTAGAAAAATCTGTTTTTCTCTGATAAAATTGGATTGCTTATTTGAGATGGAAAAAAAGGACTTTATCATGATTCCAAAACAGTTACGAGCAAAAATGCCTCGGCTGAGAGTCTCTAACTGAGCCAGGGCTGTTAGATCAATGCCACAATTATTTCTGCCTCCTACAGTCTCTGAGGGTTTTGCCCTGATCTTCAGGATTTGGGATATAAGTGCACAGTATGTGCGTTTGTGTTGGCATACGGGGGGGGGAGGGAGGGCACCCATGAAAGCTTGCATTAATGTCACAGCGTTTAGGTTTATGGGAGTGTGTGTGACTTCACACGCAAACCTCTTCACATTCCGCTCCCCACGGTGATTGAGTTTGACGGCGCTTCGCGTGGGTCTGACCCCCAACGCACCGACTCGGTGGGGCCAAAGTACTGAAGTGAGCACGGAAAGGAATGGAAGATGAAGGAAATGGGGGGGGGGCTGGAGTATATCAGTGTGACACGAGGCATAGGCTGTATACGTGAACCATACATTTTTTATCCAGTTTGTCAGGTTACATTTGTGAAACGCTGTCCTCCTGCATATCGGTGCGGTGTGAATTCTGTAACTGTGTGAGTAAACCAAACGATATCCACTGGAGTCTTCAACATGTTTCTTAATGGATGTAATATGCCGTGTGTTGCCAGTGACTGCTTTGGAACAGAGGAAGTGTAGGGCAAGTTGGCCTTTTTATGGCAATGGGACAAATTGTTGGCAAAAGATAGAGCAGTTGTGGCAGATTGGGTCACCAGCACCAAAAATAATACAATATTGTTTGTAATTTTAGGGAAACATGAGAGAAAGTCTGTACCCAACATGGTAGTGAGCCGGTCAGCTGGGAAACTGAATGGGGAACCTGTAGCTTGTTTGATGTTTCAATTCACAAGATGTAACGTTAAAAAAGGATCTCTGCTTTTATTATCACGTATAGCCTATTTGTTTCTAGACTAGTGCGAAGAAAAGGAGAAAAACCTACCTTTTTGAGTTTTATATTCAAATATCTCAGCATCCTGCCCAGGAGTGAAGTGCCTGAAGTAAGTGCAGTTTTCCTCTGCCAAAGGAGAAAAAACAAAGTTAGGCCCCCACCACAGGAGGACATGGAAATCGGTTAACTCACTTGTTTAAAAAAGATAAGTGCACAGGGGACCGTGGCAAACTGAAGTGAACAGGAACGATTACTGGCAAAAAGCATGATGGCAGATTTTTGCTAAACTGGGACAAAAAAGGCAAAGGCACCATCATCACATGTCTCGCACTTAGAGCAGGAGACCGATTAAGAAACAGATATGATGATCGCATTAATAGTTAAGCAGTAGCAGCGCATCAGAAATATATAACGCCTGTACCCATGAATTATTATCGAGAACTATTCCGAGAAAAGATGTACTGAGGCGATAAACAGTTGGAATTGCTGTGGTTCGCTTCCCAGAACTCCACGGGACCTGAGCAATGATGCTCACAGGATCGTTTATTCTCGTTGTTTGTTTCAGCTGAAAGTGTAACACTGATGAAACACAAAGTGATCCGGCAGCAAGGAGTGGATCTAAAGAACACTTGACTCCACGAGGTAACTGAGGCAAGCACATGATTTTACTCAGAAGAGCTGAAATATGAGGGAGTCTCGTCTATTTGTTATTATTTTTCAAGTAAATCATCTCTCTTAATGCTGCCTGCTGTGCATATGTACACTTATCTGATATATCTTAAACACATAATTCTGATTAAATTCAGCAGCATTTCAGGAAATTGAAGATACACCTCCAGTTCTCCATGCTGTTTGTTTTAATTTAACCTGCTGCTGCTAAAGTACCATGCACATATCTAAAGGTCTTTTATTACTCTTTTAAATTACTCACATCCTAATTGCTGTACAAAAAAATCAAATCATCTTCATAGTATTTTTTTTTTCAATTAACAGCAATTAAAGAAAAACCAACAGAGCTTTTTAATCTTTGTTTGAGAATGAAACTATGAGAAAAACATTCAAAGCTGCATTTATGGCCACTGGAGTCTTTCCTCATGTGCTATTGAAGTCCTGCTCCACTTACTTTCACACCATTATCCAAACTCCAACAGCTGGACACTTTGTGAATATGATGCTTTTCTTTGACACTTCACACTATGTCAGATCTCACATTTGTCCTCTGAAAGCATCTTAACACTGACAACCTCAGGATAGCGTTGATAAAAGAGGATTGCGGTCATAGAATAATGGCTTGCTTTTGTATGATTTGAAAACTCAAAGTAGATGTTCTACAGAAGCCATTGTATTTCATCTCTCTCCCGCCGCTGAGGTGTTAAACCTTTGGGATTTACTTGAGCCTCTTTTGTGTTCACCCAGTGCTTTGCAAGAGGAAGCAGCCTTTGATACCGTGCCGTGTCTATAAAAGATTGAATCCCGTTTTGGAACAGGCTGCGTTAATTGCCGGGTCGTGATGGCATTTCACTTTTTGCTTTTATCGCTAAATTGATTTCGAGTGGTGAAAAATGTTGTGGCATTAGATCGTGATAAGAGTGCGCGGGCTGCCTCACGCTTAACACGCACAGCCACGTTCGAGTACCGACCTTTCTGAAAGCAGAAGAATGTCTCGACATTAAAAAAACATAAGAAAGACGCTGGATATTGTGTTTGCTGAAAGACTGAAAGCATTTGTCTGAAGCCCAGTGAAGTGCATGTCAGTGGTATTCCTGGTATGAGGTCTCCACTTTCACACTTTCACAGGGCACTCAAAAAAGGGAATGCCATCCTATGGAGATATTCATCCATTGTCAATGCTGCTTAATCCTAGTAGGGTCCAGGGGGGGCTGGAGTCTGTCCCCCCCATAGAAAAATATAGCACTGTACGGTATCATATGAAGGAAAGGGCATTATTTCCCTCGCTATGTTGATTACCATATCTATTCCTGGGCGGTAAAAGAGCTGACAGGCTCTCCCAAAATAAAACAACACTTAGTTTTTTATTTTCTAGATATGAGTCATATCGATCCCAGCAAAAATCAGCTCTGCACTGGTTACAAAACCCTTCCTTTGAAATGGAAAGCTTTGAGTACGGTGTGTCATATTAAGTAAAACATGTTGTTTTTCTTTTATGAATGAGGACAGGGACTGGCCATGAAAGAAAAATATTTTTAAAAAAGAGACGTTGTTACTAAGCAACAAGAGCCACTGTTTCAATATAAATGGCACAGAAGAGGGTGGGACAGAGGCTCTGCAACTGGTTGTACCTCTGAATGAAACCTTGCATTGAAATAAAAAGCTTGAGAGTATTTTGTTTTGTTCAAATATACCATTTTAGAATAACAACTGATATTCTTGCTCTTTGGGAGACATTTGTCCACCCTGGTCCGGGTTAGTCTTTTTGGTGCTATGGTGTGTACCTTCTTTCAGGAAACTTCATCTCATCTGTAATGATTTATTTTATGATTTAAAGAAAGTATTTATAGTTTTTTTTATTTAAAACTTTGGCAGGACCTTTGTTCACTTCATAATTCTTATTTATGGTTTTAAATGATTCATAAGGATGAAACACATGAATGTGAATGGTGGGTATCATCAACATCAAGATATTCTAATTACAAATCCATCCATCCATCCATTTTCGGAACCGCTTTTACCCAAATGGGGTTGTTGGGGGGGGGGGGGGGGGACTGGAGCCTATCCCAGTGGTCAATGGGCGAGAGGCAGCATACACCATGGACAGTCTGCCAGTCCATCGCAGGGCCACACATGGACACACAAAGACGAACAACCACAAACACTCACAAGAGCAATTTGGAATGTCCAATCAACTTAAAATGCGGGTTTTTGGATGGTGGGAGGAAGTCGGAGTACCTGGAGGGAACCCACACAGGGAGATCATGCAAACTATCGTTACAAATCTTAAACAAAAATATGAAGGGAAACTGATGGATGAGAAACTACCAGTTGACCTGAATGGAATCGATATTACTCTATTACAGTGAATGGTCACTGACAACATGCAGAATGTGCAGCTGTTTTTATTTGTTTGGCTCTTGTCCTGCTGGCTCAACTGACAAGTTCTGTAACACCTCCCTTTGTTCCAAATAGGGCAGTCTGTCAAGCTTCCAAAGATCAGGTACAAACATCGGATTGGCAGCGTCTCAGCACACTGTCATATCACACCAGCGTCTCTCAGAGCTTTGACGTGAGCTGTCAGTTAAGTTTGTGTGGAGCAGAAGCATTTTGGCCCAGACGGCCGATCTCCACGTGTTTGTTCAGTTTCATCTACTGTAATCCTAACAAATGTGCATGGTACCCCAAAAAACATTCAATGTAGAATGATTTTTTAAAAAACTTTGTTTGATGTACTTCTCAAAAAATCCTGTGAAAAAGTTTTAATCCTAAAAAAACAAACAAACGGCCAGATTGGTACCGACTTTACTTTTGCCTGCCTCTATAAAAGCAAACCCATTCCCTGGAAATGACGAAAGTAAAGCTTTACCACTCGAATATAAGTCTGTGTCAGTGTTTAATGCGTGAGTGCCCCATGCTCCTTTATACTATGCTCATCATTAGGTTGGTATAGTAGTTAAGTGCTTATAAGGGCAAAATAGCAGCTATTGAACAGATGTTCAATAGCTGCTACTATACATACATCTCTATATCCCGTCCCCAGAGAATCTGAAGTAACATGAGTGGCTGTGTGGTTCGGATGGAGATGTGAAGCTGCAGATGGTCTTGGGGGAACACTTTGGTGGGACTGCAGGCTTTAGAGTCATGCATGAATTTGTCAGGCGGCCCCGTCAGTCACATGGAGCTGCGCCTGTGCGTGAACACTTGACCCTCATGGCTTCATCCCAGCACAGCTGAGTATTTACATCATCTATTTTTGGAACGGCAGCATTGCTCGCTTAGCTAAATATTACTAAATAAAAAATCAATATGTAAAAACATTTTTTTAAGAACTTTTCCTTCGTGGAAGACACCAAAACTTCCCAAATGTCACAAGGAACAATATAAAGAGCGCAATCTATGCTGATGCTGCTTTTTCTACAGTCCTCCGAATGTAAATAAAAAAAAGAATAAAAATATGAAGGCAAATCTGAAGCACCTCAGAGTGAAATAGTCACTCAGATAAATCTTCTCCGAGATTTTTTTTGACAGCCGACATTTGTGACACAGCATGTGTGGTAAATACATGTTACGGAGATATCAGAAGTTTATCCGACATCCTCCTTCTGTCTGTACTTCGTCAGCGTTTGACCTAAACAACAAGGCTGCCTGTACTTTCCGGCTACACGCCTCTCAGTAAGGAGGATCCCCTCACACTCTGCGTGAGTCCTGTTTAGGATCAGAGGTTGACACAGTGAGGACATGTGGCTGTGATAAACAATAACGTTCCTCTCCAAATACAGCTATCGGGCCCGGGGAAAGCCCCAGAGAGGGCTGCTACATTTCCTTCATAAATAAAAGATGCTTCAGTGGCAACGACAAGTTGTGTGTATCACTGTAAACACCAGAGCTACCTCTTTTCAGAAAAGCCACGTGACAGGGAACAAATAACTCTATTTGACATAAAGAACAGAATGTGATATAATAAGAAAGTGATAAAGTGTTGAAATGATGAAGAAGCAAATCAGAGCTGTCTCTGTAAAAAGAAAAGGCTGCAGACAAACTCTCTATTATCAGAAGCATTTGTTACATTTCACTACAGACTGAGAAATTCTTCTTGTGTTGCGATGAGTCAAGCTGATTTGGAATATTAAGCGCATACTTGCACCGTTGAACCGCCCTTTAGGCATTCCGTCAGCTCCTGGCACAGCTGTGAAGCGCAGACATTGAAAATCCCACCCATCAGTCAACTGTTTTTCTTACTGAGGAGGGAGGATTTGGTGGGGTGTCTAAACCCGTGTCCCTTAAAAACTGGCGTAGAGTAAGTAAGGCACTTATCTGACGGGCTTCGCAACATGCCTGCTGGGCGGACCTAATTCTGGAGATGAGTGACTTGCAATGTAAATCCCCTGAAATGTGAGCATTAGCTGTCAACGCCAGCTCAGCACTATTTTCATACATTTTATTCAATTAAAGTCTGTCTTTAATTGAGGCAGCTGCAGGAGCGCCAGATATCAAATTCGGAGATGTCCCCGGCCCTAGTTGGCACATCAGAATAAGCACATGACCCACACACTTTTTATGAGCTGCACAGAAGAGCCATCTTCCAAAATGTATTCATTTTGAGAACATTGCTAACATCAGAATGATTTTCTGGGCCGTCACATTATTTGTTGTTATGGCACAATGTCTTAATCCTGAGCTCAAAAAGAAAAGAAAATCAAGCCAATCTCCCTTTTCTTGCTTCATTTACTTCATTGCTTCAATATTTGAAAAAAAATATCATACTAAAATTGAATGTGGAACCAGGAGACAGGGTGATAAGGGGAAGGGTCTGACAAGGAGTGAAACAACCGGTAGGAGGAATTACTGAGTGGAGGCAGCTGAGGATAATGATCACAGGTGAAAGGAGACGGGAGCAGATGACCACACAGAAGAGACACTTTGGGAACTATATGAAAGATTGATGCAGTTGTCTCCTTAGTCTTTATAGCCTTTCCCTGGTGGGTGGATAGAAAGTTCGGACCTGATGCAGCATTTCAGTCCAAATATACCTGTTCTTCCTTCAGGTGAGAAGTGTCTCTCACCAGCACAAAGAAAGTTTGGGTTATACCAACTCTATTCAAGCCACATTGGTTTTACCCTAATTCCCCCCACCCTAAAAAAGGGGCTCTTTTTAAATTAAGGCTATTATTAAGAATAGTTATAGCAGTAATACGTTTACCGAGAAAAAAACGATGGGAGAAATAAACTACACAGCTAATAACAAAGAGCTCATTGACCACTCTTACATTGTTAATGATGTTTTTTGCAAATGCAATTAGCTTGACCCTAATTCCCATAGTGCTGATCTTTTGCCCAATGCTCCAAATATCTACCGGTACTAATCTTTATTTGATTCTGTTTGGTTTTTCCTTAATTCTGCCAAGAAAACAGGCAAGCCACATAAATTATATGGAAATTAAATGATAAATACAGAATCTCAAAACGTGATTAATTTATCCAAGAGCTATCAAGTTCCTTGAAGATTCTTGAATGATGCCACTCGCTTGAGTTTTGTGATGGTGTTCAAGGCAATTATCCATAGTTTAGTAGGCTGAACAGGAAAATGTAACCCATCAAATGTGACAAAGAGGGAAATCCAGCTGTATCATTCACACCCTGATTCCTCATAGACCTCAAATTTCACTCACAGTCTGCTGACTCTCTTTGACCTGCTCATTCTCTCCAAAATGGTGTTTTAAAACTGGTACCTTTACCACACCATGTGGGTTCCCAACATCTGATCAACAAACCTCATCTGGTGTTTGAATAGACTGAAACAACTTTCTGCATTATTAGAGGTGATGAACAAGGTAACTGGATCTGTTTGGTGTATAAAGTTTAGGCAGTCACATGATATGCCTGGAGATCTTCCATGAGGACCCCCTATTCTTAGTAGCTTCCATGTTATCAGCAGGGGGCAGTGTTTCAGAAGCACCTTGCTCAATGACCAGTGTTCACATATTAAAGGGCCAAAGCCATGGTCCAAAAGAATGAAACATGCCTGTCAGCTTTAATTTGATTTCACGTCCCAGTAACAGTTCTGAGTTGCTCTGAGTTTTGCTTACCTCCAGGAAGGCTGATAGGGCCACATCTTTGCCCCTCCACATAGTTTTCCGACGTGATGTAGATGTGCTTCTTGCACAGCCGCCACAGGCCGAAGTGGGCCGCTTCGCAGGTGGCGTTGGATTTCTCCACGTGTGGGCTGAGCACTGCCCAGTGGTCCGTCACCACCGCCGTGAACATGCACGCCATGCCCACCATCAGCACAAAGATGGTGACCTTAATCTTGGTGCGCTTGTGCATGTCTCCAAGTGTACGGTTTCTGTTCAGTGAATATTCTTCCCCTGGTCGGTAGAAAAAAACAAAACCCGTGTCACGGTGTGTACACACCGGTCGGTGTCCTCAGTGACTGCGGCAAGTCTCCCGGAAAGCCTTTTTTCTCTCGGCCGAAGTCTAGTCTTCTCTCACCCTGTCGCAGATCTGTGCCTCTGGTCTGAAAGAGAAAGGGGGCCAGACTGCTCTGTCCTACTTTCGAGTCCCTCTTTCCCCACACACACTACGAGCCGCCCGCAACTCCGGAGGGGCTGCAAGTTTAGACGGTCAGCTGTTGAGGTAGATCATGGAAGTTGATGACCAGACTGTCTACCATGGTGGGTGTTTCTTTGGGGGGTAGTATGCTATAAATGTGACTGGTGAGTCAAGTTGTCAGGCCTCCCTGCTTATCCGGTTACAGCGTCGGTGTGTTGAGATTCGTAACGTGCCATGATAAGCGTACGGACATAAACAGTCTTCTCTCCTCCCTCAAAACACGCAGACTCTCAAATGGTTATTTTAGCGGCGCGAGAAGAGTTTAATCTGCTTCAAGTTTCCATCTATGCACACTCTGCTGCACCGTAGCGTGGCCTTGGTGTGGGTTTGTCTCTATAAACTATTTATAAGAAGAAAATGGATGTGTTTATAATGAGGAGCAGCAAGGTTTCGGCAGACAACAGGAGAGTCTCCCCGCTGGAACAAAACTGCTGTTACTCATTTCTGTTGGACCTGTCTCTCTCTGCCTTCCACCTTACTGGCCAGGTCTCATTAACCATTTCTGTAGTGTATCAGCATACATGGACTGATTCTCCTCAGAATGCTTTTAAGAGTATATTTGGGCACTTATGAGAATTTATCCCTCCATAAGATGGCCGCTACTGATTTTAGGGTCAGCCCTTGTGTCATTAATTTCAGCCTTTTCTCCTTTTCTCTTTGGTTCCCTTCCTCTCATGGAGGCCTTTCCTGATGAGGCATAAGTGAGCAACAGATGGATGAGCTGCTGAGCATTCCTCAGGTCACTTATTAGTTCCTGGCTGGATTTTATAAGGACATCGCTTTCACATGCATATCAACCTGGGAAAGTTTTCACTGATTGCTTTCCCATTTGACAAGAAGAAATAACACACTCTCCCAACTATGCCAAGATTCCTGTAAAATGCATTTCTTTTGCAAGAGTGGATAAGATAGAAGTTGAAACCTCCTGTTGTTCTGCTTCCAAATTTTACCCTCCTAAATTAATTCCGAGCTCATAATTATAATAGGATCCATATACCTGTGCTTACTGAAGAAAAACTGTGCTAGAGTAGATTGTATTGGGGCATTATGTCCAAAGAGCTGGCCAACACAGAGTCCCTTCTGAAAAATTGTGACCCACTTCTGCCTAGCGTGAGCAGAGGTACCTGTCAAACAATTGTCACAACAGGGAAGTGGAACCATGACAAAATGTCTGCAAACTAGAACTCAGCTTGACATCTTCAGCATTTTGCTTTATGTCACCTTTTTCCAAATCACTATCAGTGCTATTCTTAAAGACAATTTTTTATCAAGAGGAAATTAAAACAAAATTATCTGGTGCAGAATCGTTAGCGGAAAAACGAATTTGGACTAAATAAACTGAACACAATATGACTGTAGAAGTTACTGTATCCATCCACTGAGTACCAGTCGGTACCACTTGAAAGCTCATGGCTGTGTGACAGATTCAGAGGTTTGTAATCACTGCCTTCACTTTCAGATGGTTTCAGGTTCAAAAGCAACTTATATATAGTTTCCTATAATCAGTAAAAAAGCAGATTTTTTTTTTCTCTTCTGTGATCGGTTGAATTCCAAGGTGTTCTGCATTCAAACCAATACAGTCCAATATTTTCACTTTGAAATTTATTTGAAATATCCTCATTTTAGACTGACTACATGATTTTATTTTGAAATATGTATTCTCTGCTCTGCATTGCTAATTTTCAGTTCATCAAAGAACTTGAGTTAATCATTTGTTTCCCATTATTTTCCTAATTTGTTATCACCCCTGACAGTAATCATGTGAATTGGACTGTGTATGATGGTGTATACTATAAATGCGGGTGGAGTAAGAGTGTATGTGCTGACACTTCACGCTGGGCTGATGGTGGCTTGGACAGCAGCTGACACAGAGAACCTTTAGTCATTACCATGCCTTAAGCAACTCACCATTGTCGTGATGGATTGCAGCGGCAGCTGAGTTTTACAGGCGCAGTAACACCTGACCCCCGAGGCATTAACCGGCTCAACCTTTGACCCCACCGTTGCCCTCTGAGGACAAAACTCCCCATAGATGCTTCAGGCACTTCAAATATCTTCCAAGGGAAATAACCTCTTCCAGTGGACTAATTGTGCAGACAGAACCTGGGCCACTAAATCAAATGAACTGAAATCATGGAGGGCAAAAGGCTACATCTATCACGACTGATCAAGACAGGCTCTCCGTTCTGTGAAGAGAATAAATCACCGTTTGGTCATTCTTTAAAATCTCAGTTGACCCAAACCGGTCTTGTTTTGTCTCCAGATACAGATAAGAGGACATGATCTGCACAACAAAACGTTTTTTTTTTAAGCTGGTTGAGCAGTGGTACATCAATGTGGATGGTTAAAAGTATTGTTTGCAGTTCCACTCTGTAAAATGAAATCTTCCTTCCTACTGCATATGCTTCTGTGGCTGGGATTAGCAATCATCACATTTTATTTTTCTGTTTCAGAGAATATTCTCCCTATACCATAAAAATCTGACAGATCAAGAGATTAATTATTGATCTTTTGTTTTATATTGATTGACTTGTGTTAATTGACTATTTATTTTTAGGCTGTTTTATTCCCCAAGAAGCCCAATGTATGTGGATTGATGGTTGAGCAGGTGTCTCATATAACATTCCCGCTGACTTGGGAAAAATCCCCCACAGCCATTACTTTCCTGATATTAGACTTCAGATAAAGGCATATTTTGCCAAAATAGTACAACACATTGACAAAAAAGGAAGAGATTCACCTAAAATAAAAGATTAATGAACACCTTATGAAATTAGAACTATCTGAGACAAGTCTATTGTGATGATCAATGAGTAATAATTGCTATTTACAACAGGAGAGAAGCCGAGCCTAATTTAACTGCAATGTTAAAAATCTGGGAGGAGCTCGCTGCTTCTCCAAACTGAGAAAAGCCAGTTGCTGTGGTTCAGAAACCTTAGAAGGATGTGTCCCGGGATCCTTTTTTAGAGATTTATAAGTGAGGGCCAGCTGGGTCTCCAGTCCAGGACTCGGTTGAGGATAATGTCTTCCAGCTGGCTTGGGAGGAGCAGAATATTCCTGAAGAGAACCTGGAGGAAGTTATTCAAAACAAGAGGGCTTTGGTGTCTCCGTGCTTGTCATATTTGAAACAGTTCCAGCACTGGTGCTCTTACCGTTTAGTTTTTTCAGACACACGGCCTTAAATTATCCTATATCTACTTCTGAAAAGTTGCATGTGTGAAATATTGTTTCTGTGGCCAAACAACTCTCTCTATGATTGTTCTGGTGAGAGCACACCATTCCAAAAGGTCTGATTGCTAAAGTCTGATTTATTATCCCAGTTGAAGTTTAGCTGGGTGTAAAAGCTTATCAGCTTATAATAAATATATCATATTATAATTACATTTTTGTTTAAGGACAAATCCAGAGCTATACTCTGATTTAAAAAAATAATTTGTGAGGCTATGTTCACATAAAATTGTTTATTACTGGATTGAATTTGCAATGTTTATGTCTTCAAATTCAATGTCAGATAAATGAAAGGGTGTACTCACTATCCACATTGGACATTTTCCCTCTAGTTTTAGAGGAAATATCAGCCACCTATTAGTTTTTCCTGTCATTCATTTAAATGTAAAACTTATTTTAAGGAGATAAAGGTCTGTTTGTTCAAATATTGCTTGAAATATTGAAATACTTCACTCTCATATCATAACAGGTATGGTGACATTTCTACTCTGTGTCATAAGAGTAAAGGTGGTGTGAGAAAATCAATTTATTCAGGTGTTCAGTTTATTAATTTGACTTGAAAATCTTCTATAATACTCTTTTTATTTGAAAAAAATAACGTATGAAACTTTTTTAAGGTTGAGATCCAGACTAGTAACTGAACCTTGATCCAAAAAATGATATAATCTCCATGTCGATCTACCAACTCCATTCATTGCTTTGTCTCTCGACAGCATTCAACAGCTTAGATTTTAGGGGTGATGAGCGTAAAATGTTTTCCGATTTTTGATTTTCCCCAGAAGGCTAAAGCTGGATAATGGGAGCTGAGACGTAAGCAGAAGGGCAACAACAACAACAGCAAATAAATATAAGGAAGAAAACTGGCAGCTTTATAAATCACCAGGACTAAAGGATTGTAGATTAGTGGCATGGAGAGTTTAAGAGAGATCAAAAGGGAAGCTGCAGAGTAACTAACATTGCCTGCATGAATGAGCTCACAGGCATTGCTCAATTTGCTCTTTTTCTTCTTCTCACTGGAAACTTGTTTTCCTTCTGTGGTTGTTTTCAACTGCAAAGGCATAAAAATTCCCTTTGGGACTGTTTCAATAATAATTCAATTAACTGATTAACACCATCGTGGTCTGATGTTTTTTGTGTGTCGTGGAGGATGAGAAGGGTTAAGCTCCAGCTGCTGCTGGCTGAATCCAGTCTTAGCTTGGTGACAGATGTCATCCTTACAGAAGCCTGCAGCTCCGGGATTGACAGTATGGCACTAATATCAACAGGAAGCGACGAATCAGACCCCTGCAGGGAAAAATGTCAGCCATTCTAAATGCTGAAAAAGAACTTGAAAGAGGTAGATGGCCTGTGGAGATGGGATCACCCAGAGGGAAACACAACTGACTCCAATTTCATATTCTGATGTTTTTTACATACATTGATTTGTAGGTTATATCTTTAAAATTCATTAGGGAAAATTATTCCACTATATCTTAGTCGATATTTTAACTATAATTTGTTCTCTTTCTAAGAATACAATATATATAAAGTTATTTTGACTACCAAAAAGATAAATGCAATCAAGAACAAACATATTTATTCAGTTTGTTGCGTTTTTTCCATGCAACATATAACCTTGTTGGAGATAGATAATTTGTCCCAACATTGTATTGTAACGGTAAGAACAACAGTATGAGCTCATTGAGAAACTCGCCCTGCTTTACAAAGACTTTCGCTGTCACACAGCAGGAGATGGGGAAGCTTTATTGCGAATGGATATATCAGTAAGGGGTTCATACATTCAAATTCTCGAGGATTTACGGCTTGGGTAATGGGCAGAGAGAAGGGTGGAGCAGAATTGCTTGAATTCAAGGCTGGAATAGACGTGGTCATCAAACCAGTTTGGCATAGCAAAGATACATTTCATGTGCAGAATGGAAATAAGTCTATTCTAATTCAAGGCATCCTCTTGTAAACCTAAGTGACTTGAATGTCAACTATAGCTGGGAGATCCAAGACTTCACTGAGACTATCAGCCCTTTCATGGGTCAGCGTGTTTAAACACAAACAGAAGTCACTGACACTGACTCACAAACTAGCAACCAAATTAAACCAATTCCAACCTCTGCCATAAATATCTAACTGGAAAAACAAACCATGAAGCTGATGTGGAAGTTAGTCAAGCACGCACTATAAGAAGAAAGAATAAATGTTAGCATGTATACACACTGACAGCAACTTTACTCTGACTGTTTTTCTGGAGACGAGCTATTCGAAGTCTGGATGAGCATCTGGGAGCCTGTTAGCTCAGTCAAGCATTAAGTTGGCTGACGCCGATTTTCTTTAACACCCTGTGGTTGCTCCATTGTTTGCCAGGCAGTTTCGGAGCAGAACATAACAGAGCCATCAGCCTGTGATATCATCCTAATGATTCCTCTATGAGGAAAACCAAAGGCAACGGAAAGTGCTGGTGTGTTGCCACATCAGGCCAATTATCAGGTCTTATTCTGCATCGAAACATGAGTGAAAGTCATTTGAGTTTTGCCTCTTACATCAGCAAAGTAATCCTTTGAATCTAACATAATTTATTTCTGAATATAAATCATAAAGATGAAACTGTCTGTAAAGTAATGGGTTAACTGACTGAAAACAATCTTCTTTTATCATTACTGAGCTACATTAAATAATAACTTCCCAGCCAACAAGTGTCTCTTGGATCTTAACTAGGAAAGATTGACTGTTTTTCATTGTATTTTGTATGGCGGCCCTAAAATAAAAAAGACAATAGCTCAGGAGAAAAGCCAAAAAAGAAAATTACCAAATTTCCAAAAACATAGTTAAAAAGAAAATGCATTTAGTGAAACACTTCAATTATAACATGAAGAAATGATTATTTTTTGCAGTTTTCATATCACAAGATGACTTCTTGATTATCTAAAATCTCAAAAGTAATTTATTCATAATTTAGTCAGAAAAAAATGCTCCTGTACCTCACAGTGCAGCACCGTCAGTGATAATTTGCATCTACACCTTGGTTTAGTTTTCACCAAATATGACCACAAGTAAATACAAGCAGGTACCATAGAGGCACCTAATGTAGACAAAGATAAGAAGCTGACCAACTCCCACCCACCTGCTCCAGAAAGCACCTGCTAGAGAAATGGTAAGAGATAACATAAATTGAACCGTTGAACAGTACAAAAACAATAATGGGCTAAACAATAATGGAAGAAATCATCAATAAAATCGAAATAATGGCCATGGAAAATGATTATATTGCTGGCTTATCTTGTGTAGAAAGTGGTTTTCTGCTCTAGTTAGATGGCACCTCGATAACTGGAGGAATTTAACAAAGCTGCAAATGCCAAACAGACACATCCTTTTCTTTCCGGTACATCTGCCACAAGGCTTTAAAAATTGCAGTTAGGAAATATTATGATCCCTGTCTTACTGGCTTTGGAAATACTGCTTTTGTGAAATGCTGTTGGTTCTTCACAATATGGTCATTATTTCATTTTTTCTCTTGGTCAATATGTTCTGAAATAATTGTGTTACTTTCAGTTGTTGGTCTAACACTTGTGTGGTTTTTGAACAAAGCCAAATGTCTGTAAGCAAACTTTTTTTTTTAAAAACAAATTTGACATTTTATAAACCAGTTGACAGATAAAAACCACTAGATCAATCTGAAACAAAAATAACAGTTTTTTGTTTGTTCTAAATTAAGTCTGAATTCAACTGACCAGATATCTGTCCAAATGTAACCGTCACACACCCCAATAATGCAAAATGTTCAATATAGGTTCAAAAAGAAAGCTATGAAACTAAATCCTGATGCAAAATCATTTATTGTTTTTTTTGTCAATTCCTTACAAAAGGAAAAGGCAAGAAACACTTCTTGCAGTAATGGAGCTGTAGGACACAAATACTGCAAATATGAGCATGTTTTCTTTCAATGTGATAGAAAAAAAAAAGAAAAGTACAAAAACTTTTGAACACATAAACAGTGACAGCATAAAAGAAGAGAATCAAGTTAATTAGCAACAACACACAGAGCATGATCTATCTCTGTTTTTTTATGCGTGTGTTTTTCTTACACCAATTCTAACAGTCGGTCTGGCTTCAGTATGGAATTCATTGGTTCCATACATCATCCCTGAGCGAATGGAGAGCAGGAAAATCATTTTTGCACTGATACATCACACAGTGTACTGGAATGTTCTGGCACAACCAAGTGCTGCCATTCTTTATAACATATCTACAAAAAAATGTCTAAAGTGATTGTGTCAGTGTGGCATTGCTGCAGAGCCACTGACACACACACATACTTTCACATACTGTAACACACAATTTACACATGACTCACATACAGGCTTGAAAGAGATTATTGAGATACAGTGAGATTATTTAGACTGGAGCTGACAGGGTTTAGGACTGTGAAATGTGTATAGGTTCAGTTAGCACCATTCGTGTTAAGTTACATACAATTACAATACACTGATACTTCAAAAACAGACACTCGCACAAATCACTCACTTTTAGCGAAATAATGACAAACTAATAAAAAAGAGATTATTTCCAAAACACTACTTGACAAGAAGGGGAAAAATGTTTCAGTGCTTTTCAATGCTTCAGCACAAAAGAGCAGAAGGTATCTTTTTCCTGTCTTAAGAAATTAACCTCATCAGATATCGCTACATGTATCTGCAGCCATCTTTAAAAGAAGCGGTGTCATTTCAGAGCGCTCGAGACTTGTTTTTGTCGTCCACAAAATTAGATGTTAACTATTTTCTTCCTCACAGATGGACACAAGAAAAACAAATCTGACCTTTCGACACAATCGCTGCTGCTTAAACAGTTTGGCAGTGCGGCTGTCCTTTCTCAATATCTTTACAACAATTAACGAGCCCCACTGTGCTCGTTTTTCTACACAACAGCACACCCCTGATCTCATACCGGTGTGGTCCTCCGGTTCGCTCCGTCTTTCACATCTTTCTGAAAACAGTTGTGGACTTGTAAGAACCCAGTGTTCCTCTCTGGGCTGTACCGCGCCGCCGTGCCACCTCCGGCCTTCAAAGGGTCCCTTCTGAAGGTGTACAGGGATATATCCCCCATTGGCAGACCCATCCCCAAACCTCCCCCCGCAGACCCTGCGCCCATCTTCAATCCCACTGGGGAGGGCTCGCGGGACGGGTCAGTGGACCTGGAGCTGGAGCGCGAGCGCCTCCGTCTGTAGCGGTAACTCGGTATGCGGGAGTACGGCGAGGAGGACGAGGTCGTTCTGATGAAGCTCCGTTTGGCTCGGAAACGCGTCTCTTTGTTTTTCTCGATGTATATGTTGACTGCAAGAACCCCCACCGACTCAGCCACAATGAAAGAGAGGGCACCAAAGTAGAAGGACCAGCCGTAGCTGTACTGGCTCTTCTTGTCCTCGTCTTTCTTGTCACTGGGATCGCCGGCGTTGCTGGAGATGTAGACAATGATGCCAATGATGTTGCTAAGGCCTGAAGAGAATGACTGATTATTAAGAGAAATGGTTTAAAGGAAAAGCTAAGACAGTGCCACTTGTGTGTGAGGAAGATGAGCTGTAGCAGTCTAAAATAACTTTTTTAATATTGTTTTTTTATTCAATGTACAGCCTCTGTATGGACACTGGCTCTTAGTCCATTTAGTGTGTTTATCTGTGGTGCACTTTCAGGCCTGTCCTACCTGCGGCCACAAACAGGATGCCTGCACTAAGCAGGATGTTGTTCTTGCTGCTGTAGATGCGCCCGACCCCGACACACAGGCCGCCCAACATCAGGAGGATGGTGCTGAGGATTGGGAATAGGCTTGAGGCGCGCACTATACCTGTTCCCAAACAAAATGAAGGTGCTGCCTGAAAGGTGTTTACCAATTTTAGCTCATTGCATAGAGTGCTACGCAAATGTCTCGGGACACCCGGTGGGACACCTATTCAATTTCCATTCAGTGATCCCCTATGTTAATATCACTGATGAAGGAATGCAATCGTACATATAAACTTTGTTGTTCTACAGCTAAAAATTCTAAATCTCTACCATAGCATATTGAGATCCGTGAAAAGATTCACCAACAGTATCCAATCCAGAAACCCTTTTACTGGGAAGCAGCAGTGCTGCTGTGGCCAACTGTGGCCAAAGCCAATGTTAGTTTATTCTTTTTAGATCTTTGTCATCATGATCATCATCAGTTCTTCTTCTGACGTTCATCTTTTAGCCACTTTTTCAATTAGTTATAATTAGTTATTGCATGTTGTCACACAAAGGACAAGCTTTAAAATTAGTTATGGTTTATATTTAATCTAGGTTCTGTTGAATATTGACCAAAATCTCATACAAAGTCCAGATGGTAAACTTTCCCTGCATGATCTAATTCCTTGAGTAACAAAAGCTGATCCCATAGTTACACCATTGGTCAGCAGAACAAATATTTCTGCAGCATCATTGACCTTGATGAATATTTCACAAGGATTGGGCTCAGGTTCTGCAATGGACTAGAAACCGCTCCGGCTTGTACCGGGATTGCAGCAAAACCCAGGTTTTGGGAACGAGTGGGTTATGTTTGTAAATTAATTAAACAAAAAGAGTTTGTCTGTGTTATATTACTTGTCTTTAAAAGACTGTTAGCTCCACAGAAGGGTTAACTGCACTGATAAGAGTTACTGAAATGTCTGGACAGTTAAGATGTTCCTGACAGACAGTAAGTCTGCCCAAACTAAAATGAGGGAGATGAAAGATGAGCAAAAATAGACAGGTTAATGTTTTAAAAGGTACCAGTGGCTGACCAGAAACTTCTGATGTCTTAGCATGACATTTCATTTCCCTTTGTACATCTAAATGAATCAATACAGATAACAGCATAAATACAGAATCTGCCTTAGGGCATACAGCATCGGTGTAAACATAATTGATGGGATATTGGGGGAAAATGTCTTTGTCGAAAAGCCTCAGTAAAATTATCCAAGAGGTCCAATATGGATAAAGTCTTCCTTATTTTAGACAAGTCCTATTACACATCAAACTACACACTTCATCATCACCAGCGCTGCTATTACTGTCATGAGATCAGGCTTTTTAAGGGAGGGTACACAGATGTCATGACACATTAAGTACCCCTGTGATAACGCCATCATCACCAAAGAAAATAAAGGGGAGATGATTAAGCACTGGAGTGTTTGAAGATGAAGAGCTTGCACTGACTTACGTAAGATGTACTCTGAGCTGTCTGTATCATAGTCGTTATCCTCTGGAAAATGATTGATCCGGAAACAGCTGCCTTTGTTTAAACCTGCGGAAAACCCAAATGCACAGAGGGTGAAAATGTGACCAATAAGTGCATAATCAGTTTATGAAGACAAAAGTGACAACAGTTATCGGAAAATGCTTCGAGGTTTATCATGAGAAATGCTAGCTAAAGAAGGTTTAAAAAACATGGAACGATGCTGATTGGGTGTGTATAATTTCCAACTTGTGGGTGAAATGTTCTGTTCTTCCACTTGTCACATCAGAAACCATTTGAGGACAGGCTTTGGATTTAAAGCTCCTTGGACCTCATGTCCTAAGGCACCTTCAAAAATCCAGTCTCTTCACAGTGAAACTCAACTTTCAAGAGAATAAAACATAGGGAGAATATGAATATTGAAAGGTTAGACTTTGAATTAAAAGTCTGAACCCTTATTTGCCACTGTGTCTATCTTACCGTGTAACTTTCTTTGGAGTGACGTCAGAAACTCAAAACTCATGACAGTATTGAAATTACAGTTTTTGTTTTGTTTATTTCAACAGTTGGGGAGTTGCATGTGCATGCAGTGCATATATGCAATAAGAAATATGCTGGGATAGTAGAGAAAAGACGCAAGTAACTGTTACATTCATGTTGAAGTCTTGGGACATTCATTAGTTTTTAAATTAAGCACTAGTGGTTAAGAAGCTTCCATTTGACCATTTCTGGCCCCCATCGTAATCCCATAAAAGTTGAGACAAACAGAGTTGAATTTGATGGCATTCCCTCCCACAACACTTTAAAGATCGTCAGGCATTAAGATAAGATACCAGACAATGACTTTTAGGTGTTATTATGCTAAACCACATTGAAAAGTGTGTTGAACGTGTGCAGTAACACAGGCTTTGAGTTGAACTTTTCACTTCAGTCTGTGGGGAAGGGCTCTTGGCAGCAGGAAGATCTTTATTGTCCGACTCTAAATTATTGCCATTATAATATCTGCATTGTCTCATTGAAAAAGGCAACATCATCCCAGAAAAGGATATTATCTTAAAGCAGAAATGTATGTGCAGTGTTATGCATCAATGCAATGGAGTAGAAACAAGCTTTGCAAAGGGCACTGAAACAGAATGAAAAGCTGTTTCCAGATGCTGGACACTCCAGATGCCATATCCAGACCTAAAAACATCGTTGCCATTTTTGCCGTGAGGGAGAAGTAACTACTGTCACCAGACACGTTAATAATTAGCCAATCAGAACATTGTGTCTGCGGAAAACTCCAAACAGACTGTGTTTGTCTTCTACCAGAATGTATTTTTATTGACGAATGTGATAAATATATATTTAATTAATCTCGATTCTGAGAGTTAATACTATAATTTATCTATTTGTATTATATTTAATATGATTAATATGATCATCGTGGTTTTTTTATTCCTTACTGATCCAGAAGTCTGGATTATCCTTTTCCTAAATGGTCCAGAGCACAAAGCATCCATTTCTTCCTAAAAGGTCTCAAATATCCAATGCTTTATCCCAAATGCCTTCAACTGAAGAGTCACCATCTCCTCTGAACATAGTTTCTATATGTATATTCATTTATGTTTTTTTTAAACAGTGAAGTTAAACTTTAGAGTAATGTGGGACTTTGTTTTTGGATGGGAAACATTTTTAATCTAATTTTTTAGTCTCCACAAGGCTTTTAACAGTGTCTGCCTGCTACCATTCAGACTCATTTAAGATCACTACTGCAAAAAACTAGACAAAGGATTTCATGGGATATTTCTTTTCTTTTCTTTCTCTTTTTTGGGCGAGGGGGTTACATCATTTTCTGTGAGTGTGGCCAGTTATGAGCTCAGCTGTGGCTTTAAAGATCAAAATCAGTGTGAGTAATGGCTGATTAGGTGCAATCACTGGCTGTTCCTTCTGTGCCCGACTGGCTCCATGCATCATGTGGCCACAAGGCATTTCTGAATAGCTCTATCCGGCAAGGCATACATTCACCAAGTACCGACTGATGCACATACTGTGACACACACTAACTACTTTTAAAGTACGTTTCATTGCCCTCAACACACATTTTCGATGTGTTACTTTTTTCCACATATCCAGTTTATTTTTCTTTCTTTTTGACGTGTGGCAACACTGAGAGAAAATTAAATTGAAGCAGGGATTAAGTGATGAAAAAACCTCAGTCTGTCAAACTCAATCTGTCAGTCACTTTGAACGTTTCTTCTGCATCTGTTTTTGAAGGGTTTACTCAACCTTATTACCATTGTCTCAGTAATCCACCTTCCTCATATGAGCAAGAATAATCTCCTCCTGAAACTTATATCAGTTTCTACCAGAAAATGGATGCTGTGAGCACACTCTTCCAGAAAGCAGAAGACACTGAATCCCAGTCACTTTGCGGCTCATTTGAGGTGCAACTGGCAAATAAATAATTCGGAAACAGTCGTACAGCTGGTTGAATTTGTCCAAAGTTGAATAAAAGCTAACACAGAAGAGTCAAGTTAGACAGAGGGGGCCAGTTCGGAGATAATTGGAATGGTAAAATGAAGGAGCAGGAAGAAAGAGTGAGCTCAGAGGGGGAGGAATCTCCCCAGAGCCCATCTGTCTGGAAGACCGGAGCCCATCTTTTATTACTCAGCATAGCTTCACCATGGCAACCTCCCTCCGGCAACTCAGAATCACATTTCTAGCTTTGCCTCTCAGAGACCGCCTTTGACATCTTCCTAATGCATTCACACATTCAAAAACACACATATCATGTAGCTTTATAATGCCCTCCCACAATAAATAAATAAATAAATAAATTAATTAATTAATTAATAATAATATAATAATAATAAAACATCTTCTGACATCTTCCTTTAATGAAAGTTCAATTGACCACCATGTAAAATACATCATCATTATCATCAGTAAACCCACAGCTTGCTCAGCAAGACAGCTCGAATACAGATGTTTGTTTGGCACATTGAAAAGCCTGATTTCTCTCGCAAGGTTAGCCAACATCTAGTGAAGCTTACCCAATGTTTATGCAGCTCATTTTTCATGACACAACTTGCTGTCCATCCTGCCTACAGGCTATAGAATCACCCACAGAAAAACATTTATTTACTGTGAAAAGATGGCATGAAAGATTCAGCAGGAAGTAAAATAATGGTTCCTGATTTGCGTTTTAAAATGTGATTGCTGTAGGCGCATCTCCAGGTGTGTCATAACAGGTCTACAGCAGCTGGCTAAATTGAGTCGAAACGGTAAAAAGAAGATATGGCGGGGCACTCACTTCTGCTTTATGTGCAACACTCCTCTAATCAAGCCACCAGGGTGCAATGCAAACCATGTTAAGAGATTCATTTCAGCTGGGCTTCAGACTCTTGCCAAGCAAAAGGAGAATCAAAATGTTTTTTTTAGATGAACTGTATTGGAAATCCATACAAAGTTCTTCACACTGAATTAAAAATGAGTAATAATAGTTCAGAGGCATAGTCTCAAACAAGATTTCTCTTTTCTGTAAAACTGAATGTAAAAACAAAAGGAGCATCAGCAGGCTGCACTGGCTGTTTTTCACATCCATAGCAGGCCATTTGCAGCTGGTCTATGTTGACAGCACCAAATTATCTGGGTATTCAGATCACCAAGTTGGTGCATTTGTCAGTGAACGGTAACAAATAATCAGAGGGAAGATTTTAGAAATACTTACAATTGAATATGCCTTAACAAAGAGAGGGTACTTTCATGTCAACCTATTTTTTTGCATGTTCCAAATAAAGAGGATATATATTCAGACGTGTGCAAACATTATCAACCTGTTGTCAAAATGCAAGAACCCCCCCCCCCCCCAAAAAAAACAACCTCCAAAGGTGCCTTTGTCTGGTTACATGAAGTAGAATAGCTTAGGAAAAAAAAATCCCTCCTGAACATATAAGTCAACTTCATGACAGAAGAGTTAGACTGGAAATCTGCAGGGATTCTTACCAAGTCTTTTCTTTTAGGATTGCACATCAAACATTGATTCTTCAATAGAAATCAAAACATTGTAATGTTTAAACAAGGGAAGAACTAACTAAAACTAAATGAAAACTGATTTAGTAAAGGATTTTGTCTGGTCCGTTTGTTTCCATCCCCAATTTATTTATTTATCTATTTTTTGCAAGAAAAAAAGAGAAAAGAACATCTCATTATGCACAGCCCTTAAGCAACATGCAGAAATTTCCTTCCAGCCCCTCATACAAAAACATCTATTTTACCTTGAAACTTACAAATGTAAATTCATGATAGTCTAAGTTAAGAGAAATTTCCTTGCTTCTTATAAACCAGCGTGCGTGGACAATTCTGTACATTGTGTAGGCTACACACACACACACACACACACACACACACGCACACACAGACAGACAAAACCCCAAGGCGTTTCTTCTGAGTTCCCAGATGTTCATTTCACAAGCAAAACATAAAAGGAAGTATCTAACATATTTTTTTCTTAAAGAGGTGGTGGATATGGAGACAAAAAAAAAAAAAGTTTTTTATGCGAATACAAGTTATTATTCACCTTCAATACAGCAGATCCTCCAGAGCCCGGAGTGCGTCAGGTCGCCTCGGACTTTCTTGGCTTGCATCTGGCTCTCGTCGGCTGTGGCATTGGTGGCGTTGCAGATGTAGGCGCGGGAATAGAGCCAGTAGTCTGTGCCGATGGCGATGGTCATGAGACTGAAGGCGACGAAGGCCCCCGCGACGGCCAACAGAGTCTGAACCCCTCGGTCACACCATGCCATGGCGTCTCATCGTTTGGGGACCGCGCACAAGCAGCTTAGGCGCGCGGCCACGAGCGCATGACGCGCCCCGGAGCCTCAAACTGTGTGTTTTATCCTGCTGGATCAGTTTTCCTCTTTCTCTCCCCCCCACCTTAACTTCAATCGGGAGTTTCAGTGCGAGAGAGCTTTTTGTTGGATTCCGTGCCGAAAGGGAAGTGAGTCCTGCTACAGGTGGAATGGGGAAAAGAAGCCCAGGAAAGTCATAATTTAAAAAAAAAACGGTCCAAACATTTGGATCAGCCGCACGCACGGAGGCAGCTTGGTTCTGTTGCGTTTGCTTTTTGGTATCAAAGTGCACGGAAGATGCAACCCCCCCCCCCCCCCCACCCCCACCCCCCCAGACCACACCTTCCACTGCTGTAACCAATTGGAAACGGAAATGATACAGCTGCTTGGACAAACACTTAACCCCACACAGGGATGAGTTGGTTTTATGGAAGGAAAAGCGTGCGGAATGAAATGAAGAAAGAAACGAGTCAGTGTAAATATGCCTTTTTAAAAGATATCTGTAAATCTATGGAGAAATGGAACAAAAAGGGGGAAAGAAAAATACCAGGACCACCAGAAAATAGGTTCGCGTCAATGCCTACTAATGAACTTATGTTTTGCCAGGATAACAGAAAGGAAGGAATTCAAAAGTGTTCATACAGCATGTGTCAGGGTCTGGATGTGTTTTGAGAGAATAGTTTGAAAAATAACCAGAAAACTGTTAACAGAACGCCAGTAAAAGGAAGGAACTCAAACAGTAGCAGAAAGTAAACATTACAATTAGATTGTGATAAAGAGGTTTAGAGAAAAACAAAACATAGGGAAATGAGCTGTATAAAAATAATATACAATTTAAGCAAATTATACAAATTTGTGTTTTGCATGTTGATTTCTTTTGGTGTGGTCCAGTGGAGTGGGCTCACTCCCAGTTTGTGTGAAGCACAGCAACTCAGAAAAAAGGGAAAGAAGAGGTTGAAAGAGGGGAGATCATAGCAGGAGAGTGAACAGAAAAGTACAGTTTCTGACAGTTCCTGTAAATGGAAAATATCAACCTCAAACATGTTTTTGTGATCAGACACTGTGAATTCTTGCAGAGTCTGCTTTGTCCTCTACTTTTAGAAGAAGGGAGAACTCCGTCCTCCAGTAATAAACCATCTCTTAGATTTGTCTAAGTTAAACTGACACTCTAGTACATGATCACACTACTCATAGAAATATATATGACAAACTAGTTGTGCATTTATATATATATGCACAACTCAGCCTGTAAGTAGCAAAATGTAAGCTGTATCAAGTCAGGGACTGTCATCACTTCTCTGCCCTTGTTTCTTCAAATTTTGCGTCTTAGGATTCAGAATATAAATAATAATAATAGGATTTTTTACAATATTGTTAAATGTATTAGTCCCAGAGGGACAATTGTTACATTCTTCTTAATCTCAGCTTTTTATGTCAACTAGTGTTCCTCCAAAGGCTGGTTTTAACACGTGTCTTTATGCTTATTTTTCTTTATAGAATGGCCATGTTTTGTTTTGTTTTTTAAGTTGTCCTGACTTGAAGCAGCAGAAAAGACACAGTCTTATTATTAATTTAATCATCATCATCACTAGATTCCAAAGTTGTTCAACTTCTCTTCCTATCTCCATTCTCCAGCTTCATCATTGTCATTGCTTGACTTGAGAGCGCACTTGTCATTTCATTCTGATAATTGATACCTCCTTTGCTAGAGAGCTTCCATCTTTCTGCATTTATTTTCTTTTTTTTTAAATACGAACATGGCTCTTGAAGCCTTCATAGTTTGTCTCAGCGGCAGCTTTTTCCTCAAAATCTTGAGTCACATTTTCAGCCACAGTCTGGCATATCCAGTAAAACAGATGCTGCCTTCAGCCCGTCTTGACTAACGAGTCCATGTGCCAATGCCTTTATGACATTAAACCAAAGACTCCATGACGGGACTAATTGGTGGTAATTCTAAAGTGATTTTGGCTGATTCAAACCGGTTTTGGCAAAATTGTTGGAAGCTTTCAAAATTTGTTTCTTTTGAGAAGAAAATGAAAGAAAGCAATCACGTTTCCTCAGAAATTTAAAAACTGGCCTTGGATAAAAAAAACATTTTTATTGAAAAGAAGAGAGGGAACATTAAATTCTCAAATGTGCAGAGGAAAATAATTGTATACCAGCTGAAACAGGCAGTGAAGGTTCAATATCAGAAAACATTTGAGAACGTACTGTGAGACCTTTGATATGAACTCTTTATGATTATTGTAAATAAGCATATAATGTAACTGTTCAATCTCTACAGCTATACAATTGTAACATGTATTTTTGCATGTATTCAGAGTTGGAATGCTGATAAAAATGAGAGAATGAGTTCGTAGTCGGCATCAGCGAAGGTAAATGTCACAGTCTGTGACCTTTACATGAGTCACATTGACAGGAGATATAATGTCAATTCCATAATATAAACTCACAGTAATATTTGAAATATGACATCATCTATGACCTCAAATATGATCTCAAAGGGAAGAAATAAGAAGCCAGAAATTAGATACTTTAAATTTCAGTGCAGCATTTCTTACTCTTGGAAAAGCCCACTGATTTAGAAAAGGAAACAGGGAATTATTGGAAAGAAAATGAAAGATTAGACACATACATACAGTATATATCAGTGTTTAATTAAATTCTGCCATTAATTGCTAACAGCAGAAATTTGCAGTTAAAAGAAAACAGACTGACTGGGCCGAATTGCAGATATTTAGCATTGCATGAAAGATAATGACCACATTTCCAAGTGTACTACAGACAGACTTCAGGACAGAAGACAGCGATAAGGACCATATGAGACTGGGCTAAAAGAAAGCAAACAGACTAAGTCCTCAAGCTGACAGAGATTAGCTGTGCTGAGGCAAGCTGCAGTTTACACTTGCAATTTTTTCTTTAGTTTTCTATCTTTTCTTTTTGGAATTTCAAAGGCAAAAGCACCAATAGCTTCGTTTTAGTGGTACTGGTTGTGTAGCCGTTGTTCAAGAGCTGCATTTTTGTAGTTTCAAGTATGTGCTTGTGAAAGAGGTTGCTGGGATCATTGAACTGTGATGGTGTCTGGTTTTCAGTATTTATCAGTATTTCATACGATCTTAGTTTTCGTGATCTTTTCTATGTTGAGGCACATCACAAGCACCCATTCATTAATTAAATATGCCTCATCGCTCTTTGCAACTTGACTACCATGACTCATTATCCCATTCTTCACTTTTTAGCTTGCGTGTGTGAGAGCATCTTCAGCTAGTTGCTTTTTGAATCAGTCATAAAACTAATTTTCTGACCAGATGCCATGTATGCTTACCTGCCTCTAACAGGAACCAGATATTGTCAGATAGTACGTACCCAGAGAGACTGTAGTAACATTTGAAAAGACGTTACCACTCAACCAGTTTTAATTTTTGATAGAACAAAATTTGCTAAAAGGAAGTGAAATCAGTATTTTCAAAAGACAAAATTCGCAATCAGGCTGAGGAAGAGGAAACATAATAATGGTGTTTTTTGTCAGTGTGTGGCAACATATGATTTCAGCTGTCACATCAAATGAAACAAGTCAGAAACAGACTTTTCTATTTCTCACTTTTAGCACGATTTTACGCACAATTTTAGCACACAGCCATGTCAGTGATGTGGCATTCAGGGACTCAGCGTGGACCATCTGTCCACTGAGTGCTGACTTTTCAACATTCCTGGTTGGTTAAATCAGTGACAGCATGCGGTCTGTGCTGTGGGTGGTTAACAGCCTTCTTAAAAAGGAGTGCATGTTTTTGAGCCGATCTTCAAAAGGCTGATTTTCAAGTCCTTAAACCCAAATCAGGATTTAAATGTGGCTGCATCTTATCTGTGATGAAAGGCAATGAATTCCATCTAAATAATTTAGGTAGTCAGAGATTTTATGTCTTGAAAAAAAAGATTTGATCTTGTTTGGAACCAATTTGACAATCTTGTTGGTCTTAAAAGAAGCTCAGACAAGTAATCAATTTGTTTTGTTACATAATAGGGCTTTATTATTCAATATAGGGGTTGAATTAAGTTATTTTTTCATTTTTGTATACCTGAAAGAAAGGGATGAAAATACATGAAACTGCATTAACAGTTAATTTTTTGATAACCTGTAGTCCATGTCACTGATGCAATATTTAAAAGCTTTTCACAGCTCTGTTGTCATTTGAACTGTTTTTACCAAGAAAACAGGACCTGAAGAAAATGAAATCATAGAAATGAGAGAGGGTGGCAATCACGAGAAAAAGGTATTTTGTGTTGTTACAAAAGTCCCACAAGATGGAGCTGTTGTAAAGGAGCACAACAGCTAATCACTGACTAAGAGTTAAAGCATATGATCTCTCAGAAGAATGAATGCCCACTCAGACACTTCAAACCCACGGCTTAATCTAATGAGACCTAGCAGAATCATTGTAAAGGAAGAGACAATGTTTGCTCAGAGAAATTGGCCAATAACTCCAATATCCTTATTTTCATGCCCTTGTTTAACTTTTTTGCTTTTCTTTTAACTCTTTGTCAGTAGGGGGTGATGTTTTCCATGTTTTAAGTAAAATAATAAATAATCTTATTGAAACATTCTCAACTCAGGTTTAGTTATTTATTTGATTTTATTTGGATTTTTTTAAATCTTTTTTTTATTTATTTACATATTCATTTATTTTTTTGTTTTTACTCTCTCCTACTCACCAGAAAAATAAAGAGCACAACAGCTGCTTATTCCTGACCGGAACTGGGCAGGTGATATGCAAACACTTTTGATGACGATCGCATTATGTGAAGGAAGAAAAGCACAGACTACAGACAAATATGGCACTTCACCTGGTTTAGTGTCTTCTGTGTGTGGAGAAAGGCTCCCGTAAATTTTCCTCTTAGTGACATGACTCCAAAAAGTATTTCAATTTAGGCCTTGTAACTATACTTGTAACTATCAAAGCTTAATTTGACCTTTTTTGAAGACAATATCATATAATGAAATATACGTTAAATTTAATATCTGCCTTCAAGAAGTAATTCATGTAGCGTTCTGTTATGGTAAATTTATATCTATGTTTGCTTCCTCTACTGTTTATATCTTTGCAACTGGTACTATTTTTGCACACATCAATTACTGTAACAGCCACTGGATTCCCATCATCCCCCTTAAGATGAATAAAGTATCTAAATGATTGATTATCTGACCCATGCACAGTGATTATGACAATCCAACTCTACAAGTAGAGAGAAGTAAGTATCAAAGACACAAGCCCAGTGTTTATCAAATCTCATTAATTTTATTTCATAGTATACACCATCCATTGCACATTTAACATCATGAATATGACTGTAAAAATACACATATAGTATTTCGATTTAGTTTCGTGTCTGACTATGATACCATGCACTTTACATATAATAAAGCATAAGATTATTCAAAAGCTCTCACTCTCACTGTGAAGCAGGAGACAAAGAAGCTGTGAAATATTCTACAGAATGATCAACACAACAACAAAACAGCCACAGTTTTAGTTTTTTTATATGCACTGCTGTTTATACAAAAATCGGTCTATGTACATAACGATGAGATCGTATTTACAGTTTTCAAATGTACAAAATGTTTAAATGTCAACATACCAAAACAACAATTGAGAGTAAGTTTAAGTTGGCAAAACTTTGTATTATTACTTGTCTGTGTCAGTTGATCTAGTGATGAAACCTTATATATTGTCAATATAATGTGGAGTTCACATCATGCAATATCATATAAAAACGATACTTATGATTTTAGAAAAAGATCAAAGTAACATAAAATGATTGCACAAGACACAAAGTATCTGTATAATATGTTTAATCACACTCAATGCTGCATGAAATGTATCTATTCAATTATTTGCCTCTTAACCTAGGCACAACTCCTGCCTTGGCACTCAAAAGAACTTGATTGATTTTATGTTAAATATTAAGAATACACTTTCATTATGTGGGAGTAAATTACAAAAATATCCATCTGTAATTTAGGTTTATTCTGTATATCTCAATAGAAGAGGTACTTTAGGCAGAAAATCTCATTTTGCATTGCTACCGTGACACAATCTTACATTCACAATTACTCCATATGAAAACAAAGTTTCATACCAACTGACTCACTGACATTCCACATTAAACAAAAGTACCAAAACTTCATCTTCTCTCATTTGGCTCTCGTATCATATCTAAACTATAACTCTAGTTTAACACCAATTTAAAAAAGTATTCTTTGTCTACTGCTTGTTTTCTTTTAATATGTTGCTTTGCTTTTCCATTGACTGTTTTGCTAATCTACATCTGTCTTGCGTTGTAACTACTAATTAGTTATGAGTGCATATGAAGCACAGTGTTTTTTTTTGCTTGACAACAATGTACAACAAGAGGCTCAATGATAATGTTAAATCACAAAGAAATTCACATATGGGCCTTTACATTAAACTGTATCTCATATGAATGGATTAGTTACAGCTTTTGAATAAAAACTTCTGGCTTCAATACTTGAAATCAAATGGACTTAAATCACATTTAGAGATTTTTTTGGAAACACAATGCGTTCACATTAAGTACAAATCTGTTTTTAGTGAACTCTCAGTCTTTCAAACTATCAGTTTTTTAAATGATTCAAAATGGTTTGTCATTTACGATTACAGATTTCTTATTTTCAGTTTCTGACATATGCATCCTTTATACCTTTCTTAGTTTTTGCACTGTACTGAAAAGATAATCACACCTGGACACCAGTAGAACAGCTATGGCTTCAGATCTCCGTGCAACCTTCTCCAAAACAATCAGATAAAGGGAAAACAATTTTTTTAATAACTGAGCCCCAGGAATAATTATTTGACAGGTGTACCATAGGTGATTTCCTACATTAACTGCTGCTCTCTAAACAGATATTCCTATTCTAATGTTTGGTTGCAAACCAATAAGGTCAGCATCTCTTTTTTACACTTACCCGCCCAGTACTAACCCAAAAAATACTGCTCATTGATAACCATCTCGAAACCACTAAAAAGAATGGCAAAAGCAGATCAAAGTTCAGTCTAGCCAAATTATTTTCTGTCTAATGTTGAAACTGATTTGCCTGAAAAAAACTCTAGGAACAAACTGGCTAACCTTTAACTAATATTGTATTTACAGAACCAAAAACTGTTAATAAAGGTCAGCTCTGGAGAGGAGAAGTAAATCAAGTCATTTTCAAAGGACTTGAAGTGAACTCTTCAAGCTGGATAATGTGAAATTACTGGACAAATATATGCCAAAATCCAGACAGATCAAATGATGCCCAAAGTGCTAACACTGTGCCAGCACTCCCCCTCAGCAGGGTGAGGAGGACATTTGTTCATACTCAGGACACTTGAGAAGGGCTGGGTAGTTGGAGGAGTTCATCTGGAGGGAGGCCTCGGAGGAGATGGAGGAGGGACTGCGACCACGTCCAGCCCAGGCGTCCGGATGAAGGAACTGGCCGGAGTAATCTGAACAGTTGCTGAGGCGGGGCCGGTAGAATCCCTGGTGGGGTCTGTACATTTCCTCTGCCGTGTAGCGCTTCATGAAAAGGTACACTGACATGACACCAGCCGTCTGGGCAGGGGAGGGAATAATTGGAAAGTGAAGGTTTAGCATTCTAATTTCTTACCACTGAGCGGACATGATCTCTCACTGTCTTACACTTTGAGGTTTAACATATTATGATTTTATAGAAACTTAAACCGAACCACATATTATACTTTGTAACTATTTATTCAGAATACACAATATGTACCAAAAACCTTTTTAAAAATCCAGATCAAATGTTTAAAAGACATGTGCACCTAATGACTCAATATCTTATAATGGTGACTGTAGTTTACCTGAATATGCCGGTCTGTCAAATTGTTGTTGAGCCTACTTCTCTTTTTAACAGTTGCATGTCCAGCCCTCGCTACAAAATTAGGTCCTTGACTGGGTCCTTGAAATGCCTTCATTTCTTCGCTTTTCAGTCGTTATTTTTTAAATTTTCTGATGTGTTTGGACTTATTGCTCTGAATCACGACCTGATTTTGGACAGGCTTTAGCTATTTTGGGGGTATCTCCGGGCAACCCTTCCTTAACAAGCCATTTTTGTTTGGTTTCTTTTTTTGTTTGTACAGACTAACTGAAGCCTGTAGAGTTTGAGGTGTAGTTTTTTTTTCTTGCAGTTTTTGCCTTTGGGGTGAAACAGCTGGGAGGGCCATTCTAGGGAAGATGGACAACTGTCTTGAATGATTTCCACTTGTTAATGATCTTTCTCTCTGTGAAATGATGGACACCAAATTGTTTGGAAATGACCTGATAACCCTACCTAAAGTGATGGACAATAATTGTTTCTCTGAAATCATTGCCATGTCTTTCCTCATTGGTGTTGCCTTTATACCAGAAAAATGTCCAAACCCCTGTTTTTATAGAGCTGCTCACACCTGCTGACCAAAACTTTTCCTCAGAATTCCCATTGACTTAGTAAAAAAGGACTTGCATTTTTGCTAGGACTTGACAATGACAAATCACTTTTAAAGACAAACAGCATAACTATATTTTTTATTCTGAATGTCCGTGCGCACAATGCATCTTTTATCCTAAACCAAATAAACAAATCAATAATAACTAACTTGACAAAAGCACATTAAAAGAGAATCTGATGTATAATTTTTTAATGTGAAGTGCACTGAAATGATTTGTATTCCTCAACATTGAAATATTGTTTCCTGGAAAGTCTCTCTTACAACAGAAAACATATTTATCATAGGCTGTGTAAGATATGAATACAGGCTGTCCGTGAAACACTTAAACTCCTACAGATTAAATGTAAGAAAAAAAGGCAGTATCACAGACAATAAATAGACAAAGACACATTGTAAGGAAAATGTGTCAAGTCTGGATACATAATATAGTCTTCATTTTTATAGAAAAACCAGAGCAAAAACAGATGCACAAGGTGTCTTATGGTATAAAATTTATAAAACATAGCAAAGAGGAGTACCTCGGTGAGCAGGAAAGAGATGGCAGCAAAGGCAAACGACCAGCCATACTTGTAGCTGAAGTAGGCCTCATTACTTTTGGTCCTGTTCAGCATTTCATCATTAATGTTAGAGATGTATAACACCAAACCAACAACCAGAGAGAGACCTGTGGAGACCAGGAGTCGAGACAGACAGACAGAAATGAATAAATGTGACTGCATAAAGACAAGAGTGATCACTGTGTCACATATCGATGCACACTCTTATTATGAATATTTACATTACATTTACTTATACCCTGAAGAGATATATCAAATAGTCTTTGGAAATGTTTGGGCACTAATTATGTACCTGAAAGGATGAAGAAGATTCCAGAAACAAAGGCCAGGATGGTGCGATGTGGGCGAATATGGCCGATGTTACTGAGTACAAAACCAATGAACATGAAGAAGAGGCTGACCAGAGGAAAGGGTGTAGCAGAGCGAATCATTTCTAAAAGCAGAGGACATAAAGAGGAAGTGAGTAACATTAGAACTGAAATGTTTCCATTTTCATTTTTTAAATTTCTTTTGTTCAGATTTCCAGTTTTTCTTCAGCCAATCAGCAGCAGTTACTGAGTTCCAAAAATGGGTTCCGACAGCCTTTAGAGACATCTGTGTGACTTATTTATGCATTGTTTTCAGTGTTTTTTTCTGTCTTCCTCACACTTTATCACACCTTTCACATCAATGGCTATTTGTAGACTGCAGCCTAGGGAAATTAGATAAAAGGTGGCTCCTTCAAAATGTCTCCCTGCTTCTCTGTGAAATGCATGTACATGTGTGTTTCTGTGGATGTTCCCCTGGTGGGAGGTGTTTGAAAAATGAAAATGGCCCCCTTGAATTTTGCATACACACATTGTTTTCTGCTGGACCAGAAACAGCACAAAGCACATTAGAGATAATAGTGTGGGCGTTGAAGCATCACCTGAAGTCAAATGACTTCTGTTTCTGGTTTATGTAGGTTATCCCTTTGGAATTCACAAAAGATTAACACTGTATTGCAATCTTTGTCAACATAAACCATGGCTTTGCCCTATGAAGAGCAACAAAACACACTTCTACAAACTACCCAAAATGAAGTTTTGTTAATAATGTCTGAGTTCCTTTATTCTTTTATGTATCACCCCCCCGTGTGAATGTGACCGATAGTGTGGGTGGTCAACTCTCGGCTCCTGCATTGCCACAGGCTTTGTACATCTTCAAGTTTGTTCAGTGGACAGAATTTGGCAGAAATTCAAAGACACTGAATGCCTGCATTTTTTGCTATGGGATTTTCTTTACCTCATTGTAAAACTGTTGAAAAAAACAAACTGATACTTCACAGCTATTTAAAAGACCATAAGAGCCATAATCGGACAATATTTCTCACTGACCTCATTTAAAATGGAAATGTTTAGAACTTGGCACACAAACCTGTTGAGAGCAGTTACTTACTGAGTACACTAACAGTAGATTCAGAGGTCATCTGTACGTTTGTGGGCATCACATACTCAATGGTAAAACACCTTCCTTTCTCTTCCCCTGTACCAAAAGACACAGAATAAAATCTAATAAAGTTTTCATGGAAACTATTACCGTGGAAGTAAACAATTAATAAAATTGTGCGATAAATACCTGCAAACAGAAAACAAATTTTACTGAGTTTGTGATGTCGTCACTTTACGAGGCTACAGAATCTGACTTAAAACAAACTCCGATTTACATTTGTTTTGACATAATGCCATATCTATATGTGCATTTGTTTGAGGAACACCCAGATTTTGACACCATTCATTTGACACCATAAAGCCTGGCACAAAGTTAGACAAAATGTTGTCTTTATTAGCACTTCATTAACCACACACACTGGGAGGTGTTGGTGAGGTGATGATATGTGCCTCAGCAAGTACAATTAGTCTTCACAGTACCATTGTACAAAGTACAATTTATGAGGAAAAGCTAATACTCGTGAGTCTTGCCGATCAGTCATCATTAATGAGCTAATTATGACCCTAATATGACAGTGTCAACATTAAACACATTTGAATGTATGAGCCTGATAGGGCTCAGCCACAGGTCAAAATTAAAGGGACAAAAGGCAAAAAAAAAGAAGAAAAAACCTCCTGGGAGTACAACATTAAGCCTATATTTGTTTGTCGACCAATGCCCATCTATTTGTGTTTGGATTTAGAGAATTAAGAAGGCGTTCTCTTGAAATGACAAAAATAGCTGAGCAGGCATTTTTACAGAAGAACCGACAAGTGAAACAGCAACATCAGCAAGGACACCTGCTTTCTCAAGTTAGCTCCCGGTGTTATATGGATCAGGACTTGCAGGCATAGATAAGGGTGTGCTGTACTGGAATGCACTGAAGTGAAAGCCACTAGACCTTGAAATAATGCATGTATAAGACCGACCAATGATGAGCTATACATGCATCTGATGTCCAACCAGATATGAATGTGGCATGTATGAAATGTTCAACATTAGAATTTGTACACACAGTCAGATTAAAAAAAGGAAAATTATGATTGTTATTGTTGTAAAGAATGTAGAACATATTATCACTATTAATATCACTATTAAAATATGAACAGATGCTTTAAATTGGTGCTTGCGTTTGTTGGCAACCAACAAATGGTCATTTCATGTATGTCCCACATAGCTGAGAATGTCTCCAACCATTTTAAATGTTTTTTTCTTATTTGTTCTATATGAATTCAGCCGTGAGGTGTCTGCTACTATACAAGACTAGTTTATCAATGAACACACTGTATCTAATTTGACTGCATCAGAGGGAAAAAAATCTCCATACCACACACAATGGGAAATACTGTTATTGAGGATCACCTAAAAATAATACACATATTAATTCAACACAAAATATGTAGCGTATAATAAACTGGGTAAAACATGGAGCAAATGCACACATCACATTGTTCGACCCAAGAAAAATAATTAGATTGTAAACAGGACTGTTTTGGGACAAACCATGTTAACCAGAATAGGTAAGTGAGCAATAAGGCCACTCAATTGACCGTAAAAGACACTGAACCATTGGCTAATGTGTGGCCTGTTTCCCACAATGGCCTGCTACATGGCAGGAAAACATCTGTTACCTAATCACAGCTGAAATGACGTGCCTTGTGCTTAACTTGCCTCAGTGATTAACCCTGCAACGGACAACAGAAGGACAATTATAGTGCATGGGTTAATGGAACAATCCAATAGGATCAGTATGGACCATCACAGTCCTCCTCTGACAGTTAAAAATACCCCCCAAAACTCACGTGTCCCTCAGAACTTCACATTTAGAAGTTTTTGCTTGAAAAGAAAATCAAAATGTGATTAACAACACCATCATATGTTTACAGCTTTAAATTCAGCACCGTTTGGTCATTTTTGAAGGGTGTTGAAATGAAAGTTGGGCTGTGGAATGGATCACCGCTTCTCCGCCAGGACAGGCTGCCTTTTCTGAGATGAAAAATGTTTACAGTTTATCAACTGGAATATATTATTTAATATTTTCAGCTTACTGGAAGATGATTTATGCTGGAGCTGTTCAGAAAAATGGCCCAATTCAGTCACAAAAACCAAACAAATATTAAGCAGGATGGTGGAAGGTTGCTGATTTGACCAGATAATCTGAGAGTCCCTGAGTCAGCCACCATCCTCTGTTTACCAAATTCTTATTGAGTTCAACGTAAAGCAGTCAGTCAAAATGAATTTCACTTTGTGTCCTCCACACATTCCCTGTGACAAAAGTGTGACGGTGATCGCACTGTCCCAGTCTGTCCTTAAGGAAAAGGCTGTAATTGAATATTCATGTAGAAAAGAATTAACAAATTAAACAGGATTCCTCCAGGATGTAATTTGGTTAAACAATCCTTAAATACCTTTCTATCAGTTTTGTGCTTGTGATAAAGGGTAAACAAGAACAAAAGCGATGACAAAAACTAACAAACATTCAAATTAAAGACAATAAACTTTTAAATTCTAAAAGATGTTAAAAGAAGTTGTTCAAACCAGAACATTACTGAACAGTATTACACTTAGCTGTTCCTACAATCATGATAAGTGGGAATGTAGTAACGAAAGTTGATACCTGGTTTACTCTGGGACACTCGGGAGGTTTTTTTCTCTAAGGAAAGATTAAAAACTAAGTTAGATTTTTTTCACAAATAAAGTCAAAGACCACGAACATGCCTTTGTGATGCTGGAACTGGGGAGGAAAACCATTTTTGAACAATCAAAAGGTGTTAGAGCATGCCATGTGGATTTGTGTGGATTTGTGCCACGTTCATTTTTAGAGCGCAACTACGGAAAACCAAAATGCAAAGGAATGAGTAAAGGATTTTCTACATCTATCTAAAGTGTTGGTTTATACATTGTTATGAGGATAGAGGTATTGGTCAGCCATTGATCAGCTGGAATAAAGCCAACTGATCATTTTTAATAGGAACAGAAGACATCCCAAGTACAGTTTGGAAACCATCCAGGTGAGGGAAGTAAACATGGTAGTTATTAGTCCAAGAACTTCCTAAATGGGAGGGCAAAGTTTAAAGATTCATGCGCAAGTATTCAAACATGACATACAAACTAGTGTTCTACAGAAGCCAAGCGGAAAAAAGAAGGTAAGCTTTAAGGAAAGGAAAAAAAGCGATAGAACACAAATTAAACACATTTCATTGTGTTAATACAATACAAATTTTCTATTCAATGAAATGAAATATTTAATGAAATGAACTATGCAAAAAAGTTTGCTCATCTTTATGGATGGTGTACCACACCTGTTAAGTGTATGATCCTGAATTGGATGAAGTGGGTATGGAAAATTGATGGATAATGTATCAGGCTTATGTAACTCAAAAGTGTCTTTGAAAAATGATGCTTTTTCCAGATTTGGAAACTGACAATTTTAAAGGCACTAATTTATCCATACGATGTGGAAATAAGAGACTTCGGACAGAGGACTGTTAATAGTTTGTATGGTCTTGTTATACTTCAGTCAAGACGATACGGAATTCAAGACTTACAAAATCTTGTTTTGAATTATGATTTGCTTAATCCAAGAGCATTTTTAACATTGCATCCGTCGATTTTAAATTGAGGCAGAGAAGAAGACAGCATTTCCGGATAATGCTCACATAAGGACTTTCTGCATCAGTTTCAACATATTCCTCCTGCTGTTTCTTCACAGTAAAAAATATCCTTTCAAGCCATTACTGAAATTTGTTACAGCCATCACATTCAATAATTTTCAGAATTCATCCCACTCTTCATAGTTGATGTTTGATGTGTTTTAATGGGAATTTCATTGCATTGTGTTGCTATTAATCTCTTACACAAAAATCTGTCACTTTGCATTATGTTGTGTTTAGTAACTTACCAGCTAAGAAACAAACCCTCCAGAGCCCGGAGTGGAGGGACATGCGCATCTCTGTGCTTTGATTGAGAGGGAGAATGACTCCCTCCTCCAGGTAGAGCCAGTAGTCGGTGCTCACAGCGATCCCCAGCAGGCCCAGGCCACACACAGCAAAAACGCTGCTCAGCAACGTCAGTGCCTTCCTGCCACATAGGCTCATGCCACAGCCTCAACTGCAGGGGGGGGGGCACTGCTGGCAGAAAAGAGAGCTGGGAGAAAAGATAGATAAACAAAGCAATCGTGAGACAAAATGACAAAAACAAAAAATGAGGAAAAAATTAATCAAATTAAAATATATTTTCTAACTTCTGATGTAATTATTCTGCTCGTCTGCCTAAAATATAGAAATGTCTTTATGTCTTCTAAAGGAAAGTTACAATAATATAGGTAATTTGCATGTAAAGACATTTATTCCAATAAAAAATATAGTTATTACTTGGGGAATAGAGGGTCAAGCAAGACACAGTGATTTTTTATGGAGAATAACAACAAAAAGCATTCTGTTTCACTGATCAGGAGAGATCATTTATATTAGAAAACAGAAAATATATATTTTGAAGACAGGGTTATTGGTGTTGGCTCAAAGATGTTTTCACTTGACTGCATGCTTTCTTAAACAATGTAATATGAAATACTCCAATGATAAAACCCACAAGCAAATTATTATAGCTGAGTTTGTTTAATTATTTTTTCCTCAAATAATGTGAAACATGTCCTGATACTTGCAGCACACTATTGATGTAAAAGCAGGATTATAGATTATTATATGTGGTGTCAACTGTATGTCATCATATTAATGTGAACCACACAAAACAGTGGATTGGTTGGTAACTGAAGCCCTGAGAGCCTGGCATCATGCTGAAAAGAACTGGTTTTGCATAATCAGTTCTCAGTATGCTGTTACACTGAGCATGCACAATGAAACTGTTAAGATGGAGGAAATTCATGAAAGGATTTTGAACTTGGCATTTGACATCTGGCTCTCCATGGACTCTCAACTTTTTTTATAGTGCCTGAACAAAAAGCCTGTGCAGTATAAATCATTGACATCTTCACAGCACTGCCAGCTTGAAGTGCAGAGCCAGGTTTTGATGCTAATCTTTCACCTACATTATATGCTTACAACTGAGAGGGGGAATAAAGAAGACACTGGGTATTGCAGATATCATAACAGTTTAACTCATTCACTCGGCAGCAAAGCTTTTATAAGATAAACCAAAATGTTATGCAATAGCAATGCAGGCTCATATCTGATTGTGTTGGATTTCAGCATCTTCAAATGTGCTCACAACCCTATTCATGCTACCATCAGGTCAGCTGTTAAAAAATAAAATCAAATAATTATTAGACAGATTTTTTAGATGCCAAAATTACATATAATCCCAAAATTTAACTAGGTTTTGCTCAAACAACATCAAACTGTTGTGTATGCTAAAAAAGGACAGTTTTAGATTTTGTAGTGTTTAAAGGCTCACTATTATGTATCCTGTTTTTCTTGAATAGAAATCCAACATTACATGTCAATTTATTATTATAAATCATCTTCACATAGGTTGATTGGACATTCCAAATTGGCCATAGGAGTGAGTGTGAGTGTGCGTGGTTGTTCATCCTTGTGTGTCTCTGTGTGGCCCTGCGATGGACTGGCAGAGCGTCCAGGCTGTACCCCGCCTCTCGCCCATTGACCACTGGGATAGGCTCCAGTCCACCCCGCGACCCCATTAGGGAATAAGTGGTAGCAAAAGTGGATGGATGGATGGATCTTCACACCACAAACTGAGCTCAAGCCCTATCTGACCCCAAATTGTCAAAGCACAACTACTGTCAGTTGGAGTAGGTAAGTGTTATTTAGAGCGAAAGTGAAAGGTTAAGGCTACACATTATGCTTATATAGTTAAACACGTGTGTTGAAGTAATGTATTAATTCTGACCTATACAAAACAGCTAGCCATGCAAATGCTACAATTTCACAATGTGAGTGTGCCTTTACTGTGGCTCTCCTGGCATATTGCATATTTCATTGTTAGAGTGTTGCCTTCAATATCATCCATAAATCAATAAAAACCATGCCATGAACTCATAACAGACAACTAGTTTGATTATTTTTTCCATTGAGTATAAAACCAGTCTGATTTTTTGCTTTCAACATCAGGAGCTAAAGAGAAAGCATATTGAATCTTGTTAATCTGATTATGATGACACAATTTAGTCGCAATAACAAAAATCCCTGTGATGTATTTTTATGAAAAAGAAGAACACAAAGTAAAATTCTTGTGATTTCAAACTATGGACCTCAAGTCTACATATAATGGTGACTGAATAGTAGGGATGTGTTCTTAAGCAATCAGCCTTTACAGAAGCAGAGAAAAGCAGTATTAATGTGAAGTGATTATTAGCATGTGGCTGCTGTTCTTGGCCATGTGCAATCAGTGGCTATTCATGAAATTTGTAAATGTGAGGGCTGTGTTTTCATGCATTGGAAGACACAACTATATGGATGCTTTCCACTCAGTAGACCTTCCCTTTGGCAATACTTGGATATAAAAACAGCACAAATCAAACACACTGAAGCGGTGTTTGCAGCTAAATGCATACATACAACTAGACTGTAAGGCTGTGGGAATCAAACTTGTGTGATTCAAATAGTTAGAAACAAATTAATAGCCCAAGTCAGAAGTTTAGCTGTTACATGCATGTGTCATCACAGTTAGTTAAAGTTCATCCTTAGACCTGTACTTAATAATAATGACTCATTTTAATGACTCATTTGAACTTTTTTGCACCAGTTATTGTTTTCAGAATGGTCAGAACTTAGCGTGATTCCTCTAAGCTTTACATATCTTAGTACGGTGATTCTTGATTGGAAGGTACTTAATGCAACAACAGTAAAAAATGAGTTGTTGCATTTCATAAACCAGGAAGAAGGGAACAGTTTTTTCTGAGGGAGCGCACCAGACATCAGAGAAAGGCACACATGGCATCCTCATATTCAATCCCTTACAAAGGCTGAAATTTTCACCCATTGATCTTCCCTCTGAAGGACTGTAAATAGTGACTGATCTCAGCAGAGAAAGAAAGGCTGTTATCTTTTTTCTAAACATTGCTCATTAAATGTTCAAAGCCACTGGGGACTGAAGCTTGTGAAAATAGTCTCTCTGTGCCTGCATATCCCACACAAAATGCCATCTGTGAAGAATAAACATCAGTGTTTTCCTTGAAAATGTATTTGGAGTTGAGTTTAGTTTTGCAGCGTGAAAATGATGACAAAGTCTAGGAATCTTTGAAGCACCTACTGGTTCGCCTAAAGATAAAGTCTTGTGCTGAAATGAACTATGACATTTTAGAATATTAGGTCAAGTTCAATTTACAGTGATGTCCAGTTTTCTGTCAAACTATGAATATCATGTTTTCTACTGCTAACATGAGGCTACTAGGACATCAGAGACCATGCTGGTGTCAAGTCAGGCAGATGTACACTGTTGCCCGAGTAAAGGGCACGTCAGCGTCAAAAGTAGGGCAATTCTTTTCTTGTTTACTTAATGCATTCAGCCTCCTGTCAACCTAAATCTAAAGAGTTCCTCACAAAAGATAACACTTTTCCAGCAACAGGCAGTTAGCACAACAGAACACATTACCATGACACTTTACCTTCTTAAAATATTATTGAATATAAATATTCTGAAATGCAGAGAATCAGTTACTGTGTTTAGGACATCATATTGAAGTTTAGTATCTTTTCTTCGACAAAGTACAGTTTTTTCAAAGCTGAATATCCGCACAAACAATCTACAGGATAAGAGTTCCTTCTTTAAAAGAGCTGTACACATGAAGAAAGCCATATGTTGATTGGGGTAAATGTTTAAAGCCGTATATGTTTAAAAACTAAATGCTAAATATGGCAGACACCTCCAGTCTAAATAATGAAATCTCACCACAATAAACAGACCCCATAATTTAAATCAGTGTATTTATCCGTGTCCGTCACAGCACGGATCTCTTTGGGCATGCTTATTGACCCAGTTATTGTGGCAGTAAGAGCGTGGCTGTGAGTGCAGTCCCTCTGTTTCCTCCACCGTGGACAGGCAGCTCACACTGAGCGCGTTTGGGTGATGTTGCTGGCTGGAGAACCCTGAGGACAGAAGCAGTCTCTAATGCAGGAGAGAGAGGATATGTCATCAAGCCCCAGACACAGCTGGTTGAGGCTGGCAGCGGCCACTAATGGGCAGCTGAGGTCTGCCTTAACAGTCGTGCTACGCATGGAAAATGTATCTGTAACACTAATACACAAACAACAAGGACACGCAATCAAACCCTGAAATGTGCATGAGGTGAACTAATCATGCTGACCTACATTGTTAGTGGTGGAAAGATAAAATAAACACGTGATTACCATTATCACATAACACAACAGAAAATGGGACATAAATATGAAAGTATGTGAGTTTTGTAGTTGTATAATCATTTATGTTTTTGTCAGCCAGATTAGTCATTGTCAGGATATGGTTGCTAAGCCTGTTTCTTCATGGGTGAGATTAAATTGTATCCATAATTCTTTGAACTAAGGTGATTAGAGTGTCACAAAGCTATGTATATTTAGATTTCCACCATCCCTTCCAAACTTTTTCTTGTTTTGTGCTATGGGACAGTGAAATGATCTCAGGTTGTCCAAGCTTTTCTTGGTTAGCTAATGACTTATAGCATTCTGTTTTGGTCTAAACAAGCCCCATATCTTCTTGCAAGAGTTGAATTAACTCCATTTATTGTTTTTTATTTTCCATCTTTTTTTTATTTATAGATTTAACAAAAAAAAAGTGAGCCTGGAAAAGAATGTCACGACAATGTCAAAGTCAGCTATTATGAAGAATATTTGCTTACTGAGGCTACTGCTGACATAAGCTTTTTTGTCATTCATTTTTCTTCTGACATATAGATATGTATTTATTCTAAAAAATTCAATAAATAACAAAAATCATATAATCTTCTCTTTCAGTGCCATTTAAGTGATGATGCATGGCAGTATTGTTGGTGTATGTTTAAGATTTAGACAGTCAAAGGGTATTTTTGTGCATTTTTTATTTTCTAGTGATTCGTTTGACCTTTGTCCTTTTTCACGAGAGCTCTTCATCTCTGTGTCGAAACGATCTTCACATGTCACATTTGCACTTTCACATTTCAAAAGCCGCAATCATTTCTCCATGGTCTAATTTGAGAGATGCCTTAGCTGTCCCTTCAGGACATATCTCCCCCAAAATGAAAGAGCGCACTCTGTAGTTGAGACCAAAGCCGAGCTGTAAGCGTCCAGCTCACAGCGCCTCATCCGGCAGGAGCAGAGAGGCTGCAGTCATGGTGTGAGTTCAAGCCATCAAGATGAAGAATGAATTGAAATTCATTTAGGTTACTATTTTTCACATTTTCTCCTTAATATTCAGGGTACAAAGAAAGTGTATCCAATTTATGATGTCACTACACATTTATGATCAAAACGCTGAGCTAGCCAATTAAATAGGTTTTCACTCCCCCCACCCTAAAGACTCTGGGGTAGATAGCAGCAAAACACAGTGCATATCTTTTTTCAATGCCAGATCATCTTAATTGAATGCGACAAGAAACCCATGTTTTACATGTTATTCCAAAGGCAGTTCTCTTAGTCTTTCAGCAAATATTTTTGACTTTGACCTGTCATTCTTGGGGCACATTTTCTCTCATAAAGTGTCATGACCACAGTATTCTGAGCTCTCATTTCTAGCTCTTGTTTAATATTTGCTGCATAACTCGAGAAAGAATGCACTGAAATGCTACTGTAAAAATGAAGAAAGCCGTGCTGAAAATGTTGCATACAATGATAATCATCTCTAACTGCTTCATTTCATGCGGAGAAATTTACAGCAAACAACAGACAAGTCATTTAAATTCAAAAAGCAAATCAATAACACAGCAGTCATCTCTAAAAGGGGGCGAGACTCCATTGACTTTGGCATATAAAAACTGCGACCCACAGCAATAGCACTGACATCCATTTTCCAGTGTTTGTTGTGAGAACAAGTCTGCCATTTAAAAGAGACTGACTTGGCCCCCGTCACCAGGCAACGCATTACAGAGAAGCCTCCAAATTAGTTAAGCATGAACGGACAGATGAGCGATTCCCAAAACAAGGCTTTCCATTTGGCAGTCCACTTGACATGCCAGAGATGGGAAAGAAGAAAAACAGGACAAAGACATTTAGACACAAAATTTTCATAGATATTTATCAATATAGAAGTAAACAAGACCTGTTACAATCAGTCACATGGGCACACGCAAACACAGAAAAATGTCTGGAGTTCAGACAGTAACCAATTTACTATTTTTCAACAATACTAGGAGACTTTGGTCACTTTAGACATATAGCTGCATTGTTGTTTGACATTTTTTAATATTCAATGATTTAATGTGACTTTAAATACAAAACTGTCTTTGTAAATCCCAACACAATAAGTTAGCAATCTAAAATTAAACTTAGAAGTAAAAACTGAGCTAATCTCCGCTCTGGTCATCAAATAGCAACACCTTTGACCTTTGTTAGGAAATTACCATCAGGAAACTCTTTGAAGGGAGGAGACATCCATCAAAAGGAACAAAATGACTCTTGGTAGGATAAGGTTGGATAATACAAAGGAAAAAGACAGTTTTGGTAAGCCATACTCCATGACCTCACAGACAAAATAACTGAACGTTAGTCTTTTGCTATCTTTTAGGAAAAATGAATGTGCTTATCACTCAATTTATACAATAAATCACTATTGACTACTATTTTCTTTTAATAAAAAATTACCATCAAGTGAACACCAACCAGCGTTCTCATACTAGTAATAAACCAGTGATAATACTAATTAACTTTTCAATAATAGTAGAGCCTGCATTACACTTTACAATATAGCTTTTAGTTAATAGCAACAACTGATAGTCACATATCAATATTCACCCAATGTTTACTTGTCAGCAGGGGTGACAACACTGTCATGGTGAAGTTAACACGACACTTATTGGAGGTTAAAGGGAGGCAAACTGTCTATTAATTGACAGGCAAAATAGTAAACACTGTAACAACCTTTGAGGCTCAGTCTGCAGCGTTGCAAATCGTTGGCTTGTTATGACAATCCCATAGGACCGCACAAAGACTTTAATAGTAGAGATGATCAGTAGAGAATTTTTCTGCCAGTCAGATGTCGAAGGTGTTATTCTAATCATGATCATTATACAACAAACTTGAAAGCACTATTTTAATGAGGGCATTGGTTAGAAGCGGTACAGAAAAAAAAATGACACAGTTTAAGTTGACTGGTGACTAGTTCCAACACCTCATGAAACCTTCAGACTTCTTTTAGGATTAAGCTTATCAAACAACTTTGAAGTCTATCAAATTTGGACAGCTGCAGTACAAATCAGTGGTACAAGTCTCAGAAAGCTTTAATTCAAACACTGCAAGACATTCTACTATAACGTCACCATTTACTAGGATAAGTTCTGAATTATTTCAGGTACACAGTTACACTAGCATAAAAATAATTAAAAAACAAACAAACAAACAAGCAAAAACTATCCAACCTTTACAGCAACAAGTATTTTTCCATCTCAAAATACCATAGCCACTGTCCACTCTCTCTGTGTCGATATGTGTCATAACAGCTGGCGTATAAACACAAAACCACAACCAATATTTCTGATTTTCACGGTTGTTTTCAGCCCCCTACGGTGAAGTCATCTAGCTCATCATTCCTGCCGTTTAATCTACGTTCAGACCGACTTCGCTGTCCACGGTGCTGAACCAGACACGCGCAAACAAGCCAAACAAGCCAGGGATGACAGCAGTCTGAGCGTGTCCACGAGCTTTTGCGTTTCTTTTGCGTTTTCATTGCTCCATAACGCAGACAAGTGTTCAGCGATACACTTTCTGTCTTCAAATGATTATTTTGGTTAGTTACTTTGATTTAGTTTTTGCAACAAATGTTCAATGCGACACAGTTTAGACAATTTAAGAGTGGCTTGTTCCGCACCCAAAGCCAAAGCGCACGAGAGCCCCTTTCAGCTTCATCAGAAAAATAAACGAAACACTTATGTTGAGTTTCAATCTGGTCGTGTCCAAAATTAAGAAAGACAATAACAAAACGCTCTCAAGAGTGGGCTTTTAAATTGTTAACCAGTTAAAGGGACTTAAATAACATAGTTGACAAATTACAGAGTGTAACTGGAATAAAATCGAGCAATACAGCCAAAGAAAAAAAAAATGAACACACACTAAAACGCACTGTGTGATGTTTGGGTCTTTCCTTCACTTAAATGTCTTATAGTCAAGACAACAACCTACAATAAAAAAGAAGTTGACAGGATTTACCTTCACGAAGAAGACTGTTTAAGAGCAGCAGCACCTTCCACTCCTGTGTGTCTGTGTGTCCTCTTCTGTTTCCTTCTCTGTGTCCTCTTCTGTTTCCTCCCTGCTCAGCGCGTCTGTTGCGTCTCAGGTTCTGCGCGCATTAAACCCTTTGGAGAACGGCACCGGGGGCTGCTGCTGGCGCACCACTCGCCTACTATCCAAGGCAGAAGTGAGCGCGCGCGGTGCGTGGCACGTGGCAGCCAGCTCAACACTCCACCTCTCCTCAGGTGCGAGGAGAAGTGGGAGAGGCTGCGCTCATCATGTGATGTGGAACAAGCTCACGACCAGGAGGGAGAGGAGATGCTGTTTCATAAGACTTGGAATGCCTTATTTACGCAACACCCATAAAACATTTAGAACTTAGGAACTTTTTAAATAGAATTTGCTATCACAACAACTGAGCTTTTACTGTCATGGATGCATTACATCACTGGAAATCTTAGAGTGAACCTAGCTGCCAGCTGGCAACATTTATATTTACATTGTTACATTTAATTTTGTCTCTTTGAAAATGATGCAATTTCACTGCTCTGTGAAAAATAAAATCAGTCTCTGAAACAAACTAACAATAAGAGCCACTATGAGAAGATGCTGGTGAACTGATTTCCTGTTATTTGAATACTAATTGCCTCTCTTTGTTTTATTTTTTCTGCCATTTTAACTGGCTTTCTTAGTGAGACAAAGCCTGTCTTGAAGAGGACTTTCTTTGGTCCCGTAAGATAGAATGTGATGCACTTATGTCTTTGACTTGGTACGTTGCATTACCATTCTTTTATGTAACATCTGTTCTTTTGTCTCTTGGAGACAGCTGTACTGCACAGTATACAAATCTCCAAAGTAAAGAAAGTGTCTTCCTTCACGGTAGAATATGGAGGGAGGAGGTTGTGTGTTGGTATGTGTTCTCTACCTCTAGCTAACACTGGGTTTCATGGTGCCTTCACATTAACATTCAACCATGTGTTAAAGGGAATGGTGCAGACTTGTTGACATGCTCTGTGAGAATCCAGACGCACTATCTCTAAATATGGGCGCTCATTCAGTGCATGTGTCTGACTCAGCCCCACAGCTGATCACAAGCTGGGGTGAATAAAGAAGCTGTCATCAGTTTGGCTCTGACTTGGTCTTTCATGCAACTGCTTATTGGCCTCATTGGCACACACTCAGACCCACTTTTTATTTTAGTCTGAAACGCTCCACCTTTTGGGTGATTATTCACATATTTCATGCATGCAGAAAAATACATTTTGACATCTGATGCATTTCAAGCCTCATTTTGAAAAATCAAACATTCACATAACTGGACCTCGATGACATCCTTCATGGAATTCTGAGTTTTTCCTGATAAAAGCCACACGGAAATGTGGAAATGTATATGTTATACAAGGGAATCAACAAATAAAATATACCTGAGAGTTTATTTTTCCCCCTTGTAATCATAGAAAGAAAGAACAATAAAAAGTGTTGACATGGAGCACTTTATTTTCCAGGTCTACTGTGTGGGTGAGGTTACTTGCTTAAGGACCTGACACATGGATAGGCTGGGAACTAAACCATGGTCTTCTGATTTGACAACCACTCCACCATTCAAACCGAGGCCCACACAGTGATCCAGAGTTGCAGACAGTCTCTGACAGGATGCCAGAAAAAGCTGCTGCCGTTTCGAATAAACAGAGTCAGCGTGTCCTCTGAAGCTAAACTAAATTTTCCCCTGCTGGGGGAATAAAACAGCAGCACTCTGACAGTAAGGTGAGGTGGAAAGACAGGAGACTCGTGGCAGGAGTTTTCAAAGTCTTTAAAAGTTAAGCACCATCATTTGCCAACAGGAATGTTCAGAGCGGGACTCTCCTTAATGTTTTCGGCTTTTTAACCACGGTATCTTCTCATAGATAAGTCGAGGTCATTTCTAATAAGAAAAGGATTAATGATCATCAGCTGTCTAAAACCATGCAAAATCGGTTTAGACAAAGTTTTTGTCTTTGGAGGCCATAAAAAATGCAGGGCTACTATCTTGACTTTCTCTTTCTGTTTTTGTTTCCCTCCTTTATTATATAATCCAACTATGAATAATGCAGCGTCAGTTACATGTACTGCATCTATTAAAAAAGATGCACGTGTATCAAACAGGCCTCATAATGCAACAGAATTGTAACAATGTACATGTGTTCATATTCATTAAATTCAATTTAGCAGAGTAGAAAGCAGTGACCCTCTACAAAAAAGTGTCAGGTATGAAGTGCTGAAATCCAGCAGGTCATGACATGAAATATATTTACCGAGGAAAAAAACAAGACATAACTAAAATCAATATGTATATCTTCCCACACAAAAAACACTTACATATATAGGGACTTTATTTAGCCTTTTATTTATTTGCATTATCATACATTAGATACAAATGTCACAATCAGTTACAAGGTTAAGTAGCTCAGACGCATTTTAAAGGTTTCAGGCTGACAAGGAAAACAGAGATACACCATTTGCAAAATACAATATGTTCTTTCTTTTACAGTCTTTGTAGGTATCTACTGTAAGTAAATTATGTACAAGGACAGGGGGTCAGAGATTATAAATGAACAGAGCTAGTGAGCATGTTGCTGTGCGGAGTCATATGTAAGGCATTCTTCCACATCACTGATCCTGAAACCTGCACTTTCATCTCTGCATCTCTTAGGACACAGCAAAGAATAACGGTGGACTGAAGAAAGATGTTGCACTACTAACATTTAAAAGGAAGGACAGAAAGAAGAGCCATTTTCAAAAGAAAATCCTCTTTTGAACCAAACGGTTGTCACAATGTTTTTACAGAATTTACCGGATGAATTCTGGCAAGCATATAAAACTGAAAAAGCTGTGGACATCTATCAGAATGTCAAGAACGAGTTTGCTTCTTTAAGGAGGAGGAAACTCACTTCGGTAATGGTTGGACTTTTCCCAGGCACCGAGGACGGAGGGAGGGGTTAGTGTGACGAGGCACAGGGGCAGTTCAAGAAATCCTCATTAATCCTGATATTCATTAAACGGAATTTAGTCCATCAGCTGCTCATTGTTACATCACCACCCCATCATCCAGTATCTTCTTTTCATACAGTAGATACAATAAACAATTCCCCATTTATTTCAGTCACTGATAGGCACAGGGAGGCAAAGGTAAAGCAGGCAGACACACAAGGATGAATCCAGTTGCACCTTGTTTTAATCTAAAGGTTTTAGTTGGCAGTAAGAAATGTTTTTGTTTTTTCTTTGAATTTTCCAGAACTTTCAACTATAAACGTAATGTAAAATGTAAATGATAAGAGATGATCAAATGAAATAACGGACACAGTAAATCTTCTCACTACAGGATATGTGGCAATAGGGGGCATTTTTTGGGTTGAAAAAAAGGGGAATATTAAAAATAATATATATACAGTTTATCTGAACGGGCTGGGGAAGGCACACAAGGAAGGAAAATCTTGTTCTTCTGGCCTTACTGCCTACATCTCAACTGGTTGAATGTACAATAAGTGAGCAGATGTTCTATTAAAGGGATGGTGCCGCAATATTAGGCCAGGACATAATCACATATAGAGGTAAAAGATAGGCTTCAATAAAACTATTTCTGAGCAGACTCTTGATTATGCACAAGGAATATTAGATGTAGTTGCTGTGAAATTCACTGCAAATGTTCAATTAAATGCCACAACTTAAAATGCTTTTCCCCTCTTTTTCTTGCTTATGTGGACATAATTTTGCCAAAATCTAGAAAAAAAAGATCCAGAACACGATGGTTCAATATCATACACAGTAACATAACTATATATCTGGCATTGTTAAGTGTACTGACACAATATGCATTGGCATACTAATGGTTGCATGCTACTATGTACTGTCCTTTGTGGCTGACACAGAAGCTGTCAAAGTAAGTCATCATTGCAACTACAGCTAGTGCAATGTTTCTATTGTTGGGTCTGGTTTCTCCAGGTTTGGCACATACAAAAAGTTTTAGAAATTGAAGAGGGAAACACAAGAGTGCAAATCATGAAAAAAATATGGACAGACTAATGGGGTCTCAATGTTTTTCAATATTTCCTATCACAGTCAGTGTTTCCTAATATGATAAATATTTGGGGATAAAAACTGAGAAAATGTAGCTGATGAAAGAAAAACAACAAAGAGCCAAATGTTAAAAGTGAATATTACACAATGGTACATGTAATAAAACAAAACTTATTTGAGAGAATTATGAGTTTTGCCAGTCTACTAGTTGTGGGTCTTGCAAATTAGCATTTCTGAGTAAAAACTAAAGGTGAGCATGGATTCAGTGGTCCCCTCACGGATAAGTATTCTTGAGAGGAAAAGCAAAAGGAACCTAGGGTCATAATACAAAGCTTCTTCAGAAAAAAGGACTGATCTAGAACCAGCAACTGGATGTCCTGCAGTAGTTCACTTCAACTTGCATCTAAAAACTGAGTTAAAAGTTAATTTAATATTATTTAGCCCCTGAGGATCAGTATTATGAACTGTTTTGGCAAAATGGCAGATGTTTTCTCACATAACATGCCAATATCAGAACATCAGTCCCACTGATTGCCGAACTGGATTCAGATCAGTTCTCTTGTGATGACTGATGTGAAATCGAACACTTTTGGTTTGGCCAACCTATATCTATGCTGACAGTGATCAGAGATAAACTGAAACAGTACAAAAGTACAGTTTGTTATAAACTATTCTTACATACAACGAGCAAGAGTGCAATGAAATTGGAGCATTTTGAAACACCTCCATGAAACGTTTGAAGTCTTTTCTGTGTTAACTGAAAATATGTGGCCAATAATCCATTTGAATCAATATGGGCATTTTCTTCAAGCCCACACAAAGTGACTCCTCTCCAAAGGGTTATGTATTGAGTTGAGTTTTTATATTGTAACTTTTTGGGTGTTTCATACTTGGAAACATGCAGCATTTAGTGGATGTCATGCATGAATGATGCTAACTGACAGCATGCAGACATAGAGGAACATTCAACAGCTGGAGATGCATTCAGTCATCACAAAACTGCATTCACTGATAATTATCTTTTAAAAAGGGAAAGAAAAGTGTGATAGTTGTGATAAAACAGAACAGATTTTTTATTTTTTCACTATTTGCTGAATCTGGATTCCATTAAAGACGTCCAGCTGTTACAAAGGTAATCTGCACTAAGGTTCACTCTCAGTGGTTTTAAGTTTTTATACAACATACAAATATTGGCTTATCTAATTAATGTAATAAAAGCACATTCATGTGTTGGTATAAAAATGTAACTTGGTATACTTTTTAATAACTCAAAATTATTTACAAAGGAGTGTCACACTGATTTTTTCTTTGTACATTAAGATATTGATCCATTCTAATGATAAAATATAGGATTACAGAAAAGTAGAGGAGTTAAAAGAAATCTATTTCTAAAAATATTACAGCAACATTAAGGGACACAAAGAATGACTAAAGTTGTTGACTCCAAACAAAAGATTTAAAATAAGTTTGTTCTTGTGACCACAAAACAACTCTGTATGAATCAAAATCATGCTTTTTTCCTGTTTCCTGTTTTTTCCTGTTTGCAACAAAGCTACTTTTTGACATCACATGATGCAAAATGTCTTCCCAGCTTCTGCTAAGACGTTTATGGCAATTGAGAGGCTTTGTTGTCAAGGGTCTAGCACAGGTCTGAAAAGGTTATTAACAACAATGTGTGTCAAAATAAGACAAACCCTTAACAGCTAAGGTGTCCTTTACTGGTAGCTATAAGCATGGTCTGAGCCTTCTCATATACAAAACCGATCAAAGTTAATCTGTGTCCACAGTGCTGACAGAATTCTTGGAAAGATAAGGGTACAATCTGCAGCTTGGGAAAGGCAGGGAAACAGCTGTGTGTGAACGGTTCCTTTCAACATTTGAAGGTGAAAAAAGTTTTGACAAAGTGGAACTTATGCTCTCATACCTTTCTTTGTCTTGCTCTGTCTGAAGGATGTACATGTTCATCACATAACCGCTCCTTTTTTTTTACTTGACTTGCTACACATATAGGAAGTTCAGACAGGTTGAAATAATTGTACAATAAACTTTACCTTTGTACCACCAACATGAAATCATATGAGAAGAAAACTGTAAACACGATACAGGTAACATTGAATCACTGTTTCTTTTCAACACCTGCACCACCTGTCCTTCATATTTGGCTATAGCGTCTACATTGCCTAATATGTGTCTTTTGATATGAGTATCCACATAAATACAAGATGCTACCCATCAATTGGATATATGGGGAGCATATTTACCCATTGAGATTTGTAAACAGATTTTTTTTTTCACGTATTATTCTGGCATAGGATTGTGAACCCGGTCTTTATGCCTCTGGGTTATTGAGGCTCATCCTTCAATTGTGCCTGCCCATCATCACAAAAGGATCACTGTTTATGGAGCGGCAAAGAACTAAACGAAACTATCTGATTCAAGATCTACACTAGCAAAAATTTTGTAAAGAGCATATACGCATGCCTTAGAGTCATGCTTGGGAATTACACCAATACATTAGGATCTATTGTGGGACTTGAAGCTCTAGTCAGATGTCTGGTTGGTTGGTTTAAGAGGGTGGCTGTGAACGGGAAGGGTCTTCAAAGGTTTTACTATACGTGTCAGTCGCTGATGTCAAGTGAAGGGTGCACAAACTGTGCGTTGACGAAAGAGAACCCCGCGAACTCGGCTTGGTCTATGTTGGCAATAACTAGCTCATCGGGTGGTGTGAGCTGGGGCTGGGTGCGTGTAAAGAACTTGTCAAAGTTCTCTGCTCCTTTGCCACACTGTAAAAGACAGACAGAGAAGGGAGAGACATTAACATGGGAGGAATTTTTTAAAAAGGAAACAAGCATACCAACTGACAGAATAAAGGTAGCACACAAGCAAGAAAGGTACAGACTGTCATTCTGTGACGGCCAGCCCTCAGCAGTTCAGAGAAAACATCAGTCATTGCATTCAGCAGAATCTTGTTTTAACTCTGCAATTTTATACACAATTATGCCCAACTTTGTTCATTTAATAGAAAGACAATAAAAAGGTACGTCGTTAAGGAAATCAACAATCCTTAATTAGACCACCTTCATGAGAAACTTCACTTTTGTCATCCATCCTGAGAATGAAATGATGTTGAAACCGTGGAAAGCGAAAACTCCCTTTTATCGGGAAAAAACTGGTAGAACCAGACTCAGGATGGGTGGCCATCTGCCTCGATGGCTGAGGTTTGAGAGGATAGGAGAGAGGGACCAACAAATACCATTACAAAGTGAGGGATAACATAGAGAGAAAAATAAGTTAGTTAACAACAGCAATCATGATCTCTTTTGCTAGTTCTAATCAGAACTGTGTCAAAATGTAAGAACATATTACGATTCAAAACAAGTATGATTTCATTTTTGTACATTTCCTTGGCATAGGTCTCATGTATTACACATTGTTTAAAATGAAACTTGGCCCGTAAGCCCAATTTTTGCACAGTGCGTTGAATCAGCAAAAAAAAAATCTGCAGCCCAAAAAGATATGAAGCTATATGACTGCTGTTGTCTTTTTGTTGCATGGTAAATTAAAAATGCATTGCATGCAAAATGAGTATGGACCAGCTGTCAAACAAAATTAATCTATTATTTCAATTTGCATAATTTCTCAGTTAGCAAAGACGCATCCCTGTCTCAAGTATTAGTGACAGTGAATGAAAATATGTACACAACAAAGTGAGAGGGGCCAAGACAATTCTGTGTCTGAGCCTCTCTGTCCTCATCAGCTAATCCACCCCCACACTGAGCTCACCTACAGGCATGCATGGATTTAAAGCCACACAAACACAGACATACACGCTCTTTTATATTCGGTGAAAAACATGACAAGCAGTCGTGTTCCCTGTAGGACGTTCTCCTCTACAGCTGGCTGTAACTATAAAGGATTCCGTGAAGCCCAAATTTCATGGGTCTCTCACAGAAGGCTTGAAGAGAAACAAAAGATGACAGCATCCAAAGCGTTTCTGGCACCAAATAAACATCAGCGCCTTGAACTTTGAATTCAAGGAAATGGGGTTTATTTAGTTGTCACAGCAAAAGCAGAATCTTTTTTTTTAATGACAATCTGGATCTTAATACATCTCTTTAGTGAAGAATTCCATATCATTACCTGATTATTAGCATATTTTTGTTTTTATTCCTGTGAAAATCTTCTCTACAGTAAACCTTTTTCTTTCATTTATCATTTACATATGTTTCTTTCTCCAATCTGAGAATATGTAGACTGTTCTCTTTTGCAGATAAGAGGTTAGGTACAAACTCTACATATAAACACACGGGAGTGGATAAATATCCCGTTAAATAAGATTACCTTGCAGTAAAGGACTCCCTCTTTAAATAGTGCTAAATTGCTTAACAGTCTAGTCAAGCAGAGGCACCTTAAACTTTGTGACATTCTCTTTTGTTGTAAATCCAACAGGGCCTCGAGAGACTTCTCTTTCAGATATCACACATGTGCTTTATAACCTCCCAGCAGAGCTGAATTCCTTTGACATTTGCGTCTGGAAGAAATAAATGTGTCATTCTAACAACTCCACTATAATCCACTATAATAAAGTCAGTTTCTGTGTGGAGTTTGCATGTTCTCCCTGTGTCTGTGTTGGTTCTCTCTGGGTTCTCTGGCTTCCTCCCACCGCGACCCCATTTCGGAATAGGGGAATAAATTTTGGTTTGTTCACAGTGACCTGGCTTCAAAGGTGCTGACTAACTCATGACAAATGGACTTTATCAACTGCCGTCCCGTATTCCATCCAAAGGCGTGACATCACTGTCAGCCAAGTGTGAGTGTGTTTCTGTTTACATGAGCATTGTTAAGAACTCCAACTGTTTGTCAGAATCTTATCAGACATTTCTATTTTCTTCTCATTCTTTTGATTGAGGAGTCCTGACAGTGCATGGGAGGTGCTTTAGCAGAGGTAAACATAGTGGAGCAAGAGAAAATGAGGGCGCCCGAGTGTTTTTTCTTTGATTGTCATCACCGGTAGGCAACATTCGCCGCAAGCCACCAACCTGTCAGAGTGGATAGAGAGCAGGACACACACACTTGAAGATGGGAGAAAAATATGGATCTATTTGTAAATGTTTGTGTGTGCCGTCTTCCAATGTGCTCTCCTTCCATTACAGAATTCACCTTATGGGTAATAGCCAAGGCTATGCCTCCCTGTCCACTTGTCGTCTTCCATCCATCACTGACCATTCATCACTCAGGCGAAGCAACACACTTTTAGACCTGACATTAGACAACAATCTCGAGCACCATGATGTCCCTCTCTACATCCTGAAGCAGTTACTCTTTGTGACATCGGGCCGCTGCTTCCAGGCAATACTCCAACCAGTGTGTACGCAAAGCATATGTGGGATGAGGATTCTGCTGCAGAACCGACAGACGTGTATCTGACTTTTATTCTGATATTCATCAGACTCTAATTTATTTAAATCTCTGTTGTTTTATTAATTTGTTGTAAAAGAGGGCGAGGTGGGGTTATTCGAGCACCACTCGTCATATGAACAGCTGAATAAAAATATTTTATGAAAACTAAAATAAGACTTAAATTAAGATCTCAAAAGATGAATTCAACAAGGGTGGACGAGAAAGTGAGCTTTCATAACACGGCTGTAAGATTCCTTATCCTGTGATTCAGCCAACACTTGTTGGGTGAATCTAGGGTTAGTATGCTTGGAACACATCCCTCCATGCACTGACACAGTGTCCTACATGAGTTTTTGACCTACTTTCTTTCATCTTTAATCTCTCTCCCTCACTCGGTGCACACATACAGACGTGCACGCCTCGGCACTCAGAGATATTAAAAGAACACTCAGCTACTTAGGATGATAAATGAGCGCCTGCCTCCAATAGGGTCGTGCCAAGACACACAGACTCTTTCCTCTTTTTTAGTTCTTTTCCTTGAGGCCAGTGGTATGCAGAGCTCATCACTCTCAATTTCTCCCACAGATTATGCTTTATCCGTCAAATTTTCCTCATGTCAACATTAGTGAGCAGAGGTACGGGCTAATTGAATGTTAAGTATTTCTGGATTAGGGAGTCTGGAAGGTTGGTAGAAACTGGTCCCTGGAAAACTTTCCTATAGTTAAATTGATCGATAATTTGGGCCTATCGACTTTACTCAATGATGTTAAAAATCATAAACTTTACCCTAAACCTTTTGGATATTAATAAAGAAAAAGCTTGTTTCATGAAAGAATTAACATTAAAAATGATTGGCTGCTCGAAACATCCCAAGTCAGGCTTTGACAGAATTAGCAAAATAATGGACTTTAACCCTGAGAATGGTGACCTTTGAATACATACTAATCATTATCTGGTGGGAAATGTCTAGGACAGGGAAAGGAAGCACCAATAACAGAATGCTTTATCCCTTCTTCAGCTTGACAAAGGGAGTTAAAACAAGATTGTTGCGACTTAGCTTTTTATCTTAGAAAGTAAATAACAGTTCAAAAGAAATGGTGTGTCATGACAATTAATTAGATAGCAAAAAAGGAATGCAGAACGCTTTACTGAAATGATCATTTGAATCTTTAAAGAGGAGAAGAAGACATGTTTAGTCAAGTCGCAACAGTGCTTTTCGCCTGTCGCCTCTCTTTTTCTTACAGTGAATCACAACTCAGGCATATTGCCATCAATTTCTATGTGAGTATTCATGTAGCTCATATGCGACGCAACCACCCTTCCATGGACATTGCTCCAAGATTTTGTGTAATGACTAAATTCTCCCACTCATCATTGGCCTACCTCTCTTCTTTTCCTTCATTTACAATGAATAAGCAGCTTCATATTGACCTACTTTTTCCATCCTGCTTCCCATGAAGCCTTAAGGTCTATCGGACATCCATAGCTGGCTGTAAAGTGTGTTGTTTCTTTGGATGAATCTGCTTGCTTTCACACATTTCCACCGTTAGCTCAACGTTGCTGGCCTTTCACTGTGTACTTAGAAAACAGTTATATGGAGACAAGACCAGATACTAAATATGGTAAACACCAACTGAGCCTGCCTTGACGGTCATTCTACCGCACTGACTATGAGCTGTCTGACGTCCTGGTCCAATAGATATGGATGGCCTGAATATCTCGACTGGGCGCAGCCAGTGTATTGATTGCAATTCCACAGCTGTCACAGTCGGATGAAGTGAGATTGAGAGGCGAAAAAATGCACAAGGAGAGAGGAAAGAGGAGGAGTCGGACTGGAGAAGTGAAAATGGAATGGGTAAGGGAGGTGAAGGGAGGTGTATAATCATAGTTATTTGTTTGTAATGGATCCAGAAACAACAAAGTAATACATGGCACAGTTAAATGGACATGATGGATCAATTTTGAGAGGGTTATCATGGCTACTATAAGATGCAAGCTGATTTATCACTCCCTATCCATCTCTCTCCATTTGTCAAAACCTCCCGCATCTGCTACAACAATCATGCAAGCATGCACTGTGCAAAGACCATGCACATATGCATGCATCCACCTGCCTGCAGAATCAACATGAACACATATGTAAGCTCAGAAGCTGTCCATATTCTTTTCGATATTGACTAAAACTTCTTTCCCCACCACCTCACACAGCGATTTGACACAGATACAATGGAATCTTACTTCCTTGTGGTTCTAAATCTGTTACTTTTCATTTTCTTGGACTCACACCTGCAAACATACATTTTCCTTACACACACACTCAAAGCGCACACAGCCTTTCCATGATACACAGCCCAGCTACTCAGCAGGATAATAAGCGGACAGAGACCAGGAATCACCTTATTAGAGGAACTGGAGCCCTTGACGAATGATGTTGAAGAGGGCTAAAATTTTAAAAATGAATACCATTGGGACATACACACATACATACACATACGTTGAGTGGCCTATTTTATTTCCTCCTTAAAACATGCAACTTTCAACTTTGGAGTGAACCGTCCTTCTGTTTTTAAATGCGAAAGTCAATCATTTGGGTGATAGTCCATACTCTAAGGGTGTGGCCATCGTAGAGGGACGCTCATAGACAATCCTGTAAGCTCTGAGTTGAATTTCACATCACGTGGCACTGAGGGCTGGGGTGGATGGAGGGTAACTCAACTGGTATGACTTTCCTCTTTAAGCACATCTCTGTCACTGTCAGTCACTCTTAAAGGGTTTGCAGCCAGAGTTTGTAGTCATTTTTTATCAGCTGGGTCAGTTAAAAAGCAATGATCCATTATAATAAAACAGCTGATAAAATATATAACAGAATCTACTTTACTACTTAAATAACTCCTCAGAGTGCTAACCAAGTGTTTATTACCTCGAACTTGGTAATGGCATCTTGCTTGTGTGCCAACATGTACTTTGTAAAGAGATAACTCTACTGTAGCCTCATACCATCCAAATTATTTGGAAACAAAACATAATGTTTTCTTTTCTTACCCAACAATGCATATGCCTTCATTTTTTTGGATGATCCTTGTTATCAATTGAAAATCAGATTTTTTAGAATGCTATTTTAAAGCAACATCATTTTCTAATTTTTCAATTTGATTAGAATTGTTTTAGATTCTTGGGAAAGGGCATGCAATTGTCTTAATTTAGGTGTTTAAGACAATATGCTGTGATGTATGTTATCTGTAGAGGACCACTGGTTACAAGCAGTCAAGATGGAAATGGAAAACTTCTATAATGTAATCCACCGTTTACTTATGAAATTACAAAGTGCATCTATAGTGGCCAAATGATTACTTGCTGGAGAGAAGAAGCCGGCTGCAATTTAATGCTTTATTAATCATTTCTAGACTGAAGCCAATTCACCACCAAAGTAGATTCTTAATTACACCTTCTTTGGCATGGCTTATTGGGGTGTCCATGGATGTTCTTGCAGTATATAAAATTATAAAAGAAATATCCTCCATCCCTCTGGCTTCTTAAACAATCCAGAAACCATTTGTAAATATGAATAATTTTTTGTTACAGTCATGCACTGGAAGAGTTTGCATGACGTTATTATTTATCCGACATAAAAAGAGGGTGTTGATTGACTTTTCCTTCAGTTTATTCAAAACATAAACTTTAAAACACAATGTAAATATGAATCCAGCTTATGTGACAAAGTCTCTGTATTTTCCAGATAACCCCTTCCTCACCAGCAAGAGGTATTTTCCTGTTGTAGATTTATGCAAAAATTATTTAAAAAATTATTAGATCAAACATTAATAAAATCCTAAGCAGTATAACAGGACTGTGTGCTGTATATTGATAAGAAATATCTGTAATCTGTTTGTTTGAGACTTTGAGTTGTTTCAAATAAGGGTCTTTGAAGACATCTGAGTAGTTCAGATCTTTTTTTTTTTCAGTTGTACCAAAGCATAAGCTAGAACCAAGATAGGAAACAATTTTGTGCAAATCTCTTTTTATAGGATATTACAAGGATATTACAAAAGACTAATGATTGATATTTCATAAAGTATTTCATGTCTTGCCAGTATGCAGCCGACCATGACTTATCAAATTTCTTAATTTGCAAATGGTAAGCGTCACAAGAAAATGAGTCAAGTGTTCAGTTATTAAGTTAATGAAGAAGCATTTGGATGCAAACAGTATTTAGCTCTACTTTCTCATCTGTTGGTGTATTCTGACAACATTGATTGAAAGCTGAAAAACAACGAGTTGACAACAAAGGACAGGGGCACAAAATGACTTGCCGTAAAATGTTTGCCATGTGGATTTTTTTCTGGATATATTTTGGATGTATATGTTATGTTGACATATAAATAAATAAATAAAGTTACAGTTCCCTTCCAATAAAAATACATTGAAGATTAATAGTTGTGTGATGAATTCATCGATTTGGTGTCCACTCAAAGGCAGCAAATCTAAAGTCACTGATCGTTTAAATTTCTGCAGTCGGGCTGTAGGTTCCGTGAATGTTTAAGACTTCTGTTCATCAGTATTTGATCATTTATTCATCTATTCATCGGTCATATATTTAAAAGTCCATTTATATTTATTGAATATAAATGGCCTTACCTGAATCCCACTGTCTCTCCTACAGATGTGATACTTCATAATTCACCGAACAGATTGCATCCACAGACGAGAAAACAACACTCCACCTCTGGTATATATTGCACTACGCACTCATTTAAACAAGTCAAAAGTATCAGCATCACATAAACTCTTATTCTAAGGGACGTTAAACTTCTTTTGGAGAGAACCTTCCATTCTTCTTAACCTTGACTCCAATACATTTCTTATCAAAATGTGGAGACTTACCACTTTAGGCTTGAAGGGTGGCTGAATTTCTCTGTTCTCCAGGCGATCCCAATCGATCCGTCTGAAGAAGGCGTGTTCCCTGATGTCCCTCTCGCCCTCAAGGCCACAGCCCAGACGTTTAGATGGATGTTTGGTCATCAACTGCTCAGTAAAAAAAAAAAAAGCAGCCAAACAAACAAAAACAAGAAGCTTAAATTAAAACATAATCAGTGTCATATAATTATTAATAGAAAACCCCTATTTTTAGCTCGGAAAGTTTGTTCTCATAATGAGCAAATATGCTGAATCTAAAATAAATATAACAATAATAAAAAAATCTCCAAAAATCTGAAAAAAACTTTTAACTTTAATCAAAGTTCACATTTAAATTGATACTGACTGCATTACACAATACCCATTTCAGTAACCACTTAGTGGAGCAATGGAATATCTTTGGCTTTATCTCTCTGACAAGCGATGTGTACGTCGGGAAGATTTCTATACTCTTTCAGCTATATATTTTGTAAATTGCTTCCACCTCTTTTCTCGGTCGGCAAATTAAAGCTAAACAGATGTGTCTGACAACGAGTGACATAATTGTTTCCCCCCCTCCTCTCCCTCTGCTTGTTCTGTCTTTAGAGAATTGATGCAGTCTCTCCACAAACAGCTTGAGGATAGTCAGCACTTTGCTAAAAAGTCATAAAAAGACTGCCTAATTGAATAAGAGAAAGGTTACCTTGTTTTAAAGGTTGTTTCTTTAGCTTTCAATTGGGAAACATGTAAAATCTTCATAACAGAGAAAGAGGGCAAAAGCTAATTTTAAATGAATCCATAAGCATTGCTTAAATGAATGGGGTTTGGTCATTGCACAGTTAATTACTCTCATGAAAATGTTGCTTTGACATTCTGTCAGAGCAGTAATTAGTCCTGACCGAAAAGCAAAGGAAGACGAAATGCTCATTCCAGACTGATGAAGAATCTGGCGTTTTCAGTCCGAGGCTAAACTGACTTGTTCTCCTTCGACTGTTTGACTCAGTTAATTCAAACGACTGAAAAAGGTCAGACTTTTCTCTGCTTGGATTGTGAGGAGAGTGTGTTCTCTGAAATATAAGTGCAAGGTCAAAGTACATACATCTATGAATAGACACATGCCCAGAAGCTTAAAAAATGCAGTACTTCTAGATTTGTTAATTTGTATCCAAGCCACCGTTAAAGTTCTCCTGAAATATATGACATGTCTACAGCAGCAGATTTTGGGTGTTTGGGGGTCTCAACAGTACCAAATGTAAGCTGCAGTAAAATAGTTTTTGACCACATACATACAAACAAACACATACCCACACACACACTAGAAGAACTTAAAGAACTACCTTAAATTAAATAGTTTTAAAAATATCATTGTGCCATTGAGATTTCCCTAAAATGTTTCCAGAATAAATCTTCTGAACAGTACAATCAACTAGTTTGTTAAAATGAGGTAACTGCTTTTGACATTAGCATAGCTTAAAAAAATCACTCCACAACTCCAAAATAGTTCTGCTCCACTGGACTGATGTACATATTTGGATAATAATACCACAAATAAGCTGTCACAAGCCTTAAAAAACTACTTGAGTAATTCCTCAGGAATCCTCATTTGCAATGCCATATTAATATAAATTATTTATTGAGTGTAGAAATAGGACAATTTGTACAGCTGGTATTAAGGACTCATTTGAAATGTAATTTTAAAAAAGTTTTTCAGTTAAAATATCTCAGGTGTCAACAGCTGCTGCCGATGAGACTGAGTTGAGAGTGCAGTCTGTGTTTATGTCTGTGTAAATTTGTCTTTACTTATCAAGGTTTTATAATTAGAATTACCATAAGAGCCAAAGTTGGCATAGAGGTTATTGTCCTTGTTACATATTTATAACCATAAATGTGTTTTTGCATTTAATTCCATTGAAAAGGACATACTCAAATGTAATTTATCTGCTTTTTCTGTTTTCATCCGAAAACCAGAAGAACACCAGTCTCTTTCTGTAATTTCTTTCATCCTCATTTGTGAGCACTTTTGCATGATGTGGATGTTTTGGGTTGAGAAATCAAATCAGGTTATTTTCTGGCATGTTGCTCAAACTTCGGGTTCAGATAAATGATCTGAAATGTCAAGATGATTTGAACAAAATAGGCTTCAATTACACTCTTATTAAATTAAATGACATCACTTGGCTGACGCTCCCTGTTGTTTAGTTGACAAATAGTTTAACATCAAAATAACACACAAGACTGTCTGTCAGGACTTAATTTCAGAGCCAGTTCATTTGCTGCTGGCTCCTCATTGTGCCTCTGACACATCTGAACTTGCCGTGTGTTTTCAGCTGGCAGAATGCATCAGACAGCTGTTGACAAGGAGGAAAAAGTCATTAGCCACTTTCTGTCGGTTCACAGCTCTGTCAGTTACAGTGAGAGAGCACCTTGCTGCAAACACACGGGCCGTCACCTCTAAAGGTGACACATCTCATAGTCTGAGCCGTCCCTGAAACTGAGTGACTGCTTCCCTGCCAGTGTTAAATGCTCATACGTGTGCTGAAACTCCCCAGCTCGAATCACTTTACATATAAGTGAGAAACAATCATCAAGAAAATTGTTTTTATTTAAAACACAGCGATGCGATGTCATGAAATCGTTGTGTCTGCGATTAACAACCTAATCTAATTTGTGGGACTACAAAGTGACTGACAGGCTAACAGTTTAGTTATACATGCTCCAAAGTTTACATAATGATGATGGCATCGTGCTGTTGCCACTCAGGACATGAAATAATTAGATCTGAAGTGAGAGTAGGCAGAGGAGATTAAATATCAAGGGAAATAGAGAGGAAGCATCAAATCTTGAATGTGCCACCAGGGACAACGTTGCTGTCAATACACACAGCCTCATCATCATCATTACTGCCATCATCAGGGTTTAAAAAGGAATTAGTCTGCAGAGAGACTCTGATATATATGACTCACACATGAGTAAAGATTCATTTAGGTCACAATTTTTAACACCATCCTGTGAGTTGGTGAATTTGACTGAACTTCAACATACATACTAACCCTATATACTTCTTCATCTATTTCTATATGGTTAAAAAATCCATTGCATGGGACTGATGAATAACTGGACTGAGAGAGAACTCCTCATTGGCTTTGTTTTTTAATATTCTACAGTTGTGCCTCTTGATTTTTCCAGCCTTCAATCTTGCTTATTTGTGGGTGAGTTTGTTGCCAGGCCCTTAATATTAATTTACGCAGTGCCATAGCTATACCAAACACAAACCAACGAGCTGATCAGAGGACACAAATACACAGAGTTGAGCATTCATCAGTCAACACAGCATTAGAATATTTGCATTTAGCAGGACTTAAAAAAATACTATCCATAACTACTTCTTCTTAAAGCCCTGACCCAAAAAAGACCACAACTTTATTTTACCTCTAACCAGGATCATTTACATTACAATAAACCTTTTTCTCTAAAAAGGAGGCAAGTCCCCATAAGAGGACCATTTAAATGGTAAAGTCCTCAGAGCAGGAGTATCATACACAAAAAGACACACACTTCTGAGTAAAATAAAAGAGAAAGATGAAAAAGGGGGGCAAAGAAAAAGCAAGTGAATTTGTAGGAAGGAACAGGGAGACAAAGTACATTATTGCACAGCCCACTGGTTTTGTATTGCCCCAGGATAGAAAAGAACTGCTATTTCATGCACACAAAACACAAGTACATGTTATTTTGTCTACCATAAGGATATTTCTGAAAATTCCAAGAGAAACGAGTAAATACTGTTGTATACACAGTGTGTAAAGTAATTGCTTTAATTACCAAACGTATTACCTCCAAGAGGTCAAGACAAATGCACTGCCTCCAGAGCCTAAACCTGACCTCCACAGATTAAAATGAAATGAGGGATGTGAAACGACGATATTTTCTTATGCTAATCTCATGACATAAGTAAATGGAACACTACAGACAGCAGTCATAATTAACCAATATCCAATGTGCTTCAGCCCCAGTTATCAGGATTCCTTTGGTTTAATCTTAACTTCTCTCAAGCCAAGAATAAGGTTTTAAATACTGATAATGTAAAAGAAAAAAAGCTCTGCGTGTTTAATATGTAATATATTGTGTAAATAACAGCTGCATGTCCTGATTTGTGAATCTGAAAATGTTAAGATGCAGATTTATTAATTTTTTCACGAAATATTACAAGAACAAAAAGACGTTATTTATTTTCATCATTAAAAGGCATAGTGGTAACCTTAATTGTAATATGTAGAATTGTGTATTTGTGTAACACAATCAGGCCCAGTACAGGGGTGGTAAAGTAAGATAACAAAAAAAGGATATGGGCAAATCGCAAAAAGGATTTTATTGAAAATGAAAGTGAAAAACTGCGGATTTTATGTACGTGGAGATTAATCTCTTCGAAAATAAAAAAAGGTTAAAACAGTTGCCAGAGAAAACATTTTCCCAATGCAAAAATTTGTGTAAATAAATGTTAACATCATAATAGCAAAGTTATAGCTTTGAATAGAAATTGTTCTTATTTATAACACCTTACTCAGCTGCTGTCTGTGGATGCCTTAATTAATGAGAGCATAAATCTTATATTCAATATTCCCATCCGTATTTCCCCTACAACTGTGTCAGCATGTTTCCTACATGAAAGTTGGCCTTTTGTGAATAAGAAACGTATTACCTCTTTTTCTAAGGTAGTTGTTGCGAAAAAAGCGAGTACATTCTTTTAACAAATATATTTGTACATTGCCATCTGAGAGTTTAAAACACAAGAGCTGAGTCAAAACAACATAGTCAGCAGTTAGAGCCAGTTACAAACGTGCCTTTGCCCAAGAATTATTTAAAGATGACATTTGGTTACCAGTATAGCAGCTCAACTAACCTTCAAACCACTTATGGAGCTTTGTATACTCAGTTCTTCCATCAGTGTTTTAATAATGAATAAGTCAAAGGCATATCAACTGAGAGTGAAAAGAACGTCTGACTGAAAGCCTACTCCCATGTCTTCCTGCAGTTTGGGAAAGCTATCTAATTTCCTATTTTAAATTGCTAGAAAGCTATAAAAAGCAAACTGATAACCAATGCTAATGGATATATCAGTTCTATTTTCTCTATAAATGTAATGCTATATGATGGGCTGGCAACAATCTCAGACACATTCATTAGAATGAAGGAAACAACTTTACTTGACATTTATTTTACTTGGACCTACTCTTAAATTCTCACTAAGAACTCATAATACATTTAACCAGACCAGAGCAAAACTAATTAATTATTTCAGCACCCGAGGTCTGTCAACCCATGCATCACTCACGAAAAGGCTGTCTATAAAGAACTCCTTCCACTCCTCTCGCTCACAAACCCCAAACTCACCAATCAGCCTTAAAAAAATAAAACATTTTACAGACACCAATTCAGATAAATACAACCATAAAGCACACATGCCATTCCTGTAATTCAAATCTTACAAAAAACTTAGACTCTAACACTCTTTCTCACAGTCTTTTATGAAACCATAACTGCATTCTGTTTCCCTCTTTAAGTGATAAAATTGATCAATATACATCTGCCCTCTGAATGCTGTTTGAAAAAACACCACACATACACAGTGCCCACGGAAAAAAGTACTTCCTCTGTCTTTCTTTTCCATAAACTTAAATGAAAATGTCTTTAATGACATTAACTCTTGTGACATTTTCTTCATGTTTCTGTACATTTAGGCCGTAGAAACTGAATTAATGTGAGGGCTTCAATCATACAATAATTAGTAAAGAAGCAATGAGAGCACACAGTCAGTCAGTCAAGACTCAGTTATTCAATACTTTAAATTGTTTGGTTTCTTTATCTGCTTTATCACTTTTGTCCTGAGTTGTCCTGATTGCAGGATTGAAGTTCACATTTTAAAGAAACTCTTTTAAAACTTTACATTTACAAAAAAAAGCTCAAACTTTATACTTATACTTTATACTGTGGACTTTTTTTTTACCCTTATATAAACCAATTAATATTGAAGTAAAGATGAACCATAGTCCACTCACCCCTTTGCAAATGGAGACCGCTTCTTTGGACAGGGACTTTGGGTAGGACACATTGTGCTCCATAATGGACTGAAACAACTCATCTTCATCCTCACCGTCAAATGGAGGCTGTGGGTCAAAACGGCCACAATTTCAGTGTTTCATCATCAGAGTCTATAACTAACTAACTAACGGATGTTTGATGAACAAGTTTTCACTCCATCAACATGTTGAAACAAAGACATACAATTTGTACTTTCTAATTTCTAAGAGTAATGAACTAATATTTTTATAATACTGACAAAAAGAGCTGAAACAAATAAATTGGATTAAACAGGTCTTAATAAATAGAAACAGAACAATAAGAACAGCAACAATAAGAAAAGGTAACAGCAAGGAAGGTGTTTTACAGGGAGACCTTGCAGGACCAGTGGAGTGGATGACCCAGCTTTTTCCCCTCCTTTCTGGGTCGTTATCATCAGTAACCATAATAAGAGTGTTTTGACAGTCCGTATAATGAATTATTTCTCATTTCCACTCCACTGGCCATTTCCACAGCAGGTAGTCTGTCTGCATCAAACTATGAACCTTCCCACTCTGAGCTTTTAGATTTACGGGATTAAACTTTACTTTTCACTTCCAGGAAAGAGGTCAAGACATGGAAATGTTCCAGTTAACTTATGAGTTGATACGAACATCTTGTCCGTCATATGTTGCTATTTAACTAATTTCCCCTCTCAAATGGAGACATCTGTTAGAACAAAAGTTTTAAAGCATTTTGCTGTGATTTGTGGGGATGAGTTACTACATTAGGTCAATTGACAGGTATTAACATCCATGTTATTATAGTAAAAAAAAAGGTATGAATATGAATTTTCAGTGGCTTTTGTGAGCCACATTCATATCATAGTTCCATCATATCATAGTAACTTTAATTTTCCTGTAGCATGTTAGGATGGTAATGTAGCTCCAGCAGTCATCACTAAAAGCTAATGCATAGATAATCTATAAATAGGTCACGCTGTTTAAATATAAGCACTAAGTGGGGCCTCTTCAGATTCAGGCCAATTCTGTTAGATAATCAGGCACAAAAAATACCATTGAATTAGTTTTTCTAAACGCAAGGTAAGATAAAGCATAAAAACATTATGTTCAATGTAATTAAAAACAACTGACAAAGTATTATCTGTTGAGTTTGAACACAGATTCAACAACTACATCAACTGGACGAAAATATGTATTCTATGAAAAACAAGAAACAGGTTGATGTCATTTGATCTAGTAATGGGATCTTTTTTATTTTTCATTTGCTCAACTCATGCATAAATGGAACGTAACTGCTGGAACTAATCAGTGTAGTTTTTCGTAGAGTCAAACAGCTTTGTGTGAAGTTATCTGTGTTATCGCGGATGGGCTATACTCACCTGTCCAGCCAGCATTTCATACAGCAGAACTCCGTATGCCCACCAGTCTACGGAGCGCCCGTATGGCTGATAAGCAATTATCTGTGGACGACAGAGAAACAGAAATGGTTCAACTCAGATTTTCTCATAAAAACAAGTGCTAGCCAAGGGAATTTTTAGATACTACTTTGTTGTAATTTTAACACTTTGTTTGGAGAATTCAAACAGGATTCACTTGTTTGTATCCCAAGAAAGAATTTACAGAAATGATTGCCTTGTACCTTTTCCAGTCATTGAATAATTTCTAATGAGAAATGGTTAACTAGTCTGTAACATCACACAAATTGGATTCAGATTTTCTTACAAGAACGTGCAGTTACCTAAAGGAAATGTATTAATTTGTGACCCAGAACTACAAACAATTAACATTACATTTCATACTGCATATCACAGCATGTGAATACTTTATTGGATCATAATCATCATATTTGTGGCCGCATCTGTAAAAAGCAGACATAGCAGAGACCTGTGAGTGCTCTACCATTCTATAAACTCTGATTAAGTCATCACATTGTTTGGAAATATCAGAGGACGTGCCAATATATAGGAGAAAAAATTAGAAAAGGCATTCATTTTGACATCCAACGAACATGCATTCAAAGTTTTTCAGAGGGATTAAAAATCCTGTTTGAGGGATTAAAAGAACAACTGACAACAGCTGACAAAAACTTGCGTTTTTCTTCATGTGATTAGACTCAAGGTATGAGGGTTTAAAAGGTGTGACCACAACGCAGTGACAAGCCATGATACCCCAGTGACCTACATTTCAAATCACTGATCACTATTAAATTTGTCATGGCTGAAGAAGGAGCATTGGGTGGAACAGGCACAATATAATTATTCAATTGAGCGTTTATTTATCTGGATGCAGAAATGAGTCAAATACAATATTCAGTATGTGGAAAGGACATAAACAGTGTGTCGGGCATTAAACCCTCCACTAGAGACTCCCAGGAAACATCTCACAGTTGTGACATTTTCCTTGGTGACAGAAAGATTTCCTGTGGGTTATTCTGACACTTGTCAAGGTTAGAGCTCTCATCCGGTCTGATCCTATTCGCACCACTCCGGAGACACACAAAGTCCTTACACTTCACAGCCATTTCCACATCTGGCTGTTACTGAAAAGCTGTTTCTGCGATGCAAAAACTGCAGTTAATGCCACCGTGGGCACACGTGCAGCACCCACTTTCAAAACCTACCTCACGCGGTGACATCACAATCCGAACAACCTTCACTGTGCCTCATTACTAATGTCATAAATTGCTTTTAGGTCTCCTTCTGAGTAACATATGACCTCCACTGCAAGTATGCAGCCCTCAGACACTCCTCCGGCTCCGTAACTCAGACACACAGAGGCACACTGTGCTGCATTTCTAAGGAAAAACTCACATGCAGATGCACGATGTTTCCCCTAAAAATGCACACATGGAAACAAGAGAGAGAGCAATTCATTGAGGTGCGTGGAAGTAGATCTAGCTTTTTATCCCAACCTTCACTGCGTCACACCTGACCTCTGGCTCTCCCGTGGACAGTCCATAAAAGCGTACAAATATACTCAGGTGGACAAACATACCCGGAGCCAAAATGCAGCCCCGAGGGCTGAAGGGAGCCAGCTGGACATGGATTGTGTCCACATGTTTGAAGGCGAGCGTTTGCTCAACCCTGGATTCACGTGCACTAATGCGAACGTGAATGTCATTTAAACCACGAGAGTCACACGAGCAGAGAGCTTTATTACGGCACACAGCGAAACTCAGTGATAAAGATATGAGTTAAAATATGCAGAATCCCCTTTGTTTTGTCTTCTTTTTCATGCTAAACGTGTCCATATTTCACATTTAGCCTTCACTAACGCATGTCCACAGAATTTGTGTATTTTTTCAGATAGGAGCTTTGTGGATGAGGAGCACTTCTGGGCAGAAGGACACTTCCAAAATTGTGCATTGTCACTGTGCCGAATTAGAGGAAAAGCTTAATTTCAGTCACTTGGACCACTAAGGCAAACGAACAGCAGAACTTGAGAGTTTAAGGTTATACAAAAAACTAGTTAAATATTCATAAGCGGTAAAGTAGATTCCCCTTTGATCTCATCCCCCTTCATAATTTATACTTGACTGAATAGTTCAAGTCGTGAAGTATTTATTCATTCATTTCTACTGAAAAGAGCTAAACACTAAACCAAAAGAAAGAAAACTGAGCTAGATCACAATTTTTTGTCAACAGAGCAATTCCATGTTCATCAGGGTGAGTTCTGAATAATTTGAAAGCTTGAAAGCATGCATTATTTTTGTTTATTTTTTGCTATTTTTTAAAGGAAAATATCAGATAGACCCATTTTGGAAATATTTCTGTTTTAAATATTAAATATTTAATCATCTATGATTATTCCACATGTGAAGGCCAGACAAAGAACTGACGTCCAAACAGAGACGCTCAGTTTGCAGTTACAAACTGAAAGTAAAGGTACAATAAGACAATTTCCAATTACATCAGTGAACAACTGGTAGGACTGCTGCTTATGATATGCATAACACAGTACATGGACATTAAGCAAATAGAGAACCATTCATCATCCTGCTACAATTTTAGTCCTTGCCTGATCTCAGCAATTGGAGGCAAAACAATATGACCTCCATAAATACCTTCAGAACACAGTGACAAAACAGCAAAACTGTTGATAAAGTAACTTCTGTCACTTTCAATTGAGCTTGTTTTTTAAAAACAAATGGTGTCAGAACTTGTACCAGATGCAGACACATTTGCAGATGCAAATGAGTTGCATGGAGCTGTCGAAACTGATGGGGACTCTGTAGATTACGGCCGACATGCATAATGTAAAACTATCATTTAAGGCTTTATTCCTTTGAGTGCTTCTGTTTTCAAGTTAACAGTAACACTTTATCCAGTTGCTGTGATGCATCAATGCATTGCTGAACCTCACACAATGTGAGAGTCATAACTGTGCTGATGTATTCAGCATGGGGCCCCTGTCATATTTTATCGGTTGCTGTGCATTAACTCTTACAAATCATAATATCATGAAAAAATAATGACAATGCAAAAATGATGAATACATCCACAAGGAAATGGATTTAAAGCTCAGCCTGCGGATCTCTCTACATGAAAACAAACAAGATGTCTGCAGAAGGTGAGAGGATCAAAGTCTAAATCCTTGCCTCTGTGCAGTGCTCGGGGAAGACGAAAGCAGGGATCAGACCCTTTTGCTTATCACGCCTCAGTGTTTTTAATGAGCTTGAGGGTCAAAGACGTCGTGGTTAGGAAAACCTCTGAGTGAAATCCCCACGCTTCTTTAAATCTCTCCTCATGCTGGAGTCACGCTGACCTTCTGTCTAACCTGACTGCCAACAAATTCAGCTACATGCACTAAAGACTTGTTTTCAAATTAGATTTAGGCCCCTGCTGTTTCAAAAATATCAAATATGTCAAATATTTTTGTATGCATGAGATCGGATAATCCCTTTATCCTAAAAAAAAAAAACTGAAACCAGAACAAGCTTCCGGAGACCTTCCTCACACTGGATCTCATCACCTAAGAACCAAAATAGATGTGATACAACAAAAGATGTTAAAACTGCCTCGCACTGTTCAGACTTGACACATCTATAATGATGAGGGACAAGCTGTGTAATGCACCTCTGACTCGCTAGGAGAAGGAAGTCTTATTAAACCAGTGTGAATTATGCGAAGCACTTGGCAACATGTCTTTCAGTACTTTTGACATAACAGAGACATTTTGCGCTCTGTGTTACCGAGTTTTCTAAATTCTGTGCTTTGGAAAATTTAAGCCTGGAAAGCACAAAGTGCTCCTGCCTCATGCCATTTTGTGTATTAGGAATAAAACAAGATAAAAGGATATCTTTGCACTCAAACAGATATTTGTGATATCCAGGCATCTATTCACATCAAACCATAATTCAGCAATAACAATCCATCAGTAATTATTTGATGCATAGTAGAAATGTATTTCATGCAGTGCTATTCGCTGAATCGAGAATTATTGTGGAAAACAATTTGCAGGAAGGTTGTGAGTTGTGATAGAGGAGAAACAAAAGCTAAAGTACAAGCCAAAAAAGCACCACCATGTCAGCAGACTCTTGTGTCATCTTTCTACAAAACAAATTAGAAGGTGTTTGCCATTTCGGGAAATACTGTCTTGCGGGATAGCAGTAAACCTTTTGAGCAGAAAAAACTGAGGTTGCTCAATACAGCTGCCCTGGGTTTGGATTTTGGCTTTAGTCCCTTTGCTGAATGTCAGTCCCTCTCTCATTGCCCCCATTTGCTGTCAAGCACTATCTAATAAAGGTCACTAGTGCTCAAAAAAAAAAAAGTCACCTCAAAAGTGTCTTGTGTCATACTATTGTCTCACTGTCACTAGCAGTTTTTCTTACAATTTTCACTTCCACTTCTTTAGAACATTTAGAGCGAATCAAGACAGAGGAAAGCAGGAATACAGTGATACAGTGACAATGGTCCAAACTGAAAAAAAAACTGAGGTCAGTAAGTTCAGCCAAAAAAAAAAAGAAAAGAAAAGAAAAAGAAGAAAAAGCCTGATTCAGTTTGCAGCCATCCAGCAGAGTGCTGTGCTAATGTGACTCTGCTGTGACTCGCTGCCCACCCATTGCCGGATTGCAGCTAGTGGACATAAAGAGTCTCAGGCATGGTGACCTCTGTTCTATGAAGTAGAACAATAAGCCTACGTCTTATCATTATTTTAGAATTATGTATAGCAATATTTACCTTCTTCCTAATGTTTGAATGAGGCTTGAATAAAGCTGTGTGTGTGGTTATGAAGATATTGAGCCAGATATTCTCTTTTCTCATTCCATTTCATATTTCACTTCTGTTCTACTACTGTTGTATAAAAGCCTCTGGCCAGTGGGGCAGATTCCCCGAGATACAACTGGAGAAGAGATGTAAGTATTTCAGATTAGAGTTAAGATTAGACTGTTTAGCTTTTGATTATGTCAGCATACATGTCTGCATTTTTTTTTTATGTTTGTGGCTTCCAGAGTCTTGTGGTTGTGTGTTTGTTGTTTACGTAGTTTGTGTGTTTGCATGTGCATTCCTGAAGCATGTCTCATCCATTAGGCCTAATACTACATGACAGTTCTGGATCACACTGCTAGCTATTTAACTCTACTCTGCAAACCACAAACACACAAATGTGCGCACCAGTACCAACCTATGCTTCTGTAACTCTTGATTTGCAGGGACCAGATGAAAAACAGCAAATGTGGTTAAAGACAATGATGGAAACCATTTTTCTGGCAAAGACTGTTAGCACGATTAAAGCCTGATCATAGAAGAATGGATAAAAAATATATTTTTTCAGAGGTCTTTGTTTATTTCAACAAAGTTTAAAAAATGTAAAGTATTTTTGTAAATTAATAATAAATTAATTGATAAATGTCTAATTTCCAAATGCATTTTTATTGAAACTGTAACCATATTTTCTGCATATTTTTACAATAAACTAAAATACAAGCAAAAGAAAAACTATTCTATAGTCAAAGGATTTTTTAAAGCAACTTTTTGAATTTATAAAGATGCAAAAGGTCTCAGAAATCTACGTATCAAAGGGTTAAAGAGCACTACATAAGTATTTACCTCACTGTGGCTGCTGAATACCTTTGAGGAACATCTGTGCTGTGAGGCATATTGCCGTGCATCAGACCACGCTTGAGCATCCTCCTTTTGAAAACATTTCTCAGAACTGTACTGCATTTGCCAGATGTGGTAGGTTTCTATCACTGACAATATTAATGAGCAGCCTTGGGGTTTAGATGAGCGTTCTACACTGCAGGATAAATAGCACCTTTTTACACGAGAACTGTCTCCTGAATAAGGACGGCACTCTCCCAGTGGCACAAAGGGCTCTCAAAAAAGTAATGGGAGAGGGGAGGGTTTAAATCAACACTGGGGGATATATATCTCAGATGATTTTTCTTGTTGTCTTGAATAATTATAATCTGCTTGTTCAGAAATTAAAATTACAATCCAATTTGGTACATTTTTAAATCGGAGTACATATTACTGATTAGAAGATGGATGAGATGCAATCTCCTTTGTTCACTTGTCTAAATGGCATCTGGATAATAAAACATGGAAACTGCAATGCTGGGCTCAATCAAAAATAATTTCTAAATGATTTAATCAGTTATAGTTACACTCATCACAGAGATCCATGACAGTTATAAAGAATGCTAAAAATATGCACATACAGAAACCTTATGTGGGCTAAAAGAGCATTTTGCAAATATAAATGAGAATATTCTCCATTAGCAGGATTTGTTACGTCCAGCTGGCTGTCCCTCTCTGCTCCTATCCCACATACTTACTGGCACAAATGACAGTAGGGTCCAAAATAATGCATACAGAAAATATCCTGCTGCTGGTTTAATTACACAGGAGTGAATATGGATAAAGTGAAAGCTCTTTAAAAGCTACACACCACCCATTTCTGTCGCAATTAGCCCATAAAATAAATTTATTTGTATCAAATACTGTGTTACAAATATGAAGTACTTGCATACTGATTGTTTAACATGTAATTTTAGGATTTCTACCTTGTAATCTAGCTATTTTTAAAGGTTTAAAAGACTAATCTTTTCACAGATTGAGTTTTATATATATGTATCATCATAGCAGAAAAGAAAAACTTCCATACAATGAGAATGTTGATGCTCTCTGTTTTGCCTCTTCTCTGCTCTATCTTTCTTGTTTTTTACTCCACTTTTCTACCGACTTTTTATCTATTGTCAGCCATTTTCTGGTAACTGATACCTTGAATGTGGATATCCTGGTCTTGGTGCTCAGTAATTGGCTGCATGTTTAAAATTGGAACTGCAGTTTTTTAAAATATGTGGGCAGGTGACAACTGCACAGTGAGTCAGGTTTTTGACTCAAACTGCAACTTTTTTTTGTAAATAAAAATAAATTGTTTAACCAAAAACTGTGCTTCGTAATTGCTTAATTACACCAGTTTTGGTCTCCTGCATGTTAAAAATATCCTTTTCTTGATTTTTCGCCAAATGGACAATGTGTTTGAACTCCAGTACCTCATCACCATGACATGGAATTTTAACACAAGTAGCTTCTGCTAGTGGATGATACAATTGAGGTCAGGGGTCTTAACTAAACCTTTACAGCCATTCAATGGTATAGCCAATGGCAGTTTTAAGATGGAGTAAAATTATCTGCATTGGTAGTTTATTTTGTCTTGTTGTTGTATGGATTTTGATTTCCCCCTGACTGTCATAGGACTCTTTGATGATGCATTCAAATTTCTAGCCCTCATATAACCTGAGTGCAGTAAGCTGAATTAGGTTTGATAAATTGGTACAATTATTTTGATTTAGGCATTTGAAAAGGTAAATAAATTGTCCTTTTTAGGAAGGGTGGGGTTAAGTGCAAAATACTAATAGAAAAGGGAGAAAGTAGAAAGGTGTCACAATTTATTGTATCATTGACTTTCAATAATAAGGTTATGTGATGGCACATCATTAGCACTGTCTGTGTCTTACACCTGCCAATTGCACATCATTACCATCACCATGCTATGGATCAAAAGCTCAAAGTCTGGGGAGTTGGAGCATTTCATTGATATCATTTGAATTCTATCATCCTTGAGTTTTAATTGCTGGTTTGAACCATGGAGTAATGAGCAGAAAGTCAGACACCCATAACTCCTGAAGCTACTCTGCAGTAGGAGAGAGGGAAGAGGTGAATGATGCATGTCACGCAGCTCAATAACCTCAAATGCTCTCCTGTAGAGCCCCAGACTTCTTCATTTTGAAACTTTGTCTTTGATTTGTTCCTTCATAGTCTGATTACCCCTGTCGGCTTTTGCATTTTCCCTCCAAAGTTAACACTTTATATTTTGTCTGTTTTCTTTTCTTTTTCTTTTTTTTTCTCCCTGCCTCTGTTCTATCTCTATCTCGGTGTGTCAGAGTCACTGAGGTGTAAATTCACAAGACTGGCTATATAGGTCAGTGTACACTTGGTGAAAACAGTGCGTATGAACATGTATGAGTGCACCTGTGTGTGGTGCTGAGCAGCAGGACCTCTGTTGCAGTCTGTCACGTGCACTGACAACCAGGGACTCGCATGATACACAGAAATGTATTTCATCACTTATACGGCTGTGACTGTCGGGGAGAAAATGACTTCTCATATCACGACTAACCCAAACTCAAAAACAGATTCTAATTTGCACAAATACTGGAGCACATGCGGTTCAGACGTGATGTAACTGGTCTAGTTTTTGATACCTGTTGGTGGTGTTTTTTTCAGTTGTTACCAGCTTGACTGTACCTCTCATTAATTTTTAAAATAACTTGAAGGAAGTTTAGCCCTCCTACGCCTGCTTCCATTCTCCACTTGTGCATTCGGTCCAACCCCCTGCCATTTCCACCACACCCATTATCAAACAATTTTGAGAAATGTTGTCTTTTGCTTTTCTTTATGGAGTGTGTACATGGGTGCTATGATAACTGTTTCTGTTTCTGATAGAAGTGGGTGTCTGTGTGAGCAGCAACGGTTGGTTGTCTTTCCATATTAAAGACTGATAAGCTTTCTCTGCCTGTCGCACAATAGCAGCTAGGACACACTCCAGTTCCCTGCAAACCTAAACAAGATAAATCCAAAAATAAATCCAAAAGTTTGACAAACGGACAATGAACTCTGCTCCAAGCTTAGAGAGTAAAATTTTATCGTAGAAATTTTAGCATTAGAAATACATGTGTAAAAAACGGAGGATATTGCTTTTTTCTGATTACCATCAGACGTGTTTTTGCTTTCATACTCCACTGGGAGCTTGAATCTGACATTCAAACCACTAAGACCTCTTATTACTAGGTGGACCGAACTGTTTGCTCTTCGTCTATGACTAAATCTAAAGGGAATCAGTAGCATAGAAATGGAAGTAGATTCCTTTGCCACAAAGAGTTTTATGAACACTGTTCCTTGATCATCTCTGAAAATGTCAACACTGTGAGCTGTTTAATGTTTAAGGTCACCGATCGCAGTATATTAGCAGGCAAATTAATAGACAGGTGACAGATGGTTTTAAAAACCACAATGGAATGGATTTTTGCAGACATACATTTACCCGTGGCTATGTCAACAATATAAAAACTCTGTATGACATAAAGCTGATCACATCAACATGGAATGACTGCATGACCTTTTCCATATTACCATTTTCCAGTGTTAAACAGCTTATTGAATAAGGAAAAAGAAACTATCAGTAACTATGAGACTACAATGGTTTAGAAACTGGGCTGTTAACTCTTCATGCGTGTATCTATAGTAATTCAGAGACACTTTCAATGTGACAAAGAGCTCTGGAGTAAGGTCACTTTTCATAGGGATTCCACTAAACAGAGATGCAAAACATCCCTTTACTTTGCTTAACGCTGTTGTTATCACAAATTGTAATGTCTAATTAGTTATGTCAAACAGATTGGTCTATGATGGAATACATATCCCTGAAACTGAAACGTACCACATCCTAATGTAGGTCAAACGTTTCCACGCAGGAGCATCAACTGGAATGCCGGCTTGGACATTTGGGTTAAGTTTGGAATCGCCAGCAGAAAAAAACGCACGTCTGTTTGACTGATACGCTTACGTCACCAGAGAATGCCTGTGTAAATGTATGTGTGGTGTCTGCCCTGAAGCAGTGACCTCAATCTGGAGTACAAGGCTAACCGAGCTCAGACTAGGCTGTGACAGAATTGACCTCATGCGTCACTTTGCGCAAATGTGTATACGTGAAAACGCAAACACATACACAGTCTACTTTCTCTGTCCATCTTTGCTTACCTCTGGAGCTATGTAGTCTGGAGTGCCGCAGAAAGTCCGAGTGCACACGCCTTCTGCCATGTTCTCTTTACACATGCCAAAGTCAGCTATTTTGATGTGTCCCTCAGAGTCCAGCATCACGTTGTCCAACTTCAGATCCCTAAGGAAAAGCAGTTGTTCTTAAAATACAGCGCTGGAGGTGTTTAAATATCTAAACCCTTTTTTTTAAGCTAATTTTCGCAACCTTTACTCCAAATAAACCTGTTACTATTAGAGTTATTACATGACTGTTAAGTTTTTTTTTTAACTCTACGGCATATATGCATAAAAAGATACACACAAATACCATGTATACAGTTCTACTTTCGAACTGGTACTAATAAAAAAGGAAATGTGGGATGAAAATATGCACACTTCAATCACAGACCATCAGACCATGCATACACATATTCTAAGAGGAAATCAACTCTAATATTAGATGCTAATGGCAAAAGAGAGTGCATGAATATAAAAGTAAATCTAACAGACACTTTTACCGATTTTTTTTCAGATTTAGTGGATTATTGTTAGTTTTAAGTGTAGCTACGCATCACAATCAGGTGTGATGGCTGTCGAAAACCATACTTAAGAGAGATTATGAGTATTTTAACACTTTTCTGATTTTTTAGGACCATCCCATACTCTGTAGACAGTTTAGAGAGTGGATTCTTCTGTTTTAGAAAAAATGGTTGTAAATGTTTGGTTTTAAATCATTAAATAATGTGATGCAGCACAGAGTAGTAATAATTATGTAAATCTGTTAATGCAAACCTGTAGATGATTCCTTTACTGTGCAGGAAGAATAGACCAACAGCAATCTCTGCTGCATAGAATCTGAAATAAAAATCATACAATTATAGTCTTACAACAGAAAATACCTGAACGTTAACCAACATTATAGAAAGGAATAAAGGATCACTTCATTGTGCTAAAAGAATGTCACCGTAGTTACCAGACTGTTACCACAATCCAAATTTAACAGCAATTGTATAATAACTGTAGAAATGAGAAGTCATAAATAAACATTGGCTGCCAAATAGACATGTCTTACACTGCCTGAGGTTCCTTAAACTTGCCCACTTGCTGGATATGGTACATAAGATCTCCTCCATTCACATATTCCATGACAAAGTATAGGCGGTCCTGTGGTAATAGAAAGTGAGGAAAGATGACATATGTTGAGATGTGTGATAAAATACACATCTTTGCTGTTTTACAGAAAAGAAGCTGCAAAGATTAGCAAAATGCATTATACTAAAACACCTAAACATCTGTATTCACAAAAAAGCTTAGAACAAAAAATTATGCAGTTTGGTCATGAAACAAACCCTAACCTTGATGTCTGAGCTGTCTCATCCTTGCTGCAACTGTTTCCATGACAAGGTGACCTAAATAGCCCACAACAAACCACTTCATGGAAAAAGAAAACACTCAACACAGGCTTCTGTCAGGAAATGTTCACTTTGTTTTAAAGTGCTACTCCCTTACTGCCCATGACAAGTTTGGCCTGACCCCAGTCTGGATGTGTTTGATGGGTCCCTAACAAGCAAAACAACAGCAACTATTCCACACAGATTCATACTGACAGCAGTGGAGCCGTCCACCGGGTTTGACAAAGTGTCACTACCCATGGCCCAGCTGCTTTTGCCGTCGACATTTAAGTGCTCTGACCCTAGCTGCACTGCACCACAAATCTATATCTCTGACATTAAATTCCGTCTTATGTTCAATTACAGGTCATAATATCTCATATACTGATTTCAATTAAGTCTAAATATCGTTCTGAATCGAAAAGTGAAAAGAAGCCAAGAATTCAGTAAACATATCATCATCCTAAACATTTCACACCATCTGCAAACTGGAGGGTAGGATTAAAAAAACTAAACTAATCTTTTTGTAAGTACGATATTTTTTACGCTATGTATTCAGCAGGGGAATCTCCCAAGTGGTCAATTTTAGCAACATATGTGTTCTAAGGCCAATTCAAATGCATGCTATCAGTGTTTTCTGGATTTTACAACAAAGCAGTAAGTCTACATATGTGGAAAGAACTATTGATAGAAAACATGTCCATGGGGGTTGAGTGGTCATAAGTCATTGTTATTTTACACATCTGTAGATGTAGACACCACAGTTTCTTTATATGCACACACATTCACAGACCTATTGTTACAATTATACTTGTCACATATGTGCTCCAATGTCCTCTACAACCCTTTATGAATCATTTCTTTTGGCTTAAAGCCTCTCTCTAAATTAATATGACCTGATCTGACCTGAGGTAAGTTGTTTGGATAAGCATCCAGAGGCGCTGTACCTACCACAGTCTGGAAGCACGAGTGGAGATGTGTGAGGAAGGGTGGCTTGTCCTGTTGGGCCAGTACTCTCTTTTCCACCATGGTACATTCAACATCATCATCTTGGATCACCACATCCTTTTTCAAGATTTTAATTGCGTACAGCTCTTCTGTGGCCTTCATCTCAGCCAACATCACCTGTAGGGAGACACAAAGCTTGAATTAGCTGGAGAAATGTGTCTTTACATTGTGCTTTTGCATTTGTGAATGATATAGGGTCTCCTGTCAAAATCAGAGAAATCTATGTAATTCTTATGAGGTAACCACTACTATCTCACCTTGCCAAAGCTGCCTTTCCCCAGCACTGCCAGGAAGGAGAAGTCACTAAGTTTGACTTGGTGCAGGCTATTGGATGGAAACTGGCTGGAGCGACAGTCGTCAGTCTCATTAATCACCTTCTTCCCTGGGCCTAGTTTGGCGTTCTGCACTCAGGGCACAAAAGATAAAGTGTCTAGACAAACATCTTATAACAGATTACATAAAACTACTCAGAAGACACTAAACCAACAACAAGAACTGGGAGAAGCTTCTTTGGGCCTGATATTCTTTGCGAAAAATAACCAAATTCATGCATTATCGATGTCGTCCTTGAATCTCCTTATATTGTTTCAAATATTAAAGACAATTATGTTTGGATTTATATCCCAAAAGAACAGAATTATGTGTGCATTACGTTCTTCTTCAAGAGTGCATTCACTCACACCATCAGCTCATTCATAGCCGCAGCACACTAAATGATATGTAGAAGGCAAAGTTAATGTGATGAAATGAAACTAGAGTTTTAACGACATGTCTTCTTAAAGTTAGATTTTAACAATACTTTTTCTTACTTTTAATGAAAGGCTGATGTTATTCAGCTGGAGATCAGGTAACTTTGCGCTAAATAAATCAAAAGCTGATCACTAAGCATTCTTGTAAGCTGATTTGCTGATAATCTAGGACATTGTCAGTACACAAAATGCTGTATTTTGCCAAACAAAAAATGAGGATGCAAAACATCATGAGGCATACTGATAACATGGTCCTAAACGGTACTAAAAATGCTTCAAAGTATCAAGGAAATAAATGAATAATAAATCAATCACAATGAATCCAATCTGTATTGTTATTCTTTTTGTGTAAATGTTGTACAGTCATTCTTCTTCAAGAAATCTTGATTATGACATTATATTAATTATAAAATCCAAGTGCAGGTTTACAAAGAAACTACAAATCTCAGAGTTGGAAAAATTAATTATTTAATGGGACAAAAATGAAAAAGAAAAACTACTTTAATTGCTGCCTTTGTATCAGACCTTAAAATTACTGTTAAAATGTTTCAATAACATGAGAGAGACGTGTGTGGCGGTTCAGTTATGAGGGAAACGGATGCCCCACTGTGGCCCCTCCAGTTAAACACGTGTGTGGACGCACGTCTCTAACGTCAAACTGCAAAAACTTTTTTTCTGTACATTTCCTTCATGCCAAGTCATGCTCAAGCTCCCAGCACGGAAAATGTTTCAAAAGGCTCCATGGAACACTATAATGCACCAAGCTGAAAATGCACACGTCCGAGGCAGTCGAAATGCTACACAACAAGCAAGTATCGCACAACGTTCAACAACTCTCTTTACCTTTGAACAGAAAATCAAAAAAACAACCATACCACAATTTCCATGTCATGTCTCACTAACAGGACTGGCAATGTACACAAACAAAACCATGCTGAAGCTGACGTTTTAGGAAAAATCTAAACTCATAAAGATTAAAGGTTGCCTTGTTTACCAAGTCCATAACCTTAATTGTCATGTGGTATCTCATTATCAGAAAATGTTCATATAGACCTGTTAAAGTGTCAAACAAGTCAATTCTGTTTCCAGACCTCTCAGTTCACTACTCTGATCAAAGCTTAGCCAGTAAAGGGGCTGTTGTAAGACATTCTTTTAAAGAAAGCTTAGACAAAGCCCAGACAAAGAGATAATTTCTAACCCTCAATATGTATTGATACAATTACTAAAGAGTGAAGGTTTTCCATGAATTAGAAGACCAAATAAAATATCTTCTTTATATTGACCAACCATGTGAAGTAATTTTTTGCACCCTAATCAGATTTAACTTGTGAAAAACAACGCTGAGCATCTTTAGTTTGATTAATAATGACAACTACGATAGTCTGCTCGTAAACTGACAGAGCAGCCGAGAAACACAAAGCCGAGCAGACCGCATCACATCACAGCACACCTGTAAGCTTTAGCCAAAGAAACAAGCCTGGCTGGGCCAAGAGCACAGCAGCCTTACTTCCTTCCTCTCAGACGCACCTGATCAGAGTCTTCCACAAGAGCTTGGTCCTGAAACCACAGGGAGAAGGGAGCCAAAAGGGCTGACACGTTGTACTCTTAGGCATAGGGTGCAAGCCACAACAGCTAACAAACAGCAAATGGCTGATGAGCAGTAGAAAGGCAACCCATACACACAGATACAAACACATAGAAAATGAACAAAGACCAGGAGTGATAAGATTGAATATCGTTTTGTCGACCACTGATCCAGTTCACCCAAAGTAGAGGCTGTGACTAGTTCCACAAATGTACTGTAAATGGAATTTGCAGTACGGTAAACTTGTCAGTTGCAATGACATATTGTTTTGTTACGCACATGTTTAGCTTGGTGAAATCAATTTAAAGGCAACATGATCAAGAGCAAATATCTGCTCTCCCATAATGTCTCGGTGGAGCGAAAATGTCCTCACAAACCACGTTACACATGCCTGAACACAACATGAAAATAAAAAGTGGCGAGAAAAACACGGGAAATCATCATATAGTCTGTGTGGAAAACAAAATGTACGTGTTTGATTCAATAGCGTGCACAAACACACACACACACACACACTCACACACAAACAGCTGCCCAACACTCAGGATTTATAATTCAGTCCAATGCTGACATCTTGTGGTAACAAGTAAACATATTTCCCTCTGCTGCTTCTGTGAATTGACAAAGATATTCTGTGGTCAACCAATCATTTACCTAATATTTACAGAGGTGGAAGCTGATCTCAGGTTACAGTTAGATATTTGTAGGTAGAAAACTTACATTAAAGGAAAATTCTGAAGCAATTTTGAAGGCAAGAAACATGAACAGCCACCAACTTTCAGGTTACATCTCTACAGATGATGATATAAGCACACGACATGGAAAATCTGCACAATCCACAGACATGACAGGTACAGAATTATTGAAGAAATAAACTAAACAAACATGCAGAAGAATGCAAATGTTGAAAATGCAAACAGAACAGTGTCTGGATTTACTAACAATCCTTAGACAAACTCTGAAGAATTAAAGTTGAGTTCATGTCCGCTTCTTCTTCTTTTTTAAAAATCCCCCCCCCCGACCCTTGGCCAGTACATATATATTGTTAGTAAACTGGATCGGTTCATAAGAGCACATACAAATGATGAGAAGGGAGGAGGATTGAAGGAACATCTCAATACACCAAGATGAGACAACAGACGGAAGAACAGGAGATGAGAGCAGATGAAGGGAAAGAAAATGGGAGGGGAGAGGGCTACCTTCAGATTAAAGTTAATATGGCAGTCCTGAGAGCAGGGAGAGACGAGGAAAAAGGAAGAGAGAAACTCTTGCATTAAATATGAACACGTGACACAGGATGTACAGTATAAGTCTCACCAAGGACACAGGAGGGAGCAGGAAGCTAAGGGGAAAAAGGGAGAGAACCATAGAGGGGTTTGTGTGAAGAAGGAGAAAGCAAGAAGAGAGAAAAGTTCCCCAGGACACTAAGAGATCAAAAGTGCGATCAAGTCAGATGGATGATAAATATTACCTAGATTATCTGGATATACCTGGTTTCTCATAGCACATGGCTAATGTTTAAATCTGCCGATGTTGACAGCCAATGATACATCATAAAAACATTATTTCTGAAGAAATATTTCAGCTCTGCCAAAACAGGCCACAGACTCAGAGAAAGTGGGCACACGCTTTGACCAGGAAGTATTGTGCATCGTTTTGATAAAGCTATCATCTGGACCACAGGAAACATGGGATGACAGATATGTGTTTGTAACGTTTTGTATGTCACTTGTTTTTTTCCTCAGTTACTGAATCCCCCACCCACCCCAAATAAGTTATAAACCTTCGGTCATTTTTCGAAGCTCTTTTTATTGACCTCTTTTAAAACATCATTTAAGGAAAGAGGTACCTAAAATTTAAAAAGACTTAAGAAAGATTAACTTGCTGTAGTCAGAGTAAGATCACTCTTATACTTCAGCTGTGAGACTACAACTCTGAAGCTACATTTGTTAGTAGCTATTCAATAAAAGTTAAACACTTTGTCTTACTCAGTCTCATTAGTGTTACACAAAAGTTGTATAGAAATAGTAGTAGATCAAAATACAATTGTATTAATACATTGGTAATTTGCACTGGAATAAAAGTTACATACGTTTTTTTTAAAAATACTTTTGGAATAGGTTACTCGCTCGACCTCTTATCCTTTTTCTTCATCAATAGGAATCACTAATGGATAAGAATGATGACAATCAGATTTAATGTAATTGTGGGGTTCGAACCACCTGATCTGTCATTCAGGGCAGTCTGGTGAAACACCTGCTAGTGGAGATTTCAAAGGAAGGACTGAAGCTGCTTGCTGGTGATTTCAGAAAATGTGAGCAGCCCTTTTCTGACAAGCGGTACATATTTCTTTTTGTTACTTCAGTCAAACAGGAATCTTTCCATGCAAAAGAAAAGACTAGAAAGGCCCCCACCATGACCCTAAAGGGCATAAGCGGTAAAGTGGCAACCGCTGTGCCACTGAGGAGAGCTTCTAACAACTTGATAATGCTGCTGGACGTGCTGTTGAACTCAGGGTGAATGGATAAACAATGAAGGTGCTTAAAAACTGGGTTCACCCAAAGTAAATGTAGATCCCATTTATAGAAATTTGAAAATCACTATTAAACCGCCCTGGCAAGATAGTGGCACAAACAAAACAACGGTACATATAAGTTGAAGCTCAAGTCAGCAGACATACAAACAGATTTTGTTCTTCTGAAATCCTGCATCAATACTTAAGTGCAATTCTCACCTCAAATTTCTGCCGCAGTTCCTCATTACCATCATCCTCCTCTGAGATAGGAACGTTGTAATACTCTCCTTCTTCCTGGCACAATAATTTATACCTGAACACATGGAGACAAAAAAGCAGAATTGAGGGAGGAATAAAGGCAAAAGAGAAGAAGATGGACAAATGCGGAGAAACAAAAAAGCAAAAGCAAAGAAAGGAAGAAGAAGATCTTTCTGTCAACCTTTCTCTTTTTTAGGGTGCCATTTCTGTCCCATATTGATCTTGAGCTGCCATATCTTGACTGAACATAGCTGGTGATATATAAAAGCCTCTATGCCTCCAGTATATTTGGCACAAAACTTTACTGTTGGCACAACACACATGTTGAAGCAGAAACAAAAAGAATTGCGGTGAAACGAACAAAAAATCCAACAGTTCTTCTTGGTCAACCCTGCACTCAGTCAAACTTACTGGTCCCTCAACCTACGTACCAATATTCAGTTTTATCATGCTTGAAACGAAAAACTTCAGCAAAGATTTAAACTTAGTCGATTCAATGATAGACCCATAAGAGAGAAGCATTACCAGCCAGAGACTGGAGACTTTATGAGCTCGGAGACTCCAAAGGAAAGGGCCCCCATGAAGTCATTCCTGGTGGTCCGATCCCAGTCCCACACTTCCACGGACAGCCTTCTGTCTTTGTCCGATGGCTTCAGCTTGCTGCACACCACATTATGATTATCGTTAAAAAACAATCAAATAAACTAAAGAATAAATTCATCCTCTATTGTAGAGAAAATGCATTTAGAGATGGATTTATATTGCTGCTTTTAATACAATTACAATAGCATTAGAGAGTATAGAATATCATAGAATGAAACTCATATTGCCTCATATGTATTAAGCCAAACAGAATAAAATATCCACACTGTGTTGTAGCCAAGGCTGTTGTGTACTCACAAATTGAAGGTCTCATTCCACTTGGGGTTGAGGTTGGAGCGGATGGTTTTGGTCTTTTGCTTGGTCTCATTTTTGGGATCTGGTATCAGCTTGAGCTTGACATATGGATCAGACAGGCCATTGGGGTCCATGGGGATAAGGTTTCTGCCTTCACCCACTGAAAAAGAGGAGAAACAGCATGGTGAATCCCAAGGTATGACTGTGTAAAAGTACTTTTAAACAGTGATTTAAACGGGTATGTCTTGTTCTAAATCTGCCTTGGTTTCAAATCATTAGGTAATCAGCTTGGTTTATCAGCAGGTAAATTTAAAGAGAATAAGGTGTAGATGTTCAGGTTTAAACAAGTCAAAGCTAAGGGGGATTGCTTATAGATCTGAGACATGAAGAGGACAAATCCAGGAAGTGTTACGAAAGCAGTGAGTCAGAGGGGTAGAAGGTCTCCTCTTGTCTTCATGTATATAGCTATTAAGTAAACAAGGGCACACCAGGGACATTAGCAGTCCATTAGCCCTGAGCATTGGAGCACCGCCAGACATCAGCTACACAGCACATACACAAACACACACATGGAGGAAAACATACACACAACACTGCACGCAGTCAGGTATACCTACGCACACACACCCTGTTTATTGACACACAATATAACTACTCTCTCCTCCGAGACATCATGAAGCCTCGACGGTTCGTTAAACCTCACACCCTGGAGACTTTAAGCTTCTCAGTGTGGTCCACTTAGTCACATGGTGAGAGCAGGGAGCCACTGGGTGGGTGCTGAATCATTACATTGACAATGCAAGACGGAGCTGTAAAGTGCAATGTCTCCACTCCAGATGTGATAAAGCACTGACAGAATTAGGAGGTACACATGAAAAAAATCAGTGAAGGATCATCAGCGACTGACTTAATCACATTACAAAAAATAAATGACCAACGCTTAGAAACTTTAAGAAGAAAATGCTGTATACTTTGCTAAATAAAAGTCACAGTTGAAAAAGATTTCATGAGATGCTTAAGTGTTCTGTGCTCCATTAAATTAAAATAGATTTTTGAAAAGCTGAGAGTGATTAGCCTTACATTGGTTGCTCTTATTTTTGACAAGTGTGTTAGTGGGCTCTGACGTTAAACACCAATAGTAAGGCGTAAAGTTATACGTGTGGAGGCTGGAGAGTGCAAACATAGACATGTTGGAGCACAGTTGATAGATGACAGATGTTCACAGAGGCATTTTGAGGTGTGCGAAGATATTGAGCAATTCTAAACTGGAGACCTGCTGTTTTCACAGAAATCCAGGGGAGATGTATTGAAACAGTCTGTTTGAAGAACTGCATGCTGTGTTTGCGCTTGAGTGCATTCAACCATGAGGCACCTTTCAACAAAAGGGAGACAAAAGATCCAAAACAGAAACTGACGCAATCTGACAGTTATTCTGTCATATTACTTTTTATCTTACCAATAAGAATGAAAACATTTAGCTTTTTTATAAAACAGACATTAAAACTGTTCTATTTACTGAAATCCATCTGCCTGCAATTAGCTTGAATGAGATTTTCTGTTGTGTAACAGCCTTTAAATTCTAACCATGTTCTTCTTTCTTAATTGTGAATCTTTACAATAGAAATTCCATGTTTTAATATGGGATATGTTGTATGTGTTGTAAGAGTCCCTGTTCCCAAATATATATTATTTAAAGAGCATATGAAAGGTACATTCTTAAGAGCATTGTTGCGGACTGAAATTGTCATTAATGTAGATTTACTCATGATGACAAACCGACAAACCAGATCCAAGAAAAAATAATATTGATGCAGGTCTTAAAAAAACAAAATGATCCATGCAGAATATATGCATGGGTGATTTTCAACTTTCTTTTGATCATGTTAATTTTACTACAAACGATAGTTGTCCTATAACTGATTCAGATTTGACTGTTCACTGTACTTCCAGTCATTGCCTGAGGGAGGGGATGTACACTGTCTAATTCTTCTGGACTGGCACACAGCTTTGGGCTTTCTGATCGGTCTTAACTCCTGCGCTTCACAGAGAAAACTACTGTTAAAGTAATAGTGAATTTTTAGTTAACTATGACATACATGTTCCTGAATGATTTTTGCAATATACTGAGCACTTTTCTGATTCAAAAAACAATTCCTGAAAACCATTAACGGTGTGTAGTTCACAACTGTGTCTCTCAATAACTGTAATTGTATAACTTAACTGAATCTAAAGGGAATAAACTTCCATATTTTTTGTTTAAAGATAAAGCATTCAAAGAGGCATTTTTATTCTGTAAAACTGAACAAAATCAAGGCTAAATAAGGGGAAAAGTCTGAACAACAGAGTTTGAATACTAAAAGAATGAAAGTTCAAGCTTTGTGAAAGCAGAAAGCACAAACTAAGAGCAGGGAGCTGAGGCAGGAAAACACACTGGGAATACCAATGAAGTAACTTCTGGGAGTCTGGCAGTAGGCGTCCCACAGCAACAAAGTTCATTTGTTCTCCGAACTCCTTGGAGACGCAGGAAAAAGGTGGGGTTCTGTGTGTGTATTGCATAAGACCTTAAGTTCCCTGAAATATTCATGTTAGAATGAACTGATATTATTCCAATGTGTAATTACATTTCAAGACATTGAACACGAGAAGGTGAAACATGTGTTGAAGAAATAACTAATAATGGTAAGTCTATAAATAAATATGTCCCAATATTATCAAGTTCAAGTAGCTTTTATTTACAGTCAGTTTAATTAGCAAAATCATGCAAATAGATCTGTTTAAAAAGATCCTTCTTAATCACCCTCTGTAAGCAAGACCTACATACCTGCCCACATATCTGCGGTAAATTCATACAGCTTATTACCATCAAGTACTTTTGGCTACTCACTAGCTAGTTGGTCAAGCACATAATGAAACTAATATTGATATTTTTAGAGAAAAAAAGAACAACTCAACCCATGTAAAACTAAGAGAGTAATTCCAAAACCTTTGGGGAGGAAGTACAGCAGCACAAAAAAAGCTGGCACTGTTACTATGAGAAGTGTCAGCTGCTCTACTCTGAGTCACTTGGGGCGGGGGGTGGTGTAATAACTGGATTTTTAAGTACATTTTCTTTTGGCAAGAAGTTGCTGGATCCTCTGCGAATTGAATTAGGCACTACAAAGGAATGGAAATTACTTCACAAAAAAATCCGCAGCGTAGATGCAGCAGCTGTCAGATCACTGGCCAGCGATGTCCATTTGGAAAGCCACTGTCCGAATTCAGAATTGATGAAGCTTTGATCTAACCCTGAATGTTCTTTGATAGCACTTGCCTGGACCCAAGGAACAGGGGCTAAATTGATCTCAATAAAAAGTTAGATTGTTTGACTGAATGACTAAACAGTTATTCAGTTTATTTGAAATGTGGAATACGTATATTTTCTTGTCAAATCGATTTTGTTTAAAAAAGGGACGAGCAAAATAACCCACCATTCTAAAATAGAGGAAAAGAACTTTAGCCTGCAGAAAAAAGGCATATGGATATGAAAAGTGAATTTCCACAGAGAAAATTTCATGCACCAGTGAAAATATTTTTACGTGCAGCACACAACCTTTTCACAAAGATGTGAAACTTGTGGTTGCTGCAAATTCTGATATCCGCCCTTCCACAACTCAAATTTTCACATTAATCTTTCAGCAATCCTCAGTTATAGCAGAGCTGCGACTACCTGTTTCCGACATTTTATTTGGCCAGTAATTGGAAAACCACAACAGCTGAACACAAAAATCAGAAGGTGTGGTGGATTTCTCACAGCTTTGCTGGCCAGGGGATGCTAACTCTAAATGGAGTGCATTTCGTTTCTTAATGTAAAGTGTCACTACACCCCCATAAGGTACCACAATACAGTCTTTGTTCCTAGACGCACGCACATTTATATCCACTCCAAACACCAATCACACCAGTGCACACCCACAACACACCTACATATAAAACCTACCAACTCTGTTTGTGTAACAAACATTTGAACAGGGAGGAAAAGGAAACACCTAGAAGGATAAAGCAGATAAAATAAACGTGAAAGGACTTGAAAGGGAAGTTTCTTTCTGGAGAAGAGGGTGAGTCAACGGGGGAGGAAAATGAAAAAAGTAATTACTACCACTGTCTCTTATATAATCCCAAAGGAATGGTCAGAAGAAAAGGGTCTATGCACACATCCTCACATACAGTGTGGAGAATAAGTAGAAATGAGAGACAAAAAAAAAAAGAAAAAGCAACCTCCCAAGTGACTATCCGTGCTCTGGATATTTGCACAGAATCAATGGACAATGGGGTAGCTGAAACAAGCAGTAGGATGGCTTCCTCAGCACCCACAGACAAAAGAGAACTGTGCAGTGAAATGGTGTAAGACGCTGCAAACAAGCTTAGTTATGCCAGTCCTTCACCGTAGAAACAAAATCTGTTTTGTCTTTCTCAGCAACTCCCTAATTCCATTTTACTCCAACTGACAAAAAAAAAATAATTCTCCACGCTCATGTTTCTGGAAACTGCACAAATATCTTTCACTGACTATGAGTGACTCATTACTTAATTTAGCTATGTCAGTTAGTTGCCTGCAGCCAAAAAGTCTGTTTGTCAGTCTCTGTTGGTCTGTGTCGAGTTCATGCACGGGTATAAAGACCAGCTGCTTCCCCTGGCAGGCATGTCACTTCCTGTTGGACATTTCAGCTCTGGCCAATTGATGAAAGACCATAGAATTCTGAGTAGCTCCAATCAAAGCTAAGTCTGTTTGGTTGTGTGTGATTGTGGTAGTTGTTGGCCTCACTTAGGAAACGCACAAAAGCACCAAATTTCCAGCTGCACATTTTAGAACATTTTCATCAGGGGGTGTTACGATATCAACTGATAAAAAAATATGACTAAATCATGCTTTGAATCATGCTGATAAAATTAAATTGATACCGCATTGAAGATAAGGATTAATCTTATAACAACGTCTTGATATCATCATGGAGCGAAAATATAATGTCATTCTTGTGCCATTTCGTCTCATCAAGGAATTTGATGAGACAGTGTGTACTTATCAGTAAATAACTACCTACAGTGAAGCTGGATGCTAGAATCTGTGTCTAAAGCACATTTATTTTATTGCCAGAAGGAATAGATGCAACAATGTTCTGATTACTTGACTCATCCTGAAAATTTGCTGACAAATTGTTCAAATGTAGAGTTGGAAAATGGGTTCAGAGCAGCCCGACTTCAGGTTGAAGGTATCTATTACCCAGGAGAGGATGAGTAGCTACTTTAGCCTGTATCAGTGCATGCTCTTTGCAGAGAAAATCCAGCCCAATTACACGACAAGTGCATACACATCATGGTAAACAAAGAATAGGAATAGCTGACTTTGCAGAATTATAAAAGCTATATAATGTCTCATCTTCCTCAGCCGTAGAATATACATCCTCTTGCTTCTCTCCTTGTAGCACCATTTTGCTGCTCGGCTGTCTGTGAGACATTGAAAACAGCTAATGTAATCGGAGATGCAATGTGGCCTGAGTGGGCTGCAGGCTGATGCAGCAGTTCTACACACACACACACACACACACACCTACACGTTCACACAGTAGAACATGCATGAACATGACAACATGCATCCTGACCCCACATCAGGAATACAGCCAGGCACAGCCAGGTTAGCTGGCTTTACAAACACCTAAAAGTCCAATTATTAGGACATGTTTTTCTTTTCCCTCATTTATATGTGAACCAACATTTTTATTCACTGTAGGAGCATTTATGGATTGGTTCATGCAGCTTTCGCAAAAAAAATCACAAAAAGCCTGACGTGTCATTTGTTAGAAAAGCAGGCTGTATGAACATGAGTAATGAGTATGAAAATCATGAGGGCAAAACCAACAATGTTGCAACTAGTGAAACAAGAAAAAACTGCAATCACAAAGCTGATACTTGTTTAATTGAGGGAGTTTCATTTATGGCTTAATTTTGCTGCATATTAAGATCTAAAGCGATAACTTGATACAGTTTAACGCATTTTGCTCTGACAGTGCACCATGAAGCATGTTAGTTACCTCAATGTCAGTCCAAATAAAAAAAAAATCTATCAAAAGTTACTGGTTCAACGTTTTTCTTTAAGCACACAAATAAACTTTCTAACCTGTGATCTGACTTCAACACCACAAATAATTTAAGAAAAATATCAAAACATGTCTTAATCTCAGTCAAATATCTAAATGCTTCAGGCTGTCTGGGATGTCGTGAGGGGAAGAATCACTGAAAAGACAGAATGGTTGTTCATGTGAATCTGAAACTCAGGCTGTGCATTCACAGCCTAAAATGACACTGATATTAGGCTGTAGATACCTTGAGTTACCACTAAGTCAAGTGTGTGTGTGTGTGTGTGTGTGTGTGTGTGTGTGTGGGTGCGTATGTGTACCAGTGTGGAAATTTTAAATGAGTAGCAATACGGAATGTTGCTCAGGGAAATGCAGCCAAAAGCCCAGCAGGATCAAATTAGCTGTTGAATTTACTCTTACCAAATAAGACCGCATGTTTATACCATCGGAGGAGAGGAATTTGTCAACAGTCTATTTTGCCATTTCTAGTAAGAATTAAGAATTGTGTCAGACATTTTGCTTCTACTTCAGCTCAGTTCAGTGGTTATACAAATATAATTTGCATCAAAATAGCACACAACAGGTCTGCATAACTTCTAATAAGAAACATCAATATGTATGCAGCTACATTTTTAAAACTTTACATAGATATCAAAACATATACTGTTATATCAAAGTAACATCAACATCATATTAAAAAAAACACCCTCAAGAATGAGTCATGTAACATAAAGTGATAACAAGAGCAAAAAGAACAAAAGTGTGTGTCTGTGGGATTGCAAATGAGCTGGCAAAAAAAAAAAAAAATCAACCCTGGCCCAAGGTGAGAGCCAGGCATTTGCATTATCACATATGGCATCTTCTGATCTTTTCATTATTCCCTTCCCTGCCCTTCCCTATAATTTTAGCAGACACATAGGCAAAAGCGACTACCGGGAATGAAACATTAGACTGGACTTGACTGTATGCAAAAATACAAGATGATTTGCAGATAGCAAATGTTCAAAAGCGACACGGTCATACCAAATCCTCAAACAGATACAGTACTTTCACACTTTTGTGTAATGTCAGCTATCAAGCTGTCCCATACTCAATATTTCTTCCATCCATAATTTGATAAATGAATAAGTCAGTGAGGTTTAGTGTCAGGTTCTTGGGATGCACTGACCCCAGTCTGAAATTTAATTGAATGATTATGTGTGGCTGCTGACAGCACTTCACCATCTCTATTGTTTAAGCAGATGTGCTAATGCACTATCATTAAAGCTGGGTGCATTAACAGCACGCCTCGAAATCAAACAAAATGGTTACATTGCAGTGAGCACGTAGCCAATTTTTTTTCCAGAGTATAAGTTGATTTAGATTGGAAAAGGATAGTTTGGATACAGTCTGTCTATTCCATATTCTTGTCACAAATTACAGGCATAGAGGTTTTTAACAACCAAAGCATATGTTCTGCAGGGCATATCCAGATATTTTTGTAGCTAAAAATGTTCAATCAGGAAAATAAGTGAGGGTGAGTTTTATATAATTATCATGTATCTCTGACAAAAATATGTCAATAGTTCTTTGAAAGTGTGTTCATGTTTTATTTCTAGTCCTCCAGGTGATTATTTGCTAACTGCTGCTTGATCATTTAGAAGTTATAGCTAAATGCTCTAAGGTGCTCTAAGGAAAACTGCCCACATTTTCCCATAAAAAGTGAATAAATCATTGTAAAATAAATAAGGTTAGCACAGAGAGGTTTGCACAGATGGTGCTTGATAATTTCATGATGATTTTCATACTTGTGTGGACATAACTGAATATAAATGCATGCATTGTTTGTCAATGTGCAAACAAAATCTGTGGAATGCATATTTTCCCTGGTCAGAGAGAGGAAAACATCTCAATGGCTGTCTGTGTATGTTGGTTTTCATGAAAACTATCACATATCTAATTATAGACAGGAAATGGGCAGGTCTTCACTTCTTCTTGGCTCAGGCTGGGAGATTTGTCTGGACTGACACGTTTTCGTTAACTGCGAACTGTAGTCTACTGTTCAAGAGTTCATAAAACAAATAACAGCAAATCCAACATTAATAAAGGTGACTGATAAAACATTCATCTACCCTGCACCTGTCTTCAAAGTGAATCCCTGAAGATCAAAAACTGAGTGTGCTCCTAAAATGATGTCAGAATGAATATATTTAACAGATTATGTATCAATATAACTTTCTGGCTGGTCGACTATAGTTCAACACTGTCTGCAAAGTTAACAATTATGGGAAATAATGCATGATTTATTAACCAACCCCCCCACTCAACAAATGTGGAGTAATCATCAATAGATAAGGAAAATGAATGAATAAGAAGAATTTGCAGGCTACAAACGGATTGAGAATCAGAAAGTAAAAACTTAGAACGCCACAGTGCTCAGATCTGGCCCATTTCCCATTTTGATGAGGAATCAGTTAATAAAAATCAATCCTTCTATTATTGTTGCAAAGACAATTCAGTTACAAAAAAATGCAGCTAACATACAGCAAGCAGAGTAACACAACGGGGCCCACAAAGCACGGTGTGAACTATACTACAAATACATCTTGGAAATGCATCACAACTATGAGCACGTCACATTAACTGCGTTTTCTTGTATAAAGTTCAGTCGGAGAAACTCCCAAAATTAGGGACCAAAATAAAAAGCTTTCAATCAATAGCTAAGGCTAGACAGTTAGAAGTTAGATTTCATTCAGTACTAGCAAAAGTTGTTACATGTTGGCAAAAATGGGGATCATAACAGAGCAGCTCAGCGTAAATACTTACAAACATACAACATACATACAATGTGAGGCAAGCTTCTGGCAAAAATTTTTTATTAATTAATTAAAACCTCATATTAGCAGTTAAATCCCACGGTATTCACTGGTTACTAAAGAGGAAGGCCTACCTGTCACCTGCAGCTTGTCACCGCTGACTTCACACTTGAGGTAAAGACGCCCCCTTCTTTCAGTGTAATCAGTTCCACAAAGGCTGGGCACGTTCATCACACACACCTTATGAACATTCATGTCGCAGGCTAATGGGACACAGAGAAGAGATATGGACATCAGGGAACAGGGATTTCATGCATTATACATTGGATCCAAATCAAACAAATACTGTAGGAGAGCATTTTTGGAACCAACATAAATCTCGCTCATTTCATCATAACTGTACAAATGACACAAATTAACTTTAGGATATAAGCTCTTCACAGTTTAACACATACGTATATGTTAAATAGCAATGAAATGTCTTTTTTTTTTTAAAAGCAATGTGTCAAGGCAAATTTTGATGCCTTATGAGCCAGTGTTTTAAGCAGCTTTAAAAATTTGACGTGCCTATTTCTGCGTCTATCTCTGCTGACATATTTCAATCTCATTTCATGTTCAGTGCAATATTAAAGGATAGTTATTTTCTGAGAGCCGTGTGAGAGAGGAGATAACAAGGTTATGACCCAGATTCATCTCTGTGATGATTTTCATACGTATTGCCTGTCACCTAGCGGAGCCGCTCCATCATGGATTGAGAACAGTTACGAGTGGTTACATCACCATGTCACTGGGTCAGTAGGTGAAACAAAAACAAAAAAACAATGAAAAATGGATGATTTTCTGGGCTCTTTTAAAGAAGCGCTTTAATTTCCTGTGTATCTTCACTTTTAAAATACTTGCTATCTCTGTAGTACCAAAAAAATCAGTTTAAATGTTTAAATGCACAAAATGATCAGGCTATTTACTACTTTGAAATCCGCTTTCTCCATAAAAATAGCACTGAATGGCTAAAGGACAAAGGCTGACGTTTGGTAGTTTCTTTAAAGTTTCCTTGAATGCAGAGTAAAAAATTTAATTCAGTCCTTCAGATTTTTTAACTGTATGGGGACGTCCTAATCATCATTTCTTCAACTGCTTTTATACGTAAAACTACACAGAAACACTTGGATTATAAGAGCACCTGAAAGCTGGAAGAAGAGTGCATTCGAGTTGTGCTGTTCTAATTATCTGCTTGTGAGAGGAGTGACCAAACTGTGTTTTATTTGTTTGTTTATGAGGAATTATTAGCAAGTCCCCAGCTGAGTTTTTGACAAACATGAGGGGTAAGCAGATGAGACTCATTATCTACTGCTGATTTCTTTTAGATTATCCACTTTATTAGCTTAGGGGGGCGATGAATCCTCAGTGGTAGAGCATTTGACTGCAGTTCAAGTGGTCTCCAGTTCTCTGTGCCCCCATTACTTTGTAAGTCGCTTTGGATAAAAGCATCTGCTAAATGCATAAACATAAACATTAGCGGTGACTGTGATCCATGTTTAGACCTTTCGATAAAAACTCAATTCGAATCACAACATAAAAATAAATTCAAAAGAAAATGTGGAGGCAGAGGCATCTGTTTTTTGGGATGTAGCCTTTCGTTCAGGCAACAAGGTGCACAACTAATTATATGATCACAGAAATGTAACCTTATCTGTGGGGGTGGTACTGATTTAGATTGTGATGCTTCTGTGTCCCACTGTGTCTCAAAAGATTGTGCATCTGTAATTTGCAACTTGCATCTCTATTTCTGCATACCCTGGAGTCATCATTATACATAACTGGTGGTCTGTCGTACATAGCACATAATGTATCTGGAAGCTCATTAAAGCCTTCGTACTCTAATCTACCAACATGTTATTAAAGCGAAGAGGGATGAAAGAGGGATATTAATAAAGGCTTTGCTAACTCTGGGAAAAGTACAGCTGCCGAGTAAAAGACTCCCAGGACAAGGATATGCAGTAACAGCCGGTGTTATTTAGAGAAAATACAGTTTTATTTATGAGACTGAAACTGATAGTGTCTCTGAAATGGAAATGAATCTCTGTAAAGCCGCTACACCAGGATTCATGTTCATCAATGTCAGCCACATGATTTACAAAGTTAGAAGCCACTTATATCTCGTCTTTGTAAAAATAGCTTGATCTTTGAAATGTTCATTCTAAAATAGGTCGAATAAATAATATGTTGTTGGCCTTTCGGTGTTCATTTAGAATATCTTACCACACAACTGACGAGTTTTAGAAATAAAACTTACAATCAGTACTTACAATCACACTTCATGCCCTGGTGGATGAGGCCATAGAGCAGAGAGCCACAGTGGTCGCAGAAGGTGGGGCTCCCATAAGTGTGGATCTTGAACTTGTGCTTTGTTCTGGGATCCTGCAGGAAATAAATTGAATAAAAAAGTTAACAATGTGAAACAATGACAGAATGAAAAAGTCAATACATAGCGTGCCAAATCCACTCAAGTGTATTGATTCAAAGGAAGTGAAGCCAACTCTGATGCAAGTATGCTATAACAACACTGATACAGTAGCACGAGGGGAGGCTTTTCTTTTTTCATCTTCCTCGGATCAGCAGGCAAGAACTGAAACATCTATAAGGATTTCCCTTAATTCTACCGCAACTAAACAAGACTCACTGCTCACGTCAATCTTGGCATAGTTAGAATCGTGTACAGAATGATTCTCACTTAAGTTAATACCCTCTATATCAAAGAACAGTTAACACATTAAAGAGAACTGTGGCTTAAGAACAAATCGCTCATTCATTTTCTCAGTTATTTTCCTCATCAGGTGGAAAAGAAAATGCTTTTCAATGCATGGCAGAAATTGCAGGTACTGAGAATGAATTGTGCACCTTATTGATTTCCTTATTGCATGGTAAACGGTTTTAATGTGTGAAACTGTCGACACAGTCATCAAAGGCATCAAAAGGTTTCATTTATCATTTGGCTTCTATTAACACTGTTCTTTGCTGCAGGCTCTCCACATGAATATTACATCAATCAGAGTGTGAAAAACATTGCAGTTTAATAGATGTATGTTAATATATTACTGGGTAGTAAATGGATTGTTAGTTAGGATGAATCACATCTCTGCTGACATCTGCAAAACTTGGGTTAATGTTACTTTCCTAGATGGTAATATTCTCCAATCTGTTTTTTTTATGTCAGTTGCATGCAGCCTCATAACCTAATTTCTAGTGCTAGGAAAATGGTCTTTTCTCATGTATTAATTGTATATTGCTACAATCACAAAAATCCTTTCATATTAAATGTGTAATTTTACTATTGTCAAATAAAAGGCCTCTGTGCTTTAAGGTAGGACCTAAATGTTAGGTGATATTAAGAATGAGTAGCATGTATGGCAGGGACAAAAAAGAAGTTAACATACTCCAAAAACAAGCAATAAAATATTTCTCAAAGATGTGCACAGAGGAATAAACAGAAAAAAAATAGTCACCTCATACCTGCCATGCCCTCTGAAACTATGGGATTAGTTACTGAAGGGAATGCCAGATATGCTTTATCACCCACAACCATCCAAGAGTGTTAATCCTTCTCTAATGGCTCTTAAGTAAGTGTCGCACAGAATGGAATGCTGACTTGTACAGCTGTAGTGTGTAAAGCGTATTCGCATAAAAGAACTGGCTACAGAAACGTCTAATCTAAACTACACATAGGCCTCGTGATCACTTTAAACCCTTTGCAATGAATCCCATCCAACTAAATCCTCAGTTGTCAGCCCACAGACACCGTGAGGGACAATATGATGTACTGTATCATTGTGTAGCCAAACACAGGAGCAAAACAACAACCCATCTCCTAGAATTTATTTGCATTTGTGTCATTCAGGTTTTAGTATTTGCTGTGCAATCTTTAGGCTGAAGCACTAATCTTCGTTTCGATCAGACCCCCATCATTGCTTGAAGGGCCACTACTGGGAAAATGTGGATAATTTGGTACTCAAATTAGGGTTTACTTAGAATACTGACTAATATTCAAATACAGTAAAACAGCCTGAGACGTTGAAAGACATAGAAATGTTGCTGAAGGGAAAATATTTGATAATGTAAACTCATTTAACCTGACACTCCAATTTACAATTCAGTGGAAGACTGCATCCGTTTAAACAAACAGGAGTGGATGCAAACACTGTCTAAGTACATTTCTGCGTTAAGTAAAGCCTGAAGTTGTTTTTTATGATCTCTTGAACAAGCAGTTGACTCCCTGTTTTCTATATTTGTGTTCTGAGCAGCAAATGAAAACAGAAGTGCCCTCTGCAAACACAAAGTAGAGTGAAATGCAGCGCATGTGACAGAAAAGACAACTTGCAATGCCATTTCCACCCTTGCTGATATCCCACAGGGTATGGCCCATGTCACATGCATGCAGTCATTCTCTTCACGCTCTCAACCTGCAGGACATGGATACTCATTACTGAAGAGAAGACCTGAACATGTTGCCATGTTTAAAAATGCTCATTTAAAGGACATCCCGCTTACACTCAAACTGTGCTGGGATCCCTTTAAAAGGCATAAACTGTTCCAAAGGAACATCAACAACTATGGCTTTTAATACTGACACTGGTAATGACTATACAGATGTAATAGTTAAAAGTCAAGTCTTTGTTTTCCTTCCCTTTGCCAACAGAAGGCATTACATGCATGATGCATTCATGGTCATAAACTTCCAGTCTACGGACACCGCAGCTGGACAGAAATTACCTTTGCCCAACCTTAGTGTGAACTGAAGTTCAAATTAAGTTGTGTAAACAAAGCCGACGATATTACTGGAAATGTTCTTCGGGAAAGCGAGGTGAGAGCAGCTCAATCGCCATCATCTGGCAAGCGGATACTTTTTTAAACAACTCTTTACCCAAAACGCTTCAGCTGTTTCGTCAAATTACTGTCTCAATGCAATTATACAATCACATCACAAGCACGCTGGCTATGTAGCAACCCCCATCGCAGTGTTTACAGGAAAGCAATCAGTGTATTCGCAAAAGACATGGAAAAAAAAAATACTAAACAAGCTTTTGCCTACAGCACTTACTCACATCTACCCACACACAGCTGATGCTGAAGGATTATCCTCTTGTCACCTCACCCCTCCCCTCTGTTCTGTCCTGGCTGGCATGAATGAGTGATGGCAATTACATACTAAGCAGCAGATGAATCATGTATTTTTTTCAAATGTCACATGTGATTTTTTTTTAATGGCCAAAATATGGGTTGATGGTTCCCAGATAATGGAAAACGCTATCACTATCACTATAACAAGAAGACAAAATAATCATAGGTCACCGACACCGTGATAGATGTGTAACACAAGTGTGCAGACTCTCTGAAGTGTGTCAAATAGTGTAAATATACTGCAAAAATGGATCAACATTTCCTACTGTGTATTTGATGACTGAATATGCTTTTTTTATCAGATGGAATCCTAAAAATATAAGAAATAACAAAATAATTCCATATCTACAGGCCTGGGCCATATAGGCAGCCCTGTGCAATAGTAAGTAGTTATTAATACTTAATGAACATGATAACATGCTGCTATTTCCTCTGAGGTGCAACTCACATATATTATACAGGTACCCATCATCCATCATACTGGCTTATCTGGTTATTTCTTATAGGAAGAAATTTCCAGATAAAACATTTTTTTGGCTGCTTAGATGTGATCTCATACATGCTAGGGATTAGCATCTCCATACCAACATAATAGCAGGCTGAGCAAATTTCTGTCAGATGGGTAAGCATTTGGTTGAAAAGTTGCCATAAAAATTTAAGAATAAATTAAGGATTCAATCAAAATTTTTTTATAAAAATCATATCCAGATGAATTGCGAAAAGAAGAAAAAATCACCATTATTGCAAGAAATCTTCATACATGTGCAAAACTGCATGGATCTCCAAAACTTATCAATTTTAGATTTTTCAAATCTGAATTAAATATGTGATGAAAACACCAAGAGCCAAAGCCATTTTAAAAGTCAACATTTCACAATAAAATAGAAAAAGTCAAGATTTTCAGCAAACCAAATATCACTAAATTTGAGTTTGCAAGTTTTGCTTAAAAAATAATGTGGCAAGTTGTAATGTGCATGAAATGAAACCTGCAAATGTATTTATCTGACTGTACATCACTGGCACACAAACTTGTCCCGATCACAGTGTATCTGTAGGGTTTATGATGGAAGGATTTACCCATGTGGTGTCTGTTCCCTATTACAGTCTAATCATGTCTTTATGGGAAATTCAAGCCAGACTGGGAGGCGATTTCTTACCACAGCTGCAGGGGAGGCAGAGTGTTAACAACGAAAGAAACAATGACTCAACACAAAAGGCCATAATGGCAAAACAAGGGAGGGTTACATGTTGTCTAAATTATTGTGTCTGGGGAATGCCCTTTGGAAATATGTGGGCCAACTGGATTTCCCACATGTCACAGTAATCTTCCATCAAGTTAGGGCAATCCCAACCTTTGGTAACCTTTGTTTAGTGATTAAACTTGTGTATTATTTCACTTGAAGTTAATCCAGTTAAGTAAACAATGAGTCAGTACAAGTATATTTTTATGGTATGTAAAGGGAGATGGAAATAGGTAGAGCAAAGGTTTTCAACTGAAAGCCATTTATTTCCAAATAAGTGTGGGAACATTCCATAAAGAAAAAGTGTTATGAGTGGTGCTATTAAATTTAAAATTGGGCAAAATGTGTCATGTTTACACACCCAATTGGAGTAAACCTTATCAATGTCTTTGTATACTCCTGATGGTAATTCAAGACAGATCAAGCATTTGCATGCAGTACAAAACTCAGATAAAGAAACGAATATATATTAAAAAAAACACTGAGCCAAAGAGTTATAAAAGACTTCAAGCAGCCATGAGATGTAATGAAAACAGAAGCACATGGGGTCACCACAGTGTTGTTGGCTGATTAGCCAGACTCTCCAGTCCAGCTTAATTAGCAAGCAGGACGCCAACCAGGCACTGTTAATGAACAGCTTGGCAGGGTGAAACTGAACAGGGGCATCCCTGCAGAAGAGGGGAGAGCAGAGGTGGACGATAAGGGCCACCCTCGTCCATACTTAAATAATGTATGTCTCACAGTAGAAAAGCCATGATAATTTCACTTTCTTTACTGATAAAATATACCTGAACCTATGTTAACTTCAATGTATGATCAATGGAAAAGATGGAATTTGTATTCATGGAAAAGATTCAGAGGCAAATATCTATCAAATACAACGTAATGGGCTGATTTCTTATTCATGGGTGCACAGGTGTTGAATACATTCCGAAATAAAGCGGATACTTCAGAGAATTAGCATGACGATTGCTTAGAAATACTAATCATTCACTCAAGCTGTACAAC